TAGTACTGGCATAAGCATGTCAAGTTATGAAAAGTAAGGAATTTTCATATGAGTTGCGGCACTTGCGGTGTCAATTATCTTTGTGTGAGTAATATTAAAGTAATATTAAAGTAATATTAGGTCAAGTCCTGTATTATTTATTTAATAGATTTTATTTCCGCATTTTCCAGTCGGATACATAAATATTGTGTCGTAAAAGCCAGTTCAAAAAATGAATGGCATCGATCAACGACAAGATGTTTCATAGATACTATACAACGATTTGTCTCATTGATAACCTGCCCTCATTGTAAATATTGCGTGTTTACATCTACATTTAATAATATAAAGAGGAAAGATTCGTTTGTTCGTAATAGATAAATTCAGAAACGAGAGATTTTAAAAATTCTTTCACTTACAGTAAGCTACTTTATCGACGAGTTACATTAAGTACATATTATTTAAAAAAAATAATAGAGAGAGCATCTCTAAGATGCTCTCTCTATTATTTTTTTTTAATTCTATATTCTTTTTTTTTTAAACAATATGTACAAATATTACAATAAAGTATAAAGGTATCAAACATTTGCCTATAAAAATAATTATTTGGCGTGCGTTGCAAAAACTATTGATGATACATAAAATAATGTACTACATATTTATAATACTCATCATAGCGCACAAAAGAGACCACGAGGCTATATTTCTAAGTCGCGATAATCGTTCTTTGTTCAAATTAGTCGATTAAAATACAATTAGAATCGAAAGATGATGACATTCGTATTATGGTATTAATATTTTCTCAAACATGCTTGGTAATGTGAGCATTATTTTGACAATCTTCTTCGAGATAAATCAGATCACCACAATCAAGGCCACATTACAAAAAATATTTATTGCTATAAAACATTTTCTCCCAGTCAGCCTTAAGTAAAACAGAATATTACTCCTCTCAAAGGTTGCCTGGAAGAGATCGCTTTTAGCGATAAGGCCACCCATTGTTTTGTCATTGTGATTATTTCTTGTAATTGTTTATATTTATAATAAGTTTACTATTGCAATCTTTTGGAGGAAACAATAAAAAGTATCTATCTATCTATCTAAATATAATTATGTGATGATTTTTTTTAAATAGTTGTAGATAAACAGTTACAGACGTATCAATATTGACTTAAAATTATATAACACGTATAATGGAGAACTGTACATTATGATTGTTACAAACTCCTTTGTAATTTGTAATTTCTAATATTGTATTCTTTTAATTATTCATTTTTTTTTATATAAACTGTCAGTATAACTTTTCAACACGAACCGGCGTTTTCTTTATTATAATCAGTTCACAATAATGATCATATAAATATACTTACATGATAAAAGAAATATTACTAACATATACAAATATATATCGATACGATATATATTTGTATATGTATGTATATACAAATATGTATTGTATATATTCAAATTAATCGTGTATGTACACGATAATATACTGTATGACCAATAAAGCAATGATAGAGATCAAAGGTGATAATGATGATGTTTCATTTTTAAATTACGTTTTAAAACTGGTTTTGTCACAATTGTAGTTGGTTTGTTTTTGTGGAACACAATTTAATACAAAGGATAACGAGTTTATAGAGTTAGGACGTTAACGATGTAAATTAATTAAATTGCACTTCGTAAAATAACAGCAGATTAAACATATTAACGTATACCAGATTTAAAGTTCTAACTTCTGAAATACAATTGTAAATACCATATTTAAATGCTTGAATAAATATATAGACAGACAGACAGTACTTTGGGTTCTATTGGTCTTATTAAAACTCCTCATATAATTTTTTTCTTGAATATGGGAGACATTTAAGAAAAAATTATATGTACAAACAATGTATAGTTACAGTTTTATCATATTAATACCTAAGATATGTCACATAGGGTGTCCAGGTTGTATAAATTTTCCCTTGACCGTAACACAGTCACGGTCGGTTACACAACATAACAAAAACTAATTCGACAAGCCCATAAATAAATACGGCCTCCAATTTGAGTGATATGACTCGATTAAATGATCTTTAAATAATTTTGCATACGTTATGAGTCAGTATGTTTCTCGCGTATAGATTTTAATATATTATTCGTTCACATAGTAGTTTCGTCTGCGATTATCATTTTCCCGTGAATGGGACTTGCCCATTATGTTTGGATTTTTCCATGTTTGTTAACCATAAACCCTAATGTAATGTGTCCGAACGATCGCATTTATAGGATTTTAATACAATTTCTTTTATTATTTAAATTTATATAATACTTGCGATCCAGCTCGACTACGTACGGGGGAATAAAATTTTCAAAAATAATATATAGCTGATTATTTTATGCTATACACATCTTACATCTAAGTTCTATAAACATTGATAAAAAGATCTTAAAATGTTAATTAAAGATAAAAAATTTCTTTGACGTCACTGCCAACTGGTAGTATAGATACATAGCTTATTTTTGTCGCTGATAGCTAGCTTTCTATATAGGTGAAAGAATTTTTAAAGACGATTGAATCGTTTTTAAGTTTATTCATTACAAATAATCAAATCTATCCTCTTTATAATATTAGTATAAATATCGATTTTTTTTGCATTGTCTATGTCTTAGCAACTCTATTATTATTATTATTTTCAGCCATTAACTGTCCACTGCTGAACATAAGCCTTCCCCATTAAGGAGAGTTTTGCTAGTAGTTGCCACGCTTGGCAGACAGGTTGGCAACCGCAGTTAGGCTTTTATAGATGTTTTAAGAGAGTCATCTATCTATCTCTCCACCATAAGTTCTCTAAGTCGCCCCTTACGACACCTACGGGAAAGTGTACCAATATATGCCAGGACATACACGCCATCTCTATGTATGAGTATTATTTTATCTGTCTAAATACATGTAAAGATACATATGAACAATACCTACTTTTATATAAACAGTATTGTTATATTCGTAACTATTATAGGAGTTAGTAAGTTTCATTTTTCCCAAAACCTTCAGAAGTTTCCTTAAGATTTTTACCAATTAGTGTATAAATATAAGCCTTGTTCTAGTTCAAATAAAACCTTACGGAAGGTCACACCAATCAGTGTTATGTTGAAAACAATCCATTAAACCGTTATCAATTAAATTAACCTACATACAACAATTTGGAATGTTTTCATTTATCTATTTATAATTAATCTTTAATATATAAATAATTATAAATATAATAATATATTAATTTATCTATCTCTATTTAGGTAAATGAATATAATACTTGGCAATTAGTGAGGAATAAAAATAATTGTTTTTATGAGTTACTTTTATTCATCGGTATATATGTTACGTGAAATCTTCACCAATTTTAAAATAGTTTTTGAGCAATACTTATGACAATTAATAGCGTTTACTTCTGTTTTAGTGACATAAAATTTTGTTGCGATTAGAGTTGCTGATGTTTTGTGAAAAAAAATCTTAAATTATTTAAAAAATAATCACGACAACCTCAATAAAGTAAGTATAGGAATAATTGACAAATAATAAGACACAGAAGAATTAAAATCGGTCCAAAAAGTATAAAACGCGAAACACTGGATAAAAAAAATGTGCTTTTAATTTTTTGTTTTTATATAATCAACAATACTAAATCAACTAGTGACGATAAATTTATCGTTCTATATTACCACGACCTCTGTATCACAGTAATAAGCGCGTTCCTTTGTATAATCAGGTCCCGGCTTCGATTATAAATCGAACCAATCAAAAATAACTTTTCTAATTGCCTCGCTAGCCTACTTGTAAACTTGTAAAGTTTGCGTTGCGATAGCTATAAATTGTTCAATATTTTGCTGTCAATCTTCATTTTTGACATGTTTTGTTTTACCTAAAAGCTATTTGAGAGTGAAAATTTGCGGCTCTACCACAAAAAAGTTAAACTTGCGATAGACAGATATTAAATACATATTTAAATGTTTTACTATAAAACAAATAAACTCTGTCTTATTAAAAATAAAACATGTTTAATGCAATAAATTTTTTACTGATATTTTGATATTTTTAGTTGGACAGAATTTAAACTTTGTTTAAATAGTGTTTTAAATTTTTGTTTTGTGATAAATAAGCCACTCCTACAACATATTCTGGATATATATTAAAACCAATTATTTACTTATTGGTTTCATAGTATTTGGATTAAATTCATTAGGATGATTTATGAGACACTTGCAAAATTTCGTCCATGTTACACTAATGGACAAAATTAGCAATAGATTAACATAGTTATCAGTGGTTAACAGTCTATATGTGCCTAAATGCGCTTATCATGTCCTTCATTGACGGAGTTCCTATGCGAGCTGTAAAATAATACGACCGAATGTACATAATATAAAACAGGAAACACTTGTGTTTATCAACATTATTATAACTGTTTTTCCGTAAATATTATCCTCAACACGTGAAACTGCTATTAATTTCTCTTTTCGGCCCTAAATACGAGTATTTTTGGTTAATTTCGTTTATCAATTACAAATGTTATTTATGAAAAAAGTAGGTGATTTTTTTAATGGATTAATATAGAACGGTGGCCCCGTCTACGTTATGGATATACCTACACTAGTGAGATGTCACTAAAGGATGTTAGATAAAAATAAATCCATGGCAGTTGGTCCAACGTTACAAAGTAATCATGATGGTGTTTAGGGAAACTGCGTGGAGGTCACCTGCCAGGGCATAGTGCTAGCAATGAAAACTAACCTTCCTTTCAATTATTACTGTTTGCTTGTCCTTCCATAGGAATATTCGTGGGAAAGAAATAAAACATTGCCTATGTTATTCAGTTTCTTGTTTTCTATTAATGATTTTTTTAGAAACGCTTCAATATAGTTTTAAAGGAACCGTTTACTTTCGTTTTGTTTAATTTAATAACAGAAAAATTATCCCAACGTGCAAACTGGAAACGATAATCTGGCAAGTATTGAGAAATGAATTTAATATGTTACAGTACTGTTCGAGGCGTGTCACAACGATGCATCGTGCCTCCAGGACCGTGCCGGCCTCGAAGCCATCACACAACTGCACAGACAGCTTGACGACGACGCCAACGGGAACGTCGACCTCAGCGAGAGCGATGATGTGAGTATTCTCTCTCTCTTGTCTATGTTAATTTTAAAACAATGAACGAGACAGAAATAAATGTTTCGTCTACAAATAATTTTAAGACATCACGCCACTTACACCCCATAACGGTGCCAATAGAAATTATTCCACTGAGTGGCAATATCAGTAATAGCTCTTTCTTTACACTCTATGATAGATACAAAAATAAATGATAGGAATGATCCCAAAAGAAATTGCTTTATAAGTTTTGCTTCCGATCAGATTCGAGAAAGCATTTTTTTCTCAATTTATTCTTTAAATGTTCATAACTTTTGCTTACCGAAGTATGGTAACTTAGCAATTTTCAAAAACAATTTAATATTTTTAAATGTTTCTGATTGATTTTTAAGAAATGCTCTGCTAGCGAACTAACGTTAATCGTTGAATACATTGCATGTAAGTTTTTCATTAAAAATTTTATACCTACTTCATATTTTGCTTTAGATTTTTTCAAAGAAATTTCAATGTCAAAATCCAATTTTTCAGTGATAGCTTAATAAGGATATTATTGCATGATTAATATTTTTAATTAACTGATCAGAAACGTTGAAAATATAGAATTGATTTTAAAAATTTACATATAATTGTGATATAATATACATATAATTAGCCTTGTGGTCCCGGCATAGAATAAGCCATTCATTCCTTTCCCATGCGATTGTGACTAAAGGAGGGTGAGAGATAGGTGGCAGTGTTCCTTTTAAAACATCCCCAAAGTCTAATTGCGATTCCCAATCTGTCTATATCAATAATTCCAATTCTCAAGCGTTAGCAATTACTGGCAAATTCCCCACAAGGGGGAGTCCTATGTTTAGCACTGAACAATTAAAAGCTTATATAATAATGATGAATGTACATATTTGTATAATTTTGCTACGAGCTAAGACCATACGTCATTCAGCCTGCAAACAAAGTCATTTTACGATACAATTTGAACACCATAATACATATTGTAATGCAGCGATATAAAATGACTCGAGAATCGAACTGAAACAATTTGGCATCACACCAGCTGGTCGTAGTCAGCCAAATTATTGAGCATACAAAAGAAGGGTTTCCTTTAGTAAATTGTTACATTTATTTATTGTTGCTCCTAACATTATTATAAATGAGCTTAAAGAACTAAAGACAGAATCAGTTTTGTTTCGGCAGTGTCTGACAGTAGTGGAAATTCATTTGTTTCTGTACCATATGATGTTATTATATAACTAGAAGGAATCACCGCTTTATTCGCGTCCAATTTATAGTCTTCTATTTCTATGGATGTTTCTAAAAACCTTTTCTCAATTGATGTCTAGATGGATAATGCTTCATCACATTAAGAATCTACTTATAAAATTTTAAGTAAGTACATTTGAATAGAAATTGCTGTTTCAGGTCCCATTTGAAACTTAAAATTTACAATTCATTTCTTATTCTTAATTTAATTTATAACTATATAAAATTATTAATCATCATCATCACATTAACCCTTAATTGTCCACTGCTGAACATAGAACTCCCCCTTGGGAAATTTGGACCCCTTGGAAACTTGGGGGATTTTGCCAATAGTTGCCTAGCTTAGTAGGTGAGTTTGCAACCGCAGTTAGGTTTATAGTTGTGTTTTAAGGACACTCTGCTGTCCAATTCTCGACCATTAAGTTCCCATAGTAGCCTCTTACGACACCCACGAGAAAGGATGGGGTGGCCCATTCTGTGCTGGGACCACACAGCGAATTATATTATTAATACAAATATATTTTAACTGCCAGACCAGGCACCCATGCAGTGACTGTACAAAAGTCGTCTACATGGATACCTCTATCTCACTTATAGCACAACAACAGGAATTGAACGCATGAAGAGCACCGCACATATCACAGTTTATTGTGTTATTGTATACAGTTACCATTTTCAATCGGCAGTCTTATTCTTGAATCTTATGTCGATATCACTCCAATCTAATAATAATTTTGTACTGAATTTATTAAATAAAAAATAGGAATTAAGTTAAAATTGGGATCAGTTTGCAATAGTTTGCAATGGCAAGTTGTACATCTGTCAGAACATTATATCGCTAGTATTTCAAGAGTGCAAAACGTGTTTATTTTAATATCGATCTATTGGAATTTTTTTAAAAAGTAACCTTACAGGCCTGTCAACTTGTTTGCCATTCTGAATTTCATAAAAAAAATATTAAAGTAGGTACAAGTGATATTACTTGGCATTGTTGGAGAGCAACGCTGTTCGTTGTTACAATTAAAAGTAATGACTACAATTTACTCGTGAAGTGCCGACGCTGTTTGTAAACAGACGAATTATACAAATCGCCGATGTTAGATACGGCGTCTACCCATTTGTATTTCTCGCTAAATTTCGACAACATATTTGTCTAATATCGAGATAAGTGTACCTATAGTAATACAGTATTTTTTTTAATTTAGTAATACCAATAACATTGAATTTTTAAATCACAGATATTATAAAATGGATGTCGTACCTGTGTCTACTTTGGCCTAAGTAAACAGTATACGAATATATTCTATACTTGGATTTTTACATAATATGTACAGTCGTGAACATATATTGAAAATAATTGAAAGTTTAGACGATTTTGATGACTAATTGTTGTATTTTCGAATGGGTTCGTCGTCAGAAAAAGGTTCACTATCAATAATAAATAGGTCTGTTACAACATATGGCACGCTGTTACTGAAAGCGCTTGTGAATTGAGTGTCTCTGATATTTTCATCGCAAAATTATCAATATCATAATCAGGAATACAGAACAATAACACTGATTGCGCTAGATCCGGTAGAGTCTGGTAAACAAATTGTGAATTATCTTGATATTAAACGTGTGCCCACGTAATCACGTACGAATACTTGGTATATCTATCTAATCGACCAACTTGTGCTCTGAATAATTTGTTTATTATTGTGCCTTAATTGCCAATTGTATACTGTTTACCAATAGAAGAAAATACCATAGTCTCATCATACCGATGTTATTCTATTTATTTATGACTAGCTTTTATCCGGGACTTAGGAGCTTTGATTTCGCTTTATTGCTTGTTCTATTTTTTTTTTATGGATGATAATGGAATAGTAACACCAGCTGTGCTATCGATATACACTGGCGGGGCACCAGTGAGGGGTGAATAGTGAGGATGAAAAGGCAGGTCAGTTAGTTCATCGTGACGAATTCAACGATAAATTAGCCACGATGGTTTCCAGAGAGAACTGCGTGGAGTTCGACTTGATAATTGACTAACCTCCCCATTACTAACAATCCCTGCCCCCTGCATTTAGTATTAAACTGGTGTATGTCATGCCGTATGCATTTGGAGACTTGTCTACTAAACTGTTTATATTCTGACGCAGACGTTGAAGATTTAGACCACAATTCACGCCGTTTTTAAATAAAATCTAGAGTGCGATTAGAGTTTTTGGGTTTTTTAATTGTTAAATCTTGCAAAATTTAGCTCCCGCTGTTTCATTCAGATGTCCATATTAAAATATATGCATTATCATCATCATTTTGTGCATTCATTATGTATCACGGAATTTAATTCTCTGTTATAAAATGGCAAATGTACGGTCCTTATCAATTTGTATTTGATAACTTCGCGTTTATGTTAAAGTTTCCTTTTATTAATTTAAAAATGTCTATTATTTATTAATTAATTAACTATTTACCTTTAATGAATCATTAATCAACGATGCATTCCACGTTCTTTGTTATGATAACCATAGGCCATAGTTTACACAATGTCACGTAAACTAGAAATACATTTAGGAATCTGATGTTTCTATAGTACGCTGACATTTATTTATTTATTTATAATATATATACATATTTTTAGTGAGCTTTAAAGATTTACCAATGCACTCACCAAAAATTAAAAATAAAACATTATAATAAAACAATAATGGAAAAATAATAAAAATAAAAAAATCTAACTATGCTATAAAAATAGTCATTAAAATGCATTTCTGTATAATTTGTTACCGCCCTGCGAAACTCTATGGCAGTACAGTGAAAAAAGTCCAGTTCTGAACTCGCTATTAGCTCATGGAGCAGCCTCGTAAGTGGCGCCTGTTATATATGTTACACCTCTTCTACGCTAGGCTATGTTTCTGTAAATTTTACTACCATTAGTCTCTGAGGACTACTGAACCACATGCCTCCCGGAAACCATGGTGTTAAATTTCAGCTGTATTTCTATAATTCTTATTAAGAAATAGGAAGTGTTTATTTCGGTAATTGTGTGGAATATTTTTTTTTTTATATAATTGAAGCCCTCACAAACGAGTTGCAAACAAAGTTGTAATAATATTTTTAATATGTCGTTTAACATGTAATAAATTCTCATATTCTCTCTTCCCCAGTTCCTCCGCGAGGAGTTGCAGTACGACAGCGGGTATGAGAAGAGACAGCGCGCATTTCACCACAACGATGATATGCACATCTCTGTCAAAGAACTTTGGGAGGCATGGTTGCGATCTGAGGTAAGCCTTTCAATACTGAATATTAATTATATGTATATATTAAAAAAATATATATATATTTACCAGAGACAGTGTACAAAAAACGTTTGCTTGAGTACTTCTGTCCCTTGCGTGATTCTGCCGTGAAGCAATTGAGTTTGCATAGCTGTATGCATACTCAATTGCTCTCAAATGTAGTTTGCATTCGGTTTGAAGGGTGAAATATCGTAATGAAATTACAGGGTACAGAGACATAATATCTTAGTCCTCAGGAATAGTAACACATGAGGGAAATCATACGCGATCACAGTATATTCTGTTATGTCTATGACTGGTCATATCTATAGACGACGAATACTGCTTCCATCAGGTGGGCCGGCCGTTTGTTTGCCATTCTAAGTTGCATAAAAAATACCTATAAATAAAAAATCTTTCACCGTCACCATGCGGGGGACGTATTATACTTCGCGAAGTGAAATGGTCATTATATACTCAGAAAATACTCTACCCACGCCATTGAGAATTAGTCAGTTGTTGTTTTTTTTTTTTCTGAAAATGAATTGTAGACTAATTTTGTGTTCTATGCGTATAAAAATATGACAAATTATTTTTTAACTTTCCAAATATTTTTTTTTACTAGAATGTTTTAGTTCGTTATAAAATAGTTTTAAATGACAAATATTTCCATTCTTATATAGCTTATATAAACAGTTTAATAAAGATGGCTCGTGTGACAAAAAGAAGATATAATAGTTAATAAAACTAGTGTAATGACTAAACATATTTAGTTTAAGGTTTTATGTGTTATTTTATATGGATATGTGAACAAATATTACGATTCACACCTCACAAAAGAGTGTTTTAATAAATTCAATGGTATATTATTACAGGTTTCAGATTTTAAAGTGTTTTGTAATTACTGTCACAATTAAAGCTTGCTTTTTATAAAAAAAAAATGTAAAATAATACAAGTGACGTCACAATGAGGTCGATTTTTAACCGTCTCTTTATATATCTTCACTACATAGTATAAAGCGAAGTCGCTGTCGCTGTCTGTCCGTCCCTATGTACGCTTAAATCTTTAAAACTACACAACGGATTTTGTAGCGGTTTTTAAATATATAGAATGATTCAAGAGGAAGGTTTATATGTATAATACATGCATAATATAGTAGAGGAACACTGATAATTTTAGAGGTTTCTAATGTAGTATCGTAATGTAATGGGGGACTGGCGGCGCTATTTAGTATCAGCATTGCACCCGTACTAAGCCGGGGTGGGTCGCTAGTTAAAACTAACATCTTTTACTATTTATATATACGTTACATACTTATACCCTTACTAATATTATAAATGTGAAAAGGTGTTTGTTTGTTACCTTTACAGCGCTTTACTGGCATAACCAATCACTATGAATTTAGTATACACGTACTATATGGGGTATCGACAACTCTTTATCCCGGTCAGTAAACATATGTCTGGTGACTTGTAACACAGGTTCTTCTAAACCTACCGCAAGCACCAGTCTCTCACAAAATTGGTCTTCATATCAAATTGTACCTCAAGTTGTCACTTTATTCTACCTTTTGTGAAGAGAAAATAAACCATTCATTCATTCATTCATTCATATATCAGTCAGGCGGACGAAGTCGCAACTAAAGGCTAGTTACAAATAGATTATTATTATAAAGATCAGTATGAACCTGTTGAGATTTTTGGTGGTCCCTAACTTAATTCTTTTAATGAATAAATAAAAATTACTTACACGTTTTCTTGCATCGGAAATAAAAAAATATAAGAACTGCAGAAATAGAACGTAACAATGTCAGGAAAGTTATTTTATAGCTAAAAATAGGAATAAAGCAAAGTGTAATCATACCAGTTTTAAATTGTCTACTCCTGAACATAGGCCTCTCTCAATAGGAGAATTTTGCTAGTAGTTGTCACGCTTGGCAGGCAGATTGGCAACCGCAGTCAGGCTACCATTCCCTAAGGGAACTAATCACCTTTAACGATACCCACGAAAAAGGAAAGGGTCGTCTATTCTAGCCCGGGACCACACGGCAAAGCGAAATAACACTTTCTCTGTAAATCTTTACCTATATACATTAATAACACCATGGACATCACTCAATGTAGTGTGTCTTTCATGGCCCCTCTCGCGATTCGTCATTTTCAAGGATTATGGTGTTATGGTTCTTATATCAAAGACTGTTAACAGAATATTAGTGCTTTGCTCTTTTGAGGGCGTAGCAATAAACTGAGTTGTGGCCATTTTGTATTGCTATGGCACACTCACAAACGAAAATTGTATTTAGCTTTATGTATTTTTTTTTATCATTTATGTTATCTCGCTTTTTTGTATATGTATGTTGTAATTTGTGTGCTGTAAGTAATGCAAATAAATTATCTATCCATCTATCTATCTGTTATGGCCATTAGGGTATTGTAGTATATTATGTTCACGTACTGGCTACTAATAATTTTGTAAATACTGGCCAGTACGTGAACATAATATACTACATCTCTTTTCCTTCGAAAGAAAAAAAAAAGTATCAAAAGTAAGTAGTAGTAAAAATCCCACCGCTGCCACCATGTAGTGATACGCAAGCGAGTTGGTTAAACACTAATTTATTCATTGGAAGAATAAATAGAACAAATTATTACCGGCCAGTATTTACAAAATTATTAGTGGCCAGTACGTGAACATAATATACTACAGGTATGAAAAAGCAAAATATTAAAATTACTCATAAACGATGACGACTTGTTTATTTCAGTTTCTGTCTGTGTTTTTTTTAAAGTAATGAGCATGAGACAGAGTTTTTGCATCTAATCATTATGCGCACAAGTAATAAGCATTATGGTTTGGACATTATTTTCCAATAGACCAAATTCTCATATGACTCCCCGACAACTTGTTATTGCACCTGTACTCTGTTACGGTAAATTATAAAAGCATCTATACGTTGTGCCTCGCCAATTTTTTTTCAAATAAACATTAAAAAAATATATAATAGAATGTTATTTTTCATATTTTTTTATTTTTTTTATGCAACTTAGAATGGCAAACAAGCTCACAACCCACCTGTTGGAAAGTGGGAACCATCGCCTATAGACATGAGCAGTACCATGGATATAACAGAATATACTGTTATGTCATAGTACTACTCAATTCCATGTCATTGCCCATGATACCCCCATGCGTTGCCACTCCTGAAAACTCAGGTGTTATTCCTACCCTGTAAATTCACTGCCATATCCTACCCTTAAAATCGAAACACAGCCATGCAAACACAACTGCTTCACAGTAGAAACACGAATGGGACATAGATGCCCAAGCAAACGACTTTTATACACAGTCTCTCTCTGGTAATTTTTTAACAGTCCAACTGTTAAGTTTTATGTAAGGTTTAATTTTTTATCAACTTTTTACCCTTGTTTCTCTTATCAAAAATATTTAATTTCATAAATAGAACACTGGTTTATAACAATTGTATTCGATTTCAACCTGTATGTACTCCTATAACGTGTACACGTGGGGGGGAGGGATTGTTAATAATGGAGACTAAGGGCCCCATTGCTAGCAATATACCCAACCAGGCCGACCTCCACATGGTCTCTCTGGAAACCATCGTGCTGCATTTCAAGTGTATTCGTCACGATGGGCTAACTGGCCTGTCTTTTTATCCTCACCTATCATCCTTCACTGGTGCCCCGCTAGTGTATAAATGTACGTTAAGTGTACGTAACGTGTGTGTAAAAAAAAAACATGTACACGTACTTACAATACGAATATTATATATATATTTTTTGTCTTTTTACAGGTTCACAATTGGACAGTGGAGCAAACAGTCGAGTGGTTGTCCCAGTCAGTGGATTTACCACAGTACAAGACGTTATTTTTGCAACACAAAGTTACCGGTGCAACACTACCCAGGTGATCAAATTTAATTTTAGTCTCATCATCTAATATACAATACACTTCAAATCCATAGCACATCATCATCATATCAGCCGTTAACTGTCGCCAGCTAATCGTAGGATTTCCCCATATAGGGGGGTTTCCCCATAGCATATAATTAAAATTAATTACCTAGTTAGAAATACTGAATGTGATTTGGTCAATTCTGTTTATTTTACGTACGGTACGGATAGAATAGTCTTTTATTTTTATGACTAAAAAAATAATTAACGTCTAAAAATAACAGTACAAAATAAAAAGGACTATGCGATCTTTGTCTCAGCAATTGTATGTACATATTGATAGTACATATTATGTAAATATTTGCATGGCTATGTTTCGGTTTGAAGGGTGGAATATGGCAGTGAATTTACAGCGTACAGAGGAATAATACGTAAGTTCTCAGGAACGGCGACGCATGGGGCGTATCATGGGCGAAGCAGTACACTCTGTTAAGTCTATGGCACTGCTCATGTCTATAGACGACGGTTACCACTTTTCATCAGGTGCCCACCTGATGTTTTTTTGCCATTCTAAGTAGCATTAAAAAAAGCATTATTTGATTATATTGTTGGATATTTTATTTCGTATTTTATTTTTTATGTTTGTCTAATGTTTAAATTGTAATTCATTAAAATTAAATTATACTAATGAATATAATGTAAATATAGCGGTACAAACCTGAAATAAAATGATTTCATTTATTTATTAGTATTAACCACATAATTTACACAAATATTATTAAATATTGTTTGGTGATAATTTGTTGAAACATAATTGTTCAATGTCGGAAGAAACCAAGTCGCATTCATTTAAAACGCTGCCTAATACGTTTGTGATCTAACAAAATAATGCCTAGTGAGATAAAGTACGCGATGGCCTTAGATTATATAGACAGAGTATCGAGTCTCAAAAACAGGTCAACTTTTTTGTCAACTAATTATCATATTAACTGACTCGTTGTTTTGTCAGTGTTCTATATACTTATGCACATAATGTACCTTGACGTATCTATATTTATTTATTTAATAAACAAAATTAGTTAATGTGTACATTAAAAAATGCAAAAATTATAAAACAAAATAAATATAGAAGTTATAAAGGAAACGCTCATAACTATTTATCACTCAAAATTGTATGAAAAAGTTGCTCCGCTTTTCTCGAAGCATTTGTATGAAGATACTATCTATAATTATAATCTAAGGCGATGGCATATGTTTATTATTTAAAATTTTCTTTTTGTGGTCTATGGACCATCAGCGTCCTTAGCTACTTGAATCCAGGGCCTCTAGACAAGTGGCAAGCGAATTCGTCGATGGAATCGACTTCGCTAGCGAATCCGTGAGTTGGAATGAGTCATCCAGCGTTACTATTTCATTCTATCTCACGGAGTCGCTAGCGATGTCGATTCCATCGACGAATTTGCTTGCCACTTGTCTAGAGGGTCAGGATACGACACGAACGGCATATATCGCACGCGGAATGTATGTGTGGTTATTATTTATATTATTTTATGATTGTGTTTTTAGTAGGATAGGTTACTATACTCATCTGATTCATACTCAATGCAACAAACTGATGCAAAAAATACAAGCATATATGCTCTACTATCTATGCGAAGCCGGGACGGGTCGCTAATGTATTATATGTATATATACATATTTTGTTATCGTGATATGCCACTAGATGGATAGTAATTGAAATGTTTATCTCGTGCAGACTGGCAGTAAACAACATGCAGTATTTGAGCAACGTACTAGGCATCAAAGATCCGATACACAAACAGAAGCTCGCTTTAAAAGCTATGGATGTGGTATTGTTCGGCCCGCCTAAAGGTAAGTGCGTATTATAAACTTATTCAGTACCCAAAATAAATATATATGTTACTGTAAAAGCCTTTTACAGTCATAAATCTTAGGTAAATCATTATCATATCAGCTTTTAATTATCTATTGCTGAAGATAGGGGAGTTGTTTTGCCACGCTTGGCATGCGGATTGGAAACCGCAGTTAGGCTTTGAAGATGTTTTAAAACGGACGCTGCCTATCTTTCGCCCTCTCTTAGTCGCTTCTTACGACACCAACGGGAAAGAGGGTAAACCACCTCTTACGACACCCACATAAGGAAAGGAAGGGGTAGCCTATTCTATGCCAGGACCACACGAGACACTTAGGTAAATAATTATGGTAAATATGTCTATATTCTTCTGTGATTATAGTTTATGGTACTCGGAGATATGATATTTAAATGCCAAAAAATAGACATATTTAAAACTGTATAGTGATGCTCGTACTCGTGGTCAGAAATGTAGGTTATTTTTTAATGGGAGATGATGGAATGGTAACCCCGCTTGCGCTATCGTTATACACTGGCGAGACACCAATGAGTGATGATCTATGAGGGTGACAGCAGGTTAGTTAACCAATTATAACGTATTTAAGAATTAACCACAATAGCTTCCAAGGAGAACCGCGTGGAACTCGACCTGATGGGATATATTGTTAGTAATGGGAATAGACCTGAAATATAGGTTAAGTTTGGTTTGTTGAAAGCAATAAATATGATCTTTTTTCAATAAAATCTTTACATTTACCAACTATGTTTGTAAATCCTAACGTTTACTAGTTACCCCCATAAGGAGGGGGGGGGGGTGCCAACAGTTGCTACACTAGGCAGACAAGTTGGCACCTGCAATTAGACTTTTAGAAATGTTTTAAGAGAAACGTTGCTGTCCATCCTTATACCATTAAGTCATTCTGTCATTTGCCGGGACCACATGACAGAATGATAAGCAACTGGATAGGAACAAATAGGCAATCATTCCCATTTTCTGTCAGATGGTCGTCAACTTGTTTGTATCTACCTATTTTGTTTATTATATTATCAATTATCTATGGTTTGGAGTACTGTAATTCTCCCTATAACACGGTAGATTCATTCCGTGTTCTCGTATAATGCGCTTGTATGACTCCGTATAGCGTATTATATACAAATGATTCACGTTTAACTTTTCTCGTTAAAAGGCGTTTAAATCGAATAGGTAATAAGAAAAAACTATGTTGCTGAAATATGTGTGTTTTATTAAAATCAAACTAAGAACATTTTAAATAAAAAACTTATGCATGTGTAACTAAAAAACAGTTAATTTCAAATAAATTAATAGTTTTATCACATGTTTATTCGCTGTCGGATCTATCTGAAATAACCGAAATCTTTTTTTATAGAATGTTCAATACCCGCGTTATATGGGGGAATACCCGTTTTATACGAGGGATTGAAATCGCGTATATAATATGAAAACGCATTATAAGAGTACCGTGTTATAGGGAGACTACTGTACTTCTAGCATGGCATGCTGCTGCCATCTCTTGCTGCATTCACTTTCATAGCTTACTCCTAACATACCGCTCATATAGCATACCGGTCATAGAGTTCCGTCGTTTTTGAAATATATATATATATATATATATATATATATATATATATATATATATATATATATATATATATATATATATATATATATATATATATATACATACATACATGTGAAACATAATATAATTTATACTATGCAGCAATTTAGCTTGGAACAAAAACATTTAACTGTGTTATTGAAGCTACGACCTTAATGCGTTTCCCATTGTTAGAGATACGTAGGCTGTGTTTACATATATAATATTTTTTAATCATACACTTTTTTTTTGTATTAGACAGTAATGTTAATAGATAGACGATTTTAGAAGTTTTTTGGCGACATATACCTTTTAAAAAATTACAAAGGTCTAGAATAAGATAGCCTTTAATACGATATTTCTAACATTGTAGTCTTCGCTCTAAATATCGTATACATAATATACAATAGTATATTAATCAAGTTATGAAAAACATCGACTTCAATCGTGACAAAACCAGTGATTTTGATTTAAAAACCAAACGTTTGCATTTAGTTTGATGAAATTTCTATGGAACCAATCTGAAAGCATATCCTTTCAGATGAAAAAAAAAGAACTTTAAAACAGTTTATAAATGTTTGGAGTATTGAGGTCACAAACTAAAAAATACAACCAAATTGATAACGTCTTCCTTTTTTGAAGTTGATTGATAAATTTATGAGTTTATCAAATTACCGATAACCTTTGATTATAATCAAATATCACTTAGTTGTTTTAAATCACCTGTATAGTTAAAAAATAATTCGGTACGATAACATTTTATTTTCACCTTTTTTTCATTACACTTAGTCAATATATTATTAAGTTAATATATCTTTACGATTTTGCACGTATTAATAGTATTAATATCTCTTTATGAAATAACTTAAAAAAATTGTATTCTTAATTTTTTTACGAGTCGCTTGTGAACACGACTTTATTGTGTACATGCCGTATTATTAAATATGTCATTAAATTTTCTACACATACATGCAAATATAATAAAAACTTACTACACACAATCCCAGCTGCATTTGCAGTGTTAAGACGAATGCTTCCACTCGAGGACTCATTTAAGTATTTCTACAATATACGTATACAAGTTTAGTTTTAATAGATATAATTAAGTTCAAGTCTAAACAAAAAAGAAAAACAATTGTATCTATAAAATTGAAAAACTAAAAGCTGAACAATGTCGAAATTTGATAATAATCGAAGCCTTCGTGTACGCAATCGATCACGTGACCACATGGTTTGTATGAAAATTCTCTGTTATTCATTCTATATATATAGAATGCTATAAAAGCACATATGTTATTACAAATATTTTGATTGGTGCAGAAACTTTGTTGTTCAATGTCAAGCGCAAGTTATTACTATTTGAAACATGTCATTAAATCGAGGTTAGGGTCACCATGAAACATTTCAATATTGAGACAGGATGGTAAAAAATACACTAATTACTGCACTCATTTAGTTTCTCGTCTCGTGCCAAATGATTTAATCGAATCTTGGAAACGAAAAATATTCAGTAGTGCAGCTTATTATTACTGAAGATTTGCTCATAAATAAACTATACTGGAATTGGTAGATGATCAATTGAGTGGGAAAAACGTTAATTTGCGTTTTGACACAAACCATCATCGTTCACGTGATAAATGAATGTTAACCGTGACATCATTTAGGATTATTAACAAATAATCAATCGGTTTTTATATATTTATTTGAGGAAACCCAAATCAAAATATTATAATTATAGTCTTAGGTAAAATCAAGTCACTGTTATTTTCGGCAATAACAACTTTGTTATTGGTAATTGCAATTAATGCGATATTTTCGAATTTATTAGAACCTAGTTACCGCTATGATATTAAAGTTCCATAATAAAAAATAAATGATAAAAATAATGAAAAAGAAAACTATATGAAATTTTATTTTTATTCTTGTTTCACAAATTAGAATTTTGCTCTTGAATTAATTAAGTTAGTACTCATTAATGAAATGTTGCAATATTATATTTTATGTCTATATTTGATTATTTTATATCATTCATTGAAATATATCATCTTTCATTACATTACATTAATGTATCCATAATTGCTATCATCGATGTATAAAAAATATTGTTCATTAAGAACCTTAAAATCTGAGTGACTGTAATTTTTTTCTTTCTAATACTAAAATTTTTACACACTTATTTCGAACATCGATTTGAAAATGGAATGTTAAAATACACCAATATGGCAGCCGATACATATTGATGTATTTTAATATTCCAAATTCAAACCAATGTTTTCAATTCAAAGCGTGTCTGATTTTATCTCGAGTAATTGCAAAGGGTTGGTTACACTACCGTTACATCACGACATTTGTGTATGATTTCGCTCCATTCGTGATTCAGTTCGCGTGTTGTGATGTTGTACTCCAGTATCTGTACCGTCACGCCTTTTTCCCAGCTGGATGGTCACAATAGTACAGTCGTTTCGCGCCAACACCGCCCATCTAACCATTGGAGATGTGATGCGACTGTGATTATGTTCTAAATGGTGTTAGATACTTGGCTCTTAGTGGGAATTGTTTATTGTGTTTTTCTACTGTTCTCCGGTAGATATGTGGACCTGAGTGACGATGGTAAATGTATTTATGGTACGTTGTGATGTATAAAAAATAACCAGTTTTTAAGTCGTTATATCTTAGAAGTTAGAAATGAATATTAATTAATGATTATGATGACTCGTAATAGCTGTTTATTTGAAAATCGGTTAATGGGATCGATTTTGAGGAAAATTTTTTATTTCAATTTAATAGTTTCACAAAAGTACTACTTGTATATTTTCATAACCATCATAAATTGAGTTTATAATGGTTTGGACTTAAATTTATTAGAAATTTGGTTAATATTCTTACTAAACTAACAATTTCACTGTAATATCAAATTAATTTTTTTATTTTAAAGAAATATTTTGGGAATGAGACCCTTTCTGAGTCATCGTTTCTTTAAACTTACTTGTTAACCTAATCTTTTAATGTGATAGCTCCGCAAAAGGACTGTTTCAGGTTTTACTTTCTCATAAACTAAATTTATAATAATTTTGACTTAAATATATTAGAAATTTATTTTGTTCCTTAAAATAAAGATTTCACTATAATATCAAATAGAAATTTTAATGTTAGAAATGCCGCCTCAAAAATGGCATGTGCTTGATACCTTCAAGTTGTTTCATCTATTTACTACTAATAAATACTTATTATTTAATTTGTTAAGGAAAAATATTTTAATATATGTTATTATACATTTAATTTTCAAGTCCTTTATATGCGGTCTGCATTAGTTACCTATGAATCATTTTCATTATGGTTTGAAATATTTTGAAATGATTGTAATTATTTTAAAATATTTCTTATATATAATATTATTATGAGCAAAACAAGTTGATTTTAATGATTCGTATTATTCCGATTACCTAATAGTTTTTGTTTTTTTTTTGTCTTAATATGTTTATTCATTTACAAACATTTAATCGTAGATTGTCGTAGATTATAAGGTTATTTTTTTTACTTTATTAATGTTTTGGTTGTAATCAAGAAATGTCTAAAATGGTTCAAATATCATATTAATAAAAATATCTATAATATTTGAAGTTATTGGGAACGTTAGAATTCCCAACACAACGTTTAAATACCATAGTAGGTATTATTATATACGGGCAAATCATCTGACCTTGTAATAATCCCATTATTTGAGTTCCAATGGTATAATTTCCTCCACCATTCTTTCGTACCAGCCATCATTCCTGTATTCACTGTCTTCGTATGCAATTTTTTCTATATATTATATTAACTATATATTACATACTATATTATATATACTATCTATTAACATAATATATTACCTTTTTTGCGTTATTCTATCTTCTTTCTTTTGGACTGGTACTCCACACTATTAACAATCCCTGCCCCTCCTCCCTTGTTATTTACTATTAGTAGTATTAGTTAGTAGTTAGTATTTAAATCCAAAAGGAAAATCAGCTCGTAGGTAAATAACTGGATGTTGATTAACAAGCTATGTTATTTTATATAATTGTGCAGAATTCACTATTATAGGTAGTGTAATAATATGTATTAATTCCATATTATACAATAATGTAAATATTGATCCGATGACGTGACGTGAATAACGATAGTATTTCGAAAATTCACGTCGTATGAATATTATCTTTATATTATAACATTAGTTGTGCCCGCGACTTGTTTCGCGTCTAATATAATAAATTAAATCTTATAGTATCTCAACGTAGTATTTAGTTATAGTATGATGGACCTAGATTACAGAGTTATGAATATTTAACTGAACGTTTATCTTCCCTCTGAGAGGTTAATTTGTGCAATTATGGATGTTTAAACTAATATAGCTACTGACTGAACAATGCTAATTAATTATGTCATTGGCAGTGCGCTGCCATAATTAATAACTTTGTAAATTCATTATTGTTCAATTATTGCAAAGAATTAAAGTCGCTCTCGGTTATAAGACGACTATAAGTCAGTCTTTTTTATCAACTTCAAAAAAGTAGGTGATTAACTCTAACTTTTTTTTTTTGTTTTTGGGTTTACTGGTTGGTCTGTTTTCCCTTATATTTCTAGCAATGAAGATCATTCTAAAATGCCATTAAAATTACCCCTTAAAGTTGCTTATGTATATGTACAAACGTGACACGATACACGCTTGGGAAAGACGTATGTAATTCTGCTTACTATTATTAACTTTGTGACTTCTGTACAAATTGTTCCTTTGATAAGATCGCCGAGAATAGAAGAGAATCTCGCGTTTACGTCGTATATATTCGTAATGTCCTTAGTAACGTAGCGGTTTAACTCACCACCTCACTTTCTAATGGTTGTGGATTCGCACAGTGTAAACATTTATATTCAAGGATGCATATCCATAAATATATTTTAATTATTAATAAATTGAAACACGAGATACAAGATGTTACATATAAAAAGCAATAAGTACATGTTTCGTTATACATAGGCATATAAATCTTGGTCCTTAATACTATTTTTATTTACGTTATTATGTTATTTCAATATGTCAGTTGAACGGACATCTGTTTGTTCTGAGAGTTTTTCATATGTATAATATATATGCCATGTATTCTCAACATCGAATGGGCTACCCCGTAAGAGGTCATCGAGGGAACTTAATTGTCGAGCGATGAACAGCAGAGTCGCTCTATAAATGTCACCAAAGGCTAACTACGGTTGCCAACCCGCCTGCTAAGCGTTGCAACTGCTGGCAAAACCTCCTTTATGGGAGAGATTTATGTTCAACAGTAGATAGTTAATGGCTGATATGATGATGATGATGATGATGATGATAAAAAAGTAAGTTTTAGTAAGTCTATCAATTGTCTAATATATATTATATCACACAGTTTTACTAAGCTTAAACTAGATGGCGCTCTGTAATAAGATCTAATGGTATTTATTTATTTTCACACTATCACACTAATTGCCTTATCCTCAAGTTGGGATACTTTGTGTTATAAGAAACTAGGCAATGAACATTGTGGTGGCCATCATATCCTTAATATTCAAGGGATCTAGGCTAATTCAGAAAGTTCGTTTCCTAAATTGACCCGAAATCAAACCCTCCCGGGTTTGATTTCGGGTCAATTTAGGAATCGAACTCATATAAAGTATCGTGCCCACCACAGCGTTGCAAAGATCGTCTTAATCAAAAATATAATTTATTCATATCTTGCTCAACTAAATACCAATCGTTGTTTCCAGAAGGCAGTAGATGGAAGGACTGGCTATTGGCGTCGTTGTTACTGGGCGCGGTGGTCGGCGGGTGGGCGGCGCTGCGCGCCGGTCGCGCGAGCCGCACGCAAGTGCAACGGATGCTGCGTGACATGGAACAGCTGAGGAAGGCCGAGGTGGCGCTCGATAATATGCAGAAGGAGCTAGAGATTGCGCGGTTGGAACAGGTCCGTCAGAATTATTTCTATATTATTACTATTGGTCGTGTAGGATCGCCAACTCGCCTGCCAAGCATGGCAACTAATGGTGACACCCCCCAATAGGTAGAAGTCTGTATTTAAGAGTGGACAGTCAACGGGTGATATGCTGATGACTAATATGGGCCGAAATTAAAATCTTAACATCCTTAGGCAGTATCAAAATTAAACAATTTTCCCAAAGAAGCATGGAAAGATTGAAAAGGGACAAAAATTTGAGACTCCCGTACCAACATGGCACGTCTAGATGTCAGCCCAGCTTAATTTTTTTTGTTCTATTTCTATGGTGTGTCATCATTATGCTCCGCGTCATGGATCATAGAAATGTGCCATTATAGTGGTTTTTGTCAATACAATTACTTGCTGAGGATATTTACTCAAGTGACGTATTTAGCAGTAAAACTCAATAATTTATAATTGTATTCTATAGAAAAAAAACCCACTTCAATTGTGGCAAAAACAAAATTAAACTACTAAATAAATTTTGATAAAATGTCTATGGGACCAATCCTGTAAGTATATATTTTCAGATGAAACTTGAAAATCAGATCAGATGAAAAATGTAAATTTTCCTAATCGATTTATAACTGAAGCTGACAGGGGGGAAAGGGATTGTTAGTAATGGAGACTGAGAATCCCATTGCTAGCAATATACCCAACCAGGTTGACGGGAGGTCATCGCGTTTCTCCCTGGAAACTATCATGGTTAATTCCTGATGAATTCATCATGATGGGCTAACTGTCCTGTTTTCATACTCATCGATCACGCTTCACTGGTGCTCCGCCAGCGTATCCTGTTAGCGCAGGCGGGGTTACCATACCATTTTCACCCATCAAAAAATACTGAAGCTGACAAACATAAAAAAGCAAATTGAGAACTACCTTCTTTTTGAAGTCGGTTGAAAATTTAGTTCCATTATCTTACTTTTGTTTTTAAATCTAATCTACATACGAATACTTATTTAAAACGGTGTATCGAGAATGCTATAAATAAATATACAGTCATTACATTAGCACTTGTCATACAAACACAAAAAATCTTTGGAATTAAATTGTCCTCAAATGAACACGGCAATCATATTTATTTATAGTATGTACACTTGGTAAGTAATATTGGACTCTTTGTTTGTAGATTATACTTTAAAATTATGTTTCATTAATAAGTAATGAAAAATGTTCATCATTATGTTTGAGTCCTATTATTGTCCACTGTTGGACACGAGTTTCTGTTTCCATTAGGGCCGTAGTTAGATGCAAGTTAAGGTAAGCCAAAATACCTTTTTGGTAGGGCAGAAGCCATAATTATGTAACTTCGAAAAAACGAAGGTTTCATTTTAAGGTATGGACATTGCCCCTCAATGACACCATGCCCCTCCTCCATCTACGGCCCCCATGTAACATCAAATTAATGATATAAAAGTAAAATATCACATAATATACTGAAGAGAACTTCTTAACATCAAAATGTTGATTGCAAGTGTTGATAAGTATATTTTCTTTTGTATAAATTATAAAGAAGATAATAATTATTCTATTCATTTTAAAAAGATTGCAAATATGGTTAAAACACTCATTAGTTTTGAACTGTTTTGTAGTTAAGCGAAAGAGGTTTGTTTGAATCGAAGCATTTGGCGTTCTATTGTTTCTGTCTACCCTAATGGGAAACAGGCGTGACAGATATGTATGTATGTATGTATGTATGTTTTGTAGTTAAATCTTTGAACAAATTTGAGTCTTAATTTGATTTTTAATTTTTATCCCACATCACATCACATTGTTAGTTAGATTATATCCTAAATAAAGACGGAATAAATAACAATTTAAGTATTATTAAGTCCGCCATTTACGCCATCTAGGTGTATTGAAGTTTAATAAATTAATTATGCTGCTTAATTTACACAGGCAACCCCGCAGGTTATAACTGGTGTTATAGTAAAATAATTAAAGTATTTAAATTGCCATACTAAACAAAAAAATACTTGCATTACCACTTTACAAGCTATTATTAGATATGTTTTTATTCCCTGACCAGTTTAGCGACGATATTTTTGTCTCAGGTATTTTCCGTTATCAAGGATGAACGTTTTTTTCATATTGTTAGTGTATGAAATAATATAATATTATTATTTTTTTCACATTAAACCGGCTTTTATATTAATTTAAATGGTATGGAATCAATACGCGGAATAATCCTTTCATTTAAATAACAGAAAATACAATTTGAAAAGGTAAGAGAAAAGTTGCCGTTGTTTTCGATTTTAATAGATAAAAAAAATGAAATAAAAAAGGTACATATTCAAATGTTTATTAAAAAAAAACATTTTTTTAAATTATTTGTAGAGTATTACAACATAGTATACTAAATAGTTTTGACTTCGAAATTACCTACGGAAATGGTTATTACACTAATAAAATTAACAATAATTGCTACAAACAAAAATAACGACGTCATTGGGTCCTTAAAAGTTACCAAACCTCTACTTGATATTGATTGAAAACCGATGACAAGGGATATCGATACCACATGGCTGTTCTACATAACTACGTCCAGTATCCATATGAATTTTGTCTTTTTTTTTTATAATTTTTTATTTCTTTTGTATCTTACTGCTACTGTAATACTTATGCTCATTCTTTCTCTTTTGTACAGGAAAGCGCAACTACAGAAAAAAGAAATTTAGAGAAAAAACTAAGAGAAGCTGGCGACACGCCGCTTTTGAATTCGGCATCGTCCGATTTAGAAGTTTCTCAGCTAAAAGCTGAGATTGAGGTAAGAAAGATATGCAGAAAGATATGCAGAACATATGTATTTATATATACATAAACACAAAAAACATCCATACATTTCCTGTTTTACTTTTTCGAAATAAGCCTTATTTTCCTTTTATGTTATATTCGCGATCCGGCCTGACTTCGCACTAGTAGATAGAATTTTCAAAAAATATGCCTACGTTGTTTGCAATCATGTACTTATATATGTATGCTTTGTTGGCGTACACGTCAGATTTTACGAATATTAGATTTCGGCTGCTACTTAAACCTTCACTTACAACTTGTATGATGAATTCAAACACGCAAATAATAAAATATTGCCCGTTGCCGACAGATGTTACGAGCAGAGTTGCAGCGCGCCGAAGGCGAACTGTCAGACAGGTGCTGGACACCGCCGCCCGGTTTGCAACAGTGGTTGCAACTCACACACGAAGTTGAAAACCGCGCGTACCTCCGCAAGAAGCAGCAAGCTGATTTACAGCTGCAGCAAGCTAGGGAGGCGGTAAGTTTTAATGATGACGTAATTGATCCTTCGAACCGGATTGACCTAATTACTCACAGAATAGAGATAAATAGTATAAGAATAAATATATTTGCAGTTTCTTAAAACAGTTCTTTGTATCTTTATACTACTAAGAACTGTGTTAAATACCAGGCAGTAGAGGCTTGAAATTCACTTGTTTTGTCCTCTATCACCACCTATAGAGAACATTTTATTTGTAAGGTTTAAAACTGTCTTGTACCACTCAAGTTAGAGAAAACAATACATATCTATAATTTTTTTTAGATATTAACATAATCGAGCTTGTAAGACGGGATTTTTATATATAGTGATGCATTACACAGATTGGGTGTTCTATAAGTACTGAATTTGAAATCAATTCGATATGATTATTTGTTTAACATTTTTCTAAATTACCAATTTACACATTCGTTGATAGAAGCCAATTATGTGTCCAGTAATAAGTTAAAAGTATGTTAATGTAAGTACTTATTTCAAATAAGAAGTGTTATTCTGTTTATCCAGTGCGAGAAGTTACGTAAGAAACGGTCGAGCCTAGTGGGCGCGTTCGTGTCGACACACGGCAAGTCTATAGATGACGTTGACCGCTCCATTGTCGAAGCGCGTACCGCTCTCAACGAGGTCACTCAAGAATTACAGGTATTTTCATATTACTGGTTTATCATAATATATCAGTCGTTAACGGACCACTGTTGAACATAGGCCTCCCTCATAAGGGAGGGGGGGGGGGGGGGGGGGGGGGGGGGGGGGGTGAACAGTAGCTGCCACGTTTGGCAGGCGAGTTGGAAACCGCAGTTAGGCTTTTAGTGATGTTTTAAGAGGGGCGCTGTTACCCATCCCTGGACCGTTAAATTCCGTTAATCTTTTACGGTACCTACGAGAAAGGAAATAATGGCCCTTTTTATGCTGGATGGAAGCATGTGGCAATATTTCTGGTTGGTCGATTAATATTCTGGACCTCTACAGAACAACAACAAGTTCAGCACAATATTTTTGTGTCATTCTACCCCTATTATTTGTATTTAGTGTGTCATTTATACAATATGCAGTATATTAAAAAACCTAATATCCCCATAAAGCTGTTACAGTATCCGCGAATTGTAAACGAGGTAAAAGGTAATTCAAGTAACGGCATTAATCGAAAGAATTATAAATTCTTAACACATTCATAATACTTATTCATACATGTGTATTGGTGGTGAGATCTAAAAGAAATAATTGCATTATACAAATTAGTTACACAATTGTGAGTACTGCTAAAAAGCCTATGTTTAATATCTATATGCATGTATATGATAACACGAATCCTGTTTGCTACAGGACAGGCTCAGCCTAGTGTAGGAAGCAATGATACATTCTGTGCTAATACAAACATACTTTGTTAAATAAATAAATATATCTTACCTGATCTTAATTATAAATTTTACCAGAAATTTAAAAACGCTAATTAAGTTATTTTTAACGGTAAACAGACTAAAAATTGACGGTACTAAGAAAACTTTACCTCCTCTTTTCGTGGTGACTGTGCTATGACAAAACCCCCGCTCGAATCATAATCTAAAGAAACTGTAACTTCTTAACATAACAGAGACGTAAATTCAGGTTATATTTATGGATTATTTTCTGTTTAAAGGATGTCATTTTCCATTTTGTTTATAATTTAAAAGCGAAAATTTGTATAGATAGATACGTTTTTCATTCTTTCAAGAACTACAGTTTATGTCCTGATTCACGCGGGCGAGACCGCGGTATATAGCTAGTTATAAATAATATAAAAAAAAAAACATTTTAACATCTTCAGGAGCGCATGCACAGATGGAAGCAGATCGAGCGTTTGTGCGGCTTCAACATAATCAATAACAACGGCCTACAGTTCCTTGAAACAACCCTATATAGAAATATGAATGGACGCGCGCCCGGTAGTAGAGGTACGTTGTACACTATATAATTTGGGTCGGCAAAGGTGCACGTGACACCCCTAGTATTGCGGGTGTCTATAAACTACAGTGATCGTTTACCATCAGCAAACGTATGTCTGGATGTATAGACGGGCTGTATGCTTGTTTACCACCTTTGTTAAAGAAAAAGTTCTCTGAATATAGCTATTGTGATTTGGTGTAAAGAGCTGTAACATTGAAATATTAACTAATCCAATAGTGTTATTATTCCTAATATTACTCTAACCCTACTGCTACTTTTTTTCCTAGTCAATTAATGTAACCTATTTTTTTTAATGGGTGAAAATGGCATAGTAACCCCGTCTGCGCTATCGGTATACACTGACGGGGTACCAGTGAAAGGTGATAAGTGACGATGAAAAAGCAGGTCAGTTAGTCCGACGAATTCAACGATAAATTGGTCACGATAGTTTCCAGGGGGAACCGCGTGGAGGTCGACCTGATAGGGTATATTGATAGTAATGGGGACTAACCTCCTCATTACCAACAATCCTTTCCCCCCAATGTAATCTATTAAACGAAGTAGCACGTAAACACTAGTATGATTTTTTTTTATATGATAATGGAATGGTGCCTCGTCTGCGCTTGCGGGGTACCACTGAGGAGCGATAGGTGAGAATGAAAAGGCAAGTCAGTTAGCCCATCGTGATAAATTCATTTGGACTGTGCACGATGGTTTCCAGAGGAAACTGCAGACAGGTCGACCTGACAGGATGTATTGGTAGCAATAAGACTACAAGTCCCCATTACTAACAATCCCTTTTCCTACCAGTATGATATATTAGTAAGTTTTTGCGTTTGATTGCAGTGCGCATGAGCAGCTCACAAGACGATCTGAGCATCGGCGACGATGCGTCCCTGTGTGGCTCAGGTAAGCTGGACGACGCGTCCCTATATCACGAGCATATTGACTGAGCTATAAACAACTTGTACACAGTATCAGTAGGCCACTTAGTTATATGGTTTAGGAGAGCCAGAGGATCCTCATCAATAGCATTGATTAAAGTTAGAGTTTTAAAATTAAATAATATGATTATTTAGGTACAATTATGATAAATAAACATGCAACTCGACACTCTAAAACTAAGTAAGTCTATAACTAAATAATTTTTTTATTCTTTCGTGTCTCTTTCGAGTTTGGACTCAACGTAATATTTTTTAAAAGATAGAATATTGTGTATTTTAAACTGTATTATAATATTAGTTGATATAGTATTGAAATTACAGAGCATAGAGATATAACGGCAAAGTTCTCAGCAATGACAATTTTAAGTATCATTAATAAAGTTGTATTTTTTTAATATTTACTGTTTCCCATTTTTAATTTATATTTTACATTACAAATATTTAGACTTAAATATCAATATTTCTGTACATTGTTTCAAATATTTTTTACATATTATTAATATATTTTTAACTAAGTTGCCTACTGTTACATATTGGATACTGTGAAAATTCGTTAAACCTATAAATTTTCTTAAAAATATATTGTTATTTTTTCTCTAAGTAAATAAAAAAAAAAATAACGTGCCACAACTTATAATAAAATAGTATGTAACTGAATTACCAATTCTATTAAAAAATGTAGGAATTATACTTAATAAAATTTTTGATATTTTATTTTTATATAAAAGCAATAAAGCAAATTTTTTTTTTGGTATTTTAAACAATATATTTGTATAATTCATAATATATTATGTATAATTTGGAATGTTTAAGCAATTTAATTATTGTCTATAACATAGACAAGAACTTACTATGTTTGTAATTTTCGATAATTGTAAAACCATATTATAAAATTCCTGTTATACATGTATACAGTAAACTTAAATTATTTTTAAAATTTATTTTAAAAAATAAATATATTTTTTAAAAGTAATTTAAGTTTTTGATAATGTGATAATATCATAATTCATAAAGTGTAATTATGTATGCAATAAGTAACACGTTTCCTCTGGGATACTGGTGATACTGCATTAATGTAGCTTAATTTAATGTAGTTTAAGGATACTGTACGGTTTGGTTTTTTTTTTTAATTTAATAGCTAGTGTCTTATAAACCTTTGTTCAATTACTTCAGTAATTAGTTTATTAATTATATTTGTTTTGCTAACAGCTAAATAATATAAGCTTGTATTCTCAAATATATGTTCATGGTTCATTAAAACCTTACAGTTTTTACATTCATGACTTAATTAAATGAAAACACTAATTGTTCAAATATATTATATACTTTTTAAAATATCATTATACACGTATTATCTATTTTAAAGATGCCACAATTCCATTTCGAAATTGTTTTATTAGGGATATAATAAAACAAGGTTTTCCCTAGAGACTACAGTATGGGGTTCTTATAAAAGACAATATTAAGATTTCCTCAAGGTTTTTTTTTTGTATACAACTTAGAATGGCAAACAAGTTGACGGCCCACCTGATGGAAAGTGGTAACCGTCGCCTATAGACATGAGCAGTACCATGGACATAACAGAGTATACTCTTTCGCCCATGATGGACTCAGGTGTTATTCCTCTGTACCCTGTAAATTTACAGGTAGGCAATGACCGACCGAAAATTATACCCCTGGTGTTGCAGGCGTCCATGGACATGGTCAACAGTCACTGCCGTTTGCCATCAGACAGGCTGTAGGCTTGTTTGCCAACTTTGGAGTATAAAAAAAAAAGTTGTCTGGTCTTTCATCTCACTGAGTATCCTAGTTTGAGGAATGAACAATTAGTGTGTTTATATGGCACTTAATATTAAAGCTATACTTAATTAGTATGTAACTCTCAAGGCAATTTTATATTCGGATTGTTGATATAATTGTAACGGAACTCAATTAGTGATTAGAAATATTATATAATTGTGACCCTCTTTCGCCGTGTACAAGGCAGCTTCTGATTACATGAAGATGGAAAGACAATAATTAATATTTTAATAATAGTTATTTTTATATATTATCTCTAAATTTTAATATAACTAATAAATTATATGTATAATTGTACCGATGATTTCCTGGATGAGCGTATTTTTTTTTGATGGGTGAAAATGGTATGGTAACCCCGCCTGCGCTAACGGGATACGCTGGCGAAGCACCAGTGAAAGGTGATAGACGAGAATGAAAACAGGCCAGTTAGCCCATCATGATGAATTCGTCAGGAATTAACCATGATAGTTTCTAGGAAGAACCGCGAAGAGATCGACCTGGCTTGGTATATTGCTAGCAATGGGATTCTCAGTCTCCATTACTAACAATCCCTTTCCCCCCGGATGAGCGTATTAGGAGACTAAAGCTCACCCAACTGATGGAATAAATAATTATATTATTTTTGATACATAATATAAAGTAATAAATATGGGGATGGCCTGATTAACCCCTAAATAGAGATTTATTAATACCACAAAGGCCTTTGCCCAGAAGTGGGGCACGATATAAGATATAAGAGATTTCACATTATTGTGTCGAATGTTCGTGCATAGTTAGGTCTGATTATTTTGCGTTTTATTAATATTAATGAGTAGTTATGCAAATAACAACTATCTCCTTTATGATGTCCTTAACTTATAGACATAACATAATGTTAACTTCATTTTTGGTGGGAGTACAGACGGACTCTCATGATGGAAGAATTTGGGCCGAAAGATGTTTTCCAGCGTTTTCGAGGACGGCCATCTGACACGGCGTATCACACTTCGTCGGCATGATGTCTCAAGAATATATTATTAAATATGTATGTTAGGCTATGAAATATTTACCTATGGGCCTATTTTGTAAATAAAAAAATAGGAGATGACTAAGCTTGTTATTCAGAGAACAACTATCTCTTATGAACCATAAGACAGATGTTTTCTGCATAACTATCTCCAATTAGTCTATGCTATGTTTATTTATTCTTACGTCTACGTTCTACATCATAATTTCGTTTAGACTCTGGTTTTAGATGTGCCTTAAAAGACAGGTCCTATAGACAAGGCAAATATCTATATATATCTACAAATAAATACACATATAGTTTTGCCTCCTGTCGAGTGGGATAAGACATATCTCTTTATAATATAAAAGACATTTTAGTACCTATAATGATAAGTTATAATTTAAAGCAGGAAAACTGTACTGCTCAATTTTTTTATATTTTCAAAATAAATGTTATATTTTGTACTTAACATTTTAATTCATAACTATTTTTTATATATAAATTACTAATTTATAATAAAAATTAAGAATATATTGTCTTATTTTTTTATTATAAATGAGAATATTTTGCCTTCATTTGTTGTACTGTAAGTAAATATTATATATTTATTTCTTTCTTACATTACGTTTATTTGTAGTATTTTTCTTGATGGTTTAATAATTAATCTTTTATAGAATAATAGTTCTATCCATTTATGTATCTATTATCACATGAGGTGATAACAATTGCTGTAGCATGTAGCATCAAAACATAATCAAAGGGCAATGTCTTATTTATTATTTATTTTTTGATTCCACAAATTTTGATAGACATCTTTGATTGAATAGAATAATCTCTTAATCGACGATTAACCACCAATACCTCATAAATAACAGAAAGTAGTTGTAAAATTTTTGTAATTTAATTATCTTATTTTTTAATATTGCATAAAGAAATAATCTTAACATTAATATATATTAAGAGTTGATAGTAAAATCAACTTACGAACTTTGTTGTTATATCGTATTTGGTATAAATTTAAAATTTTATATTTTCTGGGTCTCCTGTAAAGTTTTGTCCATATAAGTTAAGTGTTCTCCGTGGTTAACCGTCGTGATGATTTTACAGTTCCTGATTCAGATCTGAAGGACTATTTTCAGTTTATTTATATAAGTTTCTATTTATTATTTTGTTGTAACACATAAACAAGATAATCTCCTATGTAATTTTAATTATACTTTAATTTAATAAATGTTTTATGGAAGGTTATTTGCTATCACAATCGATAGGAAGCTTTCATGCATTTGTATTTGTCTATTGTTGAGTATTTTGCCATTATATTATTTGAGTATTGGCATTGGAATGGTCAGACCTTTTTTTTTTTTATTAGATATACAAGAATTTTGTACTACCTTTTTCAGTTAGACTTTATTTTATTCACCCTTTACCAGGCTCGAATTTGTCATATTAATTATGTAATTATTACTACTAATAACTACAGATTAGCGCCATCTTGTGTCAATAGTATTATCTATTGTAATATTAGACATTAATATACAATTAAATTCAATTGTCTATTACAAAGTTTTGTGCCAATATTCAAAATAATTTTAAATGTTCTAGATTCATAAAATTATTTAGAACAACACAATATTAAAAAAAAAACAAAAATTAAATGTATGATAAAGCATGTATGAAATAATTTTATAAGAGTTTAATTTTGAAAAATTTAAACAAACAATTTTAAGTACATATACTGTTCGTTGTGCACGTTCCATTCACTATAGTTTTGTAAATATATGTATTATTAATATTTTTCTTTTATTGGTGTGGGCTTTTTATCATTTCTTCTAATATTTGTGCATGTTTTACAATTAAATATAAATAGTAGATAAAGTAAAATCCAATTGAAACTAATTAATAAACACTTTTGGTTGTTGCACGCATTTATAAGTATTTCTTCATACGATAAGCTTTATTAGTCCAAATTGACTGTATAGAAGAATTTCTATTTAAAAATGTATAAAAACATTGCATATAAAAAATCTATGTTCGATTTAAAAAAAAAATTGCATAATACACGAACAGCTTTCATTAAATCATTTTTAAGTTCAAAAGTGTTGAGACTTCTATGAATTACTTTACACATTGTATAAAGAAAAAAATAATTATATTTTCTTTGCACGTTTGAAAGCCTTTTACGATTGTGATTTTGTTTTATTTTGCATTACTTTCCCAAATGCCACCAATCCTTAGTGTTGCAAGGATTTTACCTTGGATTTGATTCCAGTGTTAATATGGCAACAGTGATGACACGACTGAGGTAAGATAATTTAGTTAGATTTGCATCATTTATCAACTAACATTCACCATATATGCTTATACATAATCTTTTCTTTTATTCGGGATAAAAATATGTGTAGATTATTTCATACATGCTTATGATAAGTTCATAAAACTTTCCTAAAGAGAATTCAGAAACGAATCCATTTGTAATTATATTTACACTATCACATACATAAAAAAGAATGAGATGGCATGACTGGCGTCTCATTCTTGTAAGGCCATTACAGCTCAGAATCGCATAGTCTCGATTCGTCAAAATTTATTTGAAGTTACTCGTTACTTGAATGTAAGAAACAATTTCAGTCGCAGACAACTTCGGATGGAGGGAAGATTCATCAGGCAGTGAGGATCCTGACCCACCACATTATCCATTGGACTTGAGACTCGCTGAAGCAAGGTGATTATGTTGATTGATTGTATGTTTGTATTTGTCACTAATTCAAAGAGTGTTTCTGTTATAATTTCAATAAAACTTGGCTTAACTTTTCGTTAAGTTCTATTTAAACTGGCTTTAGCTCCGTGAGATACACACACTATCGTATTTATTTATTATTTACTTGAAACGTGGAATACATGGTGATATATAAATATAAAAAACATAAGTACATGTTTTATGTAACAGTTGGAATCCTTAATACTATTTTTTTTATTTTTATAATATTATGTTATTTCAATATGTCAGTGTTAATTTAATTATTTATTTGCTCCATTAAATTTATTAACATTTTAATATACATTTTACTACAAAATGACATGTGAATTAATTAATTCCAAGAACTCTCCTCACTGCACTGTTTGGGTTTTCGTACATCTACTTGATGACTGTACGATACATTTTTGTTCTACAGATAAACATTTTATGATGAACATAAAATGGCAAACAAGGCTGCCGGTAGATACGTTTTCGTCACGTGCATGAAAAACAACATGTCGTAAGGCTCTTTTCCTGTATCAAATTTATCTCATGCGTGCAGTTGCGAAAACAATAGCGAGAACATAAATATAATCATGTGCAATTTATTTAGATTACAGTTAGAAGAGCGGCTCGCGCAGGAGGCGCGAGAGAGACGGCTAGACGAGAAGCGGGACGACAAGAAAGTGTCCACCGAGGAGTTGCGAATGAAGAGCACCATAAATGATGTGAGGAAAAGTCCAGTCGATGACAGGCGGAGGGACCAGGTGCATTTTGTGCTCGGCGGGGACAAGTGAGTCAACGATAGTTTTTTATATTACATTTCTACAAAACGTATATCATATATTATTGATATCCCTCTCTCCCTCTCCCTCACACACACACACACACAGAGAGAGAGAGAGAGAGAGAGAGATACATACACACACACAGAGAGAGAGAGAGAGAGAGATACACAACACACAAGCTCAATTTTACATATAATACATAGCATGTATTTAATAACAGGGTCTTCTCTTCGCCCGCCGCCCATACATCATGTGTGGGCGGGCGAGGTAGGGGCGTACTCCATTACCCTGGCTTCTACTCCGGAGGCGACGACCTCCGGGTCGCTGGATTTGCAGCCGGCATACACTGTTGGTCTATCTATGCCGGCGTGGTGTTATTATCTCAATAATAGTTTTTCCAAGTTTGAAATTATAGATGGCGCTGTGTAATATGTACAATTTTATGCTTGCCAGTGTGAACTGGACGGGCGAGGAGTTGACGCGGGCCGTCCACTCTCAATCGCAGCCGCACCTGCGTGCATCAATGCGCGCGGCGGCGGCGGCAGGGGGCGCGGGGGGCGCGGGCGGGCCGCTGCCGCCGCCGCGGCGGCCGCTGTCGTCGGGCGCCATCGTGCGCTCGCGCAGCACCGACGTAGTTGCACTGGCCGACGACCCGCGCCCTCCGCCACGCCATCCCTTCGCCAAGCAGAAGACGCTCGCGGAAGGTAATACGCACACTCACATTGGAAACTTGATTACTCTTTTCAATGCTTCCGTTCACTTGGATTCAGAGTAGACCAGAGGGAGACTTTGTACAAAAGTCGTTTGTTCGGCACCTCTGCCCCATTTGTTTCTATCGTGAAGCTGTTGTGTTTGCATGACTGTATTTCGGTTTAAAGGAATATGGCAGTGAATTAACAGGGTACAGGGGATCATCTTAGTCCTCAGGAATAACAACGCATGGCAGGTATTATGGGCGAAACAGTATACTCTGTTATGTCCATGGTACTGCTCATGTCTATAGACGATGGTTACCACTTTCCATCAGGTGGGCCGTCAGCTTGTTTGCCATTCTAAGTTGCATAAAAAAGGGTAATTTTTTTTTTTATTAAATCCACGGGTGATAATCCTACTTCTTACTAGTAATAAAATAGTAATAAAGTAATAAGATTTTGTAAAGGTATTTGTATTCCAATCACGTATAAACAAAATGGATTTGAACTAAATTTGGTACACGTGTATGTTATATCTCAATTCAACATATAGAATATTTTATATATAGGTTCTTGCAGGCAACATAATAGCCGGCATACATATTTTTATATAGCTTGCACTTTTTTATTATAACTATGTATTTTTATTATTTTTTTATACGTGAATTCTATGACTGAATATGGCAGACAAGCGTCCTACTATGACAACTATATGTACATGCTACAAAAAATCCATAGAATCTATAGGACCAACATAAGAGTAAAGCCTACATTATAAGAGGAAGGGATTGTTAGTAATGGGAAGGTTAGTCCCCATTCCTATCATTAAACTGTATCGGGTTGACCTCCACGCGGTTTCCCCTGGAAACCATCGTGACTATATCATTGAATACGTCATAATGGGCTAACTGACTTGCCCTTTCATCCTCACTTATCATCCCTCACTGATATCCCGCCAGTGTATACCGATAGCGCAGGCAGGGTTATCATTCCATTATCATCTATTAAAAAAAAACCCCTACATTATATAGTCTACTATTGTACATGTAACGTAACAAAAAAAATACAATTAAAGTTCCTGCTTTTAAAACCAACTATATGCTGTCCTACAGGTCAAATCCACTCGGACGCTCCGACCCCAACAAGCAACACGCCGCCCGAAGAGGAGTCCACCGATTCCTCGCTAATGGACGACGAGAACGTGCCAAAAGCTAGGAAGCGACGCATTCATCTCCCGTTCGGTAAAAAGGCTAAAACGCCCGCGTGACGTCGCTGCCGCCAGGAGCTGCGATCGCTCTGCCCGCAACTGCTTTCTAGCCGCGGCGTCTATCAAGTGAATGCACAATAAGTGTCGATTGCAACAGTCGTGTCGTAGCATTTTACATTGATATTAATATTTAAATAGATTAACGCCCTTATTCCTAAAAAATAAAACGCCCTCAGATACAGTTTGCCTATTATATATAGGGTTTTGTAATTTTCTTTCAAATCAACAAAAAAGGTTATTAGATGTTTCACGTTTTTATGAATAAGGAGCAATGTCGTTTTTATTTTGTTTTTGTACAATTGTACGCATTAATTGATATAGTTAATTATAACAAATTACTATTATTTATACAACAATAAACTTGTCTATTCAGTAACAAATAGCTCGCTGGTTCTACATTATTATTTTGTATGGCTATATTTTACATGGCTCATAAATAAGGAATGAGGACTTCTACCGGAATCTGTAACTAGTCGGGCAACACTGAAGGCGAGTACCGTATATTAGTTAACAATATCAATTATAATTATTTAAATTGAGAATAAAATTAATAATATATTGTTTAACATAGCTCAAGTTGCCAATCGCAAAATTTATGTGATATTATAGTAGTTTTCCATCACTGGTATGGTAGCTTGTTTTAAAAAAAGGCTCGTATTTTTCTGATTTCTTAAACATAAATTTTTAGTATTATCTGCTGTTTTTAAAGATTCTGAACTCTAAGTATCAGATTGCCTCGGTGCAATCCTTTCTATATATATATATATATTACGTATTATTTGCACGTTTAATAAAATGCTTAGTCATGACTGTTCGGTGATCAATTATGGCTGAGCCATACAATTGTCATGTCGAATTGCAATCAATAAATTCATATTTGTAAAACAATGTAATTATATAAGACTACATATATGACATCGTATGTCTTCCTCATAGTTAAATTTATAAAAAAAAGTTTTTTTTCATAACCCGGTTTTTGATTGTGTGTAGTTCGTGCTGGCAACATTTTATTCATTGACTGAATAATTTATTTCGATTTTTTATAACGTTCAGATAAACAAGGCAATTTTAACCCTTCTTTGCATAATGGTGGAAATTTCCATCATAACATTGAATGCCCAAAAATTATATAAAAGAACAAGTTCACTGTAAGTTGATCGTGTTTGGATACCTTTTTAATGTCCATTGCAGAAAAAAAAAACATAGCTATAAAATTAATTTTTTTAACCATTTTTCCTTTAATTTTGAACATGAATGATATCACCTTGATTTATTACATCAATATAAAAAAATCATGCAAAGAAGGGTTAATATTATTATTTACAGGCGATTTGATTTGCCTACTGTTTTTAATGTATCAACAACACAAGTTGATTTCTGTATGAAGATATCCTAGGAATTCCATACTTTATTTCTATTTAGAACTTCATATATTGAAATATTACACCTAATATGTGTATTATTGTTTTTATTTTCATCGAGTACTAGACTTAATACAAATTGGCAACATATTGCCTGCTTCCATTGGCATCAATTATCAAATATTATATATAAAATATTTATCAAAAACATCAATGAATAGATAAATAATAAAAATACAGGGGGATTAGTGTCACTACAAAAAAAGGTATGTTTATACATACTTTTTTAATTAAGTGTATATAGTGGACAGCTCCATAAGGAATTGGGATAATTCGACTTTGATATGCATCTCATTTGTCCCAATTGAAAGTAAAATAAAACTGTGGAACTTTTGGAGTATTCCAACCTTCTTATTCATAACTAAAACGTTCTACAAGCCGACATTAACTATTAAGATGTTTTGTCATCGTCTTTCATATTGAGAAATTAGTGCAAATGAAAAGGACAAAATTCTTTAATAGCTAAGCTTATAAAGGTTTGACGTTATAAATAAGGACTTATATATACTTTATAGTAATATATAGTCATGTAATAACGATGTCCTGTTTCAATTTGAGCAATTACGATTACATATGAAAATGTATTAGATGTATTATTTGCGATAATAGATTTATATACTATTTCCCCAATGTATATATATATATATATATATATATATATATATATATATATATATATATATATATATTTGTAGTTACGTATCTTTGTACATAAAAGTAATTGTCGCAAAGGGCTTCGAGCCAGACAATTGTGACTTCTGTCATGATTTATCGACAGAGGTAATAACGTATGGGTGGCCCCAATATATACAATGAAACGCTGTCAATTTGGAATGTTGTCTATTGAAATCCATTTCCTAAATTAACAATGTTATCCTTTACATCCCAATTTTAACTAAAGTATAACTATATTATATAATTTGGTATGAAATACCAGTATTTAATTTTTATTTGATATGACTGCCCATGCTTTCATGTATGTCATATGTGGATCATTGTATATCATATCATTTCTATGATATATCTATTATATGTATATCAATTTCATTACTTATGAGTATGAGATACAAGCCTACATTAAGAGGTCGTCTACACTAAGAATCGAGAAAGTCCTGATTTCCTATCAAATTTTTGTTACTAGCCTGCGGGAATATCTGCAGTTTCGCTTCTGGTACTATTATATCTTATTGCCATGAAATTTTTGGAAATACCCAAATAATAATAAATAATGAATATTGAATAATAAAGTAGGTACTTTTTATTTGGCGGGAGATTGCGACGTTATTCTTGAGCAAAGGAAGTTTGTTATTATTGCCTCAAATGTATTATTCAGCTATGGCAACCCTAAGCATACGTCAAATCAACTCGAAAGTATTAAGGTTGTACAACCCTAATATTTTAATTTGCCTCGATTTCAAGTTGACGTAGGAAAAACGTTGACATGTGACTTACAGTTATTATTTTTGCGCTATTAAATTATGAACACTCTGGAAACATAGAGAAAATAACAATAATTGTAACTTAGATTATTTCTAGTGAGTGTTCATAATGACGTGTGTTTATGTAGCTCGTTTTTTATTCACTTGTTTGGTTTGATGTGTTGTATAGGTATTATTATTATTAAAAAAAAAAAAATAGCTATAAGTCACTTGTGGTAGAAATTAAACGTTGTCCTACACATGGGAATCCTACTTTTACCCCGGTAAAAAAATCCTTTGTCTCGACTTTCTATGTTTTTAAGAGCGTTTACCGTTTACTTACCGAAGTGTGGCGACGTCATAATTATATATAAATTTTTAAAAATAATTTATCATTTTTTAATATTTTTTATTATTTTCTTAAGTGTTTTGCTAGCGAACTAAAACGTGAATTATTATCTTGCCTTTCCCCATTTATTTAGAGTGGGCGCAGTATGTCTTCTTCTTCCACAAAGCCCTGTCAGTTGTCATTTCCGAGCTCACTGCTCTTTTATCCATATCATCTTTTACACAGTCCTTCCACCCTTTTTTTCCAGTTGTCCCCTGCCTTTACATCCATCCACTTTCATAACTGTTTCTTTGAAACATGGCTTTCGTTTCTGCGCATAGCATGACCATACCAAGATACTCTATTACTTCGCAACTTCTCCGTTGCGAATTAAAACAGTAATTATATCTAACATGAAAAATTTTATACCTCATTATATTTTGCGTTTAACAAAATACATATTTGCCATCAAAATTTAAATTTTCAATGACAGCTTAATAAGAATATTATTGCTTGATTAACGTATTAATTCACTAGTAGAAGACATTTTAAATAACAATCAATCAGAAACATTGAAAAATGTTAAAAAAGAATTCAATTGTCTTTGAAAATTATTTATAATTGACGACGTTTCCATAGTTCGTTATGAACGCTCTTAAGGCGGGAGTTAATCCTCATATATTTAAAGTCCGGTAAAAAAAACCTCTAAATTTGTACACGTATACGTGTTGTGCGAATAAGTGGCTGATATAGAGGAAAGTTTGCTTTTACCGTGTAACCGCGGTCTATCGTTTATAATGGTCGCCGAATCGCGTCATTCCCTGACCTTAGTATAGCGATATTGTTCTTAGCTGTACGTAGATTAATTTAAGGCAATTTTGGTGCTAAATTAACATTTTCAGACTGAGACAGTGCACGGCTCAAAGTTTTATAGAAATATTGATTTTTCATTAATTTACTGTTGTTATTATGAAAAGGTTTGTCTTTCATCGTCCACGGATTTATCATAAATCCGCAGTTGAAATTGTAAGTTAAGCTATGTATTCACTAGGTTATGATTGAGGCAACACATTATATTTATTTAGTATTGTGGAATTGCCATAAGTCAAAAATCCCTAAAGAAAATAAAATCATCAACAAACATTATTTTATGATATATTTACCCTTGTCTAAGGGAGGTTCATTTTTTCTAGATAGCAGAGATTTGCATCGTTGTTGCGCATCACCTAATGAATACATACAATGCTTAGTATATAATTGAATATCAACTTGTAAATTATGGATAAACCTTAAAAATAATTGTTGTATAATTGTGATCATTCGATAAGCTGCCATATTTAAAAGCTGCATTAGAGTGGTTGTGGCACTTAGATTTTTTGGTATTTGTTCAATAAGCTTAAGCACCTATTCAGTGTTAAAGAGAAAAAAATCTAGAAACCGGTTACGTCAATGCAATCGAGCGTAAGAATGCATGCACTTAATCGAAATTATTAGTGTAATAGTGAAATGCCTACATTATTTATTGAGTACAAAAAGAAATATTGACATGTTGAAATGTCAGGTTATTTGTAATGAATTATAGAAAAAATGTAAATGATCTACTTTGTGAAAGTTTTTATAATCCATAAACAAAATATCTTGTCCAGATTTAAACTTGGTCAAACGTCAAAAGATGTCGCTTTTCAAACGAAAGCAATAATCTTTTCACACATATTTGAAAAGAGAAAACATTAATCCCGATAGTTCGTAATACAGTAATCTCCTGATTACTTGGTATTTTTAGAAACGAAGATAACTTTATTGTGATTATTTAGCGACTTCTTATTTACATATATATTATGTATATAAGTTATCAAATATAATTCTAAAGATATTTTGTCAAAACTTACTAATCTTTATCTTTAGCTTGTGATCGTCTTATTTGTATATACACCTACCTACTTAGTAATTTGTTATAAATGTAAGCGTAAAAATTATTAATTCGAAATATGAGGACGATCTATGTTGAACAGTGGTTGTGATGAATTAATTTATTATAAATAAACTTTGTCAAGTTGAATGGATTTGATGTTGGTACATATATATATATGGATATATGGATATGGTCTCAATGGTCTATATAAGAGTAATAATTATAACCTACTCCATGCTGGTAAACCTTCTGATTACAACTAGTAAAAATTAAATACGTCACAAAGTAGATCTTTATTTTAGATATTATACTATAGAATTTTTTTTCACAACTGTATATTTTATGAACAGATCTGACCGCGTAATGTTAAAAAGACAAATCGTGATACCTAAATATATTGTTACATCTTTGAAAATTAATAAAGTGATCTTACGAATCTGTTTTTTTTTTTCGATATTTATTTGTCGATTACTCAGGATTAATTTGGTACACAGTGCTTATGCGACAGTGGGACGGCGTCCATTCTAGTAATTTTTTCTTAAAATTAAAATTTCAGTTATATATCACAGTGAAATCTTTACGATTAAGACAAACAGGAACCAAATTTCTAATAGATTTAGAACTTATTGAAAATCTATCTCCTTATTCATAAAAACTAAAATCTACAAACCTATTTTGACTATTGTTTTGTCACTTTCTTTTAAATTGAGCAAAGTGCAAGAGAAAAAGAAAATACTTTAATAATTAGGTTTATTATATATTATAAATACGTTTTTGGCACTGTTATGAATAAGGGGATTAGTTTATAATGGTTCATAAAGTAGCAATTTCACAAAACTATCAAATTAAAATATATTGATAAGTTCAGCTTCAGAATCGAGTCCAATAAATATTTGCTTACTGATGAGACTCCTAGCTACTAAGTATGGATTTAGTACACAGTGACTACAAGTATTACTCTTAATGTTTGTACTAACTTCAAATGGATAAGAATAAAATACTGGGCAGAAGTGACTCTCATATATGTTTATGAATACGATAATGCCGCCAAAATTCTCCCTTCAGTCCTTTAGACCTCGTAAATGTAATGTGTATGTAGTAAAATTTTTGTTCCTTTACATTATACTAAATTATACATGCAACACAGTTTATGTAGAAAGTATGCAAGCAGGTTGTTAGAGTAGGCAGGATTTGATAGTTATATGGCCGTATAACATTTTCTATACATTAGCCTAAAAAAAATAGCAACTGATGGCGTATCTTTCGTCTTCTTTTTACTAATTATATTTGCATAAGAAGAAATGAGACCACTATGATTTAGTTTTTATCATTCCTTCTATGTAATTCCTTGTTTTTAGTCATAAACTGGATTTTGGCATAAATTTACAAATTAAAATATTAGATTAAGAGATAACTAGAGAAAAGGAAACAGTCAGTTATAACTAGAAATTTTTCTAGTAAATATATTACAATATGGTCCTTATGTTCTTTATAACATCGCATAGGGCAACACTCAGACTACCTAGATATCTTTTTAAAAATAAAGGTCTACTTCACGTGTACATATAAAGAAAATAAAACACAAACATTTAATTATTAAATTTATTTAGAAAATGTTATGTGTACAAATATCCTAATAGCTGGTGTATGCAATGCAAGTTTAACATTAATACCAATGTTGTTATTATTGTACGGTGCTTTACAGCGCTTACCCTCGCTCCTCTTATGTAAACTAATCAATTTACTAAACCCTTGTGATATCGACAAAATAATTTAAATGCACCAATTCTTTATAATGTACGTATTTATAAAAGGTAATTGCTTCCAGCGCACGAATAGCAATAATCATAGATAATTGATATTTTAACAATAGTGGCATATGTAAGTTACTAAGGAGCCAGTAACTAGACACTATCAAAAACATACTTTTTGAATATAACATGTTAGTACAATAGTCTTAAAGACTTAGATGTATCTCAGCTGTTAACGTTCACAGGGCGTGAGAATCACAAAGTTTCGATTTATATATCACTAGAAATGCGCCACAAGCACCCAAATATAATTACAAATTAATAATAATGGCCATAATTAATATAAGACAGAGGCGGATAACTCTTAAATTTTACATTCCACTAAATTTAAATTAACGGGGAATGTGTAGGGGAATCGGCCGTCCTATCGTTGCGAGGTTGTGTAGTTTTAAGCCAAATTCCAAAGGCCGATAAAATTTGATATCGGCGCAAGCTCATTTTTATTGTGTACCATAGTAGATGCCGTCTACTACGAGAGAACTTCTTGACTAACGATCATCAACACAATTTCAATATTTATTTTTACAAAATATATTCACGGATGAGCAAATGATATTATACAAATTCAACTAGCTACTAAGGAGATTTAGAATTGCATTGTTTTAAATTCACGTCCTTTATTAAAATTATTCTTATAAATCATTGCAATGAAACGCTGCCTGTGTCAAGTTGATGATTATTTAATTTTATATTGAAGCTTTAGTCGTCTATCTTATACAGGCTACCGAGAAATACACTGAACACACATGAACTCATCATGTTTAAAATGACGGTATTCATTGGATATTAACTTTAATCGTTTTTATACTTTACATTGAGAAAAATAGCAACTTTTAAGAATTTAATATTGATTATTTGAATTTGGAATATTTACACAAAAATAACTTCAAATGCAATGTTTTTCATCACCACACCAATTCAATTGCAGGCAGATTTAGTAAGAATAATTTGAAATTTATAATTTTGGAATTATTAAGAAAGTCAAGTCAACAGCTTGGTGTTCGATCAATGTTTGAATTTATCGCTTGGCTATGATCGAGCCTCGCTTCCTTATTATTAAAAATATATAACTGGAGCAGAGAAAACATAGTTTAACATCATAGATTGCCTCATAAAGTAAACCTACACCTAAACGCGCATCAATCATTTCGGGATGCATAGAAAATTAAGTGAACATTTTTTTTATTCCGCGTTTAAATAAAATAATAACTACTGTGAGTCATACTGTGTTGTAATAATAACTTATATTATCTTTATTCACGTATTAACTTTGGGGTTACCCGACTAGAGGTGTTCGCGACATAGCTATGAAGCGTGCTCATGAATAACGGCTTCTATCGAATACAACATTAGTCGGGCGATTAAGAATTCAATGCGCGAATAAAGTAAAATATAAATAGAATAAAATACTAGACATTATACCGTAGTTCGGAAGACGTCATTCGATTCCGAACATACAGCTTGATTCTAATGTGACCAGTTTTATATTTAGCTGTAGGACGTTACAAATTGTACATAGTAGCAATATATGTATTTTGGAGAAATATTAAAACCTATGTATCGACCTGTTGGCTATATATTGGACAACACCTAATACAGTCAACAACCGCACACGTTACCTATCGATTCGATGAACTCAAAATAGGTATACAAGAATAAGAGAATATTCAACTGCGGCACGTTTAGGTGTGCGTCCAGCATTAGACAGCACCAGTACGCGACTCCGTGATAGACAATACCTAATGTTATAATACATAACTGTTACGTGTTGGACCGTAATACATTTAGCTCAACGCTACTGCTGCTTGCATTCCGCGGGGTTTTCTTGTTGTGCGCCCTTGATGGCCTTCTTGCCTCTTCTTCTGGGCGCTGGCTCGTCGTCTTCACTTTCCTCTGTGGAACATTCCTCCTCCTCCTGGCAAATATTCAACAATTAGTATACACTAATCCCAAAGTAAACATATTAAAACGCCACAAATATTTCATTACCTTCATCATTTATCGACATAAAACGTGAATTCTGCAACCATCCGCATTCGGTATACTTGCAAACTAATAGCATGCAAACTAGGTTAAAATAAAACACACTCGGATAAAAAGCATACAATTTTAATGTCTCCGTATCGACATCATGCCAAAACAAAAGCCATAAATAACCAGTATGTATGGCGAGCTACTGAACATTGACCATATTATGCTAACTTCAATAGAAGGTTATATAAATAAAAAATATACATCTACACTCCGACCTAGCTATTGTCAAGTTATTTATATCTAAACACGAGTTCTGAATAAGATCACAGTTGCGCCGTTATAATGATGATAATGCATTTTGGCACTAAAAAGAGATTCAATAGAGTACATCGCCGATTCATACAAATTGCTGCCTCTGTTCATATACTGATGAAACTAATAGCATCTCAATGGAATGACAACACATAAATTTCGACACAATTCGATAAAAACTTAGACATTAATAATATCACATGAAATTTCAAAGTACACATACGAACATTTATAATCCGTAAACAAAAATACAAACTATAATTACATTATAATAAATAAAAACGAGATATTGTATAACTATCTAGAAATGCAATATATGTATCGTAACAGACGTTAACAATGTGTGTAACATGCATTATATTAATAATTAAGAAGGCACCATACACTTCTCACATCAATAGAATAAAAATTACAAAACATTATGTTTCTAAAACATATTTATCTAGTCGTGAGATAAACCATGCATAGAAAGGTTGCAAGACATGTTCATTACAACAGCTAGCGTACAATACTACCAATTTAAGGGCTACCCATCGTATCGCAAGAGTATTCGTAATCACTTATAGTTTTCTATATTTTTTTTGGTACAATTCCAATGATATGACATCCAGATATGAGTGTAAATAATGTTCGCGGTTGAAGCGCGGGTGAGTGTATCGCGAATTCTTACGGGCCGCGGTCAATAGTCTAGAACGCGAGGCTTCGACCGGCGCGGGGGGACACCCGTTAAACAGTTACAACGCTAGGGGGGCAGTCGGATTATCGTCTTGCATCAATCCTCCGCGTCGGACACTTCCTCTGTTCCCGAATCTTCGTCCGAGTACGAATCCTCCTGAAACCAAATATACCGCTGTTGGTTGTGTGCCACCGCGACATCGACCAGACGTAGATACTGTATCCGTCGCCGAGGAGCGCTCGCATGTTTACGTATAACACTAAAGAAAAGGATCGGGAGCAATACTGTACCTCCGTCTGATACTGTAGGAATAGGATAGGCAACTCAATGGCACACCGTTAAACTAAGCAAGCATCAATGTCTACCATGCACAGATACAAACTAAAACCTCGAGGGAACACTAGATAGATGGCTGTAGAATTCACATCTCATGTAAACAACAATTGACGTGAACTTATGACGAGCACATGAATACGCAAATTGATTTATATAATGTAAATAACATCTGCAAATTTTTAAGAGAATAGCTGAGAAGATTCGTCTCAAGATCTTACAATATACAACTGAGTATTTATATTTTTTTTTATACAACTTAGAATGGCAAACAAGCTAACGGCCCACCTAATGGAACGTGGTAACCGTCGCCTATAGACATGAGCAGTAACCATGGACATAACAGAGTATACTGTTTCGCCCATGATACCCCCCATGCGTTGTCATTTCTGAGGACTCAGGTGTTATTCCTCTGTACCCTGTAAATTCACGCCACATCCCACCCTTCAAACCGAAACACAGCCATGCAAACACAACTGCTCCACGGTTGAAACACGAATGAGACAGAGGTACCTAAGGAAACGACTTTTGTACAGTCTCCCTCTGGTAAAAAAAATGAGCATGGCATACTCACATTGTTTAGGTAAATTTGTCTAGTTTGCTTTTACTGTTTCCAGTGAAAATATGAAAAAAAGTATGATAATTAGAAAACTAAAGTTTCAAATAGTTTTGCCATTTCTTAATTGAGTATTTAGCATAAGAAAACAAAACACTTTAATAGTTAGATTTCAGACATTTTTATGACTAAGACGAAGACTTTACATCTATTGATGTAATGTCAATATAAAGGTACATTTATTTAAATTACAACTAGCTTGATCTTGTTGTATATTGTAAAATCTTTATTACTTAGTATGGTTAAAAATGTAATTATGCTAGTTAGTTTAGCAAGCCTGTAATAGTCAGTACCCTTCGAATTACAAGAATATAGAATTAGTAACTTGTAAACTATTATAATCTTTTATACTTTAAATTTTTTTAATAATAAAAATTATTAGATATTTTAAGTTTTTTCTCAGTAAAAAAAAAAAAAAAACTAGATAATTTACTAAATTGCCAAATAATTCGAAAATAAGGCGTTACTGTTACGAGCATATGCAGACAAGTTACTCTTTGAATATCTTTAGCATCGACTTTTATTTAGTTTATTAGTTATAGAGGATAAACCGATCCCCGTTATAACTTAATTCCTAACCGTTGTTTCATGAGAGCAGTATAAAATTGTCATTGGCAATGGACTAGATTAGTATTAGATTCAAAAATAGACCCGTTGGTAATAAAAAATCAATGAGCGACATTATATGTCTATAACTATATTACTGGTTTCATGACATATTCTGTAAAAGTAACTCGTCTGCACAGGCCCACTAGCGTTATCGTCACAGTCGCAACAAGAACCCAGTAAAGTTAGTACGCGCTGCGATTATTAGTGATTTCAAGCATTCCACTCACCTCCTCCTCGTAATCATCGTCATCGTCCTCGTCGAGCCCCTCGCCGGTGTAGAGCAGGACGGCGCGGGAGACGACACGCTCGCGGATGTAATGGCCGATCTCGAAGTCGGCAGTGAGTAGCGCCTACAAATATTTTTATTTTTAACTTTCTTTTGAATTATATCTTTTGCAAATTATAAAGTTATTTTTTGCAAATATATTTTTTTTTAATGGCTAAGAAATATAGAATAGAATCAACTATTATTCTAAATACAGAAAGATACAAAGAGGCTACTCAAATATATCTCTGTTTATATGAAAACTAAATAAGCTACTTATAATTGTACAAAAGTTATTTATATTGACATGAAATGGACAATGTCATTTAATCACAACAACCACTGTTACCCCCATAAATACCTCTTCTTAATCCTCATATGTGAAGACAGTGGTGTTTTACCTCCAAACCTAGTAATTTCACTGTCATATTCCTTGAAATCAAATAACAGTTATCAGAACACCTCAGACTGATGCCTTAAAATACGAATGAGAGAGAGATAGAGAGAGAGAAAACAGGAACAACTCTCTTCTTTACTGCTACAAATGCTCAAGGTATAATTTCAAAATAATATTTAAATAAAATAAGCATAATATTAGTTCACTAGCAGAGCACTTTTCAATCAACTTCAAAAATTACTTAATTCGGTTGTATTTTTTTTTGTTACCCCATAACTCTATCAGTTTATAACTAATCAAAAAGTTCTTACTAAATAGTTTACTTTTTCGATGTTTTTTTTTATGCAAATCTTAATTAATTATTAAATAATGAGAAACTTTGAAAATTGATAATGACGCCGTTAGCACACTTCGGTGGGCTAAACTATTAATGCTCTTGATCCTTACCTGAATATCAGAGGCCAGAGTGGAGTTGGGGTCATCGGGCATGGCAGGCGGCGAGAAAAAGTTGAAGAAAGAATCGGCCTGCACCGATTTAGTGACGGTGCGCACGGAGCCGCGCGACTTGTGCTTCTGCTTCTTCTTTATCGTCTTCACAGTCACATTCTTGCCTTTCTTCCAATTAATTTCACAGCCCTAATCAAATGATAATTCTGTTTAATGTTACTATAGTAAACTGTAGCATTGCGGGGAGAAAGGCATTGTTAGTGATGGAGTCTAACTGACCCATTGCCAGCAATACACCCTATCAGGTCGACGTCCACGCGGTTCCCTCTGGAAACCATCGTGGTTAATTCTATTTGAATTCGTCACGGTGGGCTAATTGACCTGCTTTCATCGTCACCTATCATCCCTCACTGGTCACTGGTGCCCGCCAGCGTATACCGATAGCGCAGGAGGGGTTACCATTCCATTATCAACAAAAAAAAAAAAAACTGTAGCATTGCCTCTCATTAGAACGATTTAATAGCAAGTACCCCTTTGTTAAATTATGACGTGGTTCACATGTGTACTAAATTGCATTGAAATTCGTTCTGAATATAATAAGTCTGATCAATAATCTGAATATTTTACAGGTACACGCTTGTTTTGTTATTTTATATCTAACTCTAATTAGATAAACCTATTTTAAAATGTATCAATTTTCCAATATCCATTGCCTTTATACGTTTTTCTAATAAGTGTTACTTTCGTAGGAGTTTAAAACATATAGTAAGTGTAGTCATATAAATGCGACCTAAATATTTATTTAAATATCGTGGGTTTTAAAGCAAACACAAAAATATTCACTATATATTTACTAGTTTGTTACTATCGAACTTAAAATTATGCATTATATATAAAAAAGAAACACTTTCATTGCATCTTATAAATTTGCTTTAAATTCGCCTTTACAAAGTGTTATTCTCTCTTAAAGGATTTTCATATATTTCATCCTTTTAAAATTTAATCTATTTTATAATTAGTAATTCAACCAACCTTGCAGGAATAAATCTCAGGACCTTCAAACTCCAATGGATTCTCTTCATCAGGTTTACACTTCATAGAGTACTCCTTGGTCAGTACAGTGTTTGTGAAGTAGTCATTGGGTGCGAAATAGAACTCTAGTGTGAAGCCGATAGGGTCGTCGTGCATTTGCACTGTTGAATAAACATGGTTACGTTAATTTGTATTCTTCAGTAGTTTAGTGAACTCCATTCTATGGAAAGACTCAGTTGGTGATGCATGTTAAGAAATCAATCATAAATTTCAGTGATTTGGTGTAAAAAATCATCATATGTAACACAATACTATGTAACGAGAAATATCAAGAGCATTTTAGCACTTTGTCTTATGACTATCTTACAGTCCATGTGCGTATAGTTAGTCCAGTCAACCAAATTTAGAATGGTCGAAAATGGCAAAAATGGTTGCGGCCATCTTGACAGCATTTTCATTTATAATTTAATAATTGAGGACAAAATGATTTCAATATTTTTTATAATTATAAAAAAAAAGATGTTTACAATGGTCTCCCTGATGGCATATATAGAATAATACAATCTGAACAAGTTTTTACCAGATAATCATTTGGTACATGTCACAGGTATTGAACCCCACTGGTTGTTATTTAGACTGTGATAATGCCATAATAATTTATTTATACAAATAAATTTTCAAATGCTGTGCAACTATAAAAAGTATTTGCTTCAAAAAATATATAACAAAAATTTCAATTCTTTTTTCAATTTTCTAGTGTCAAAGCACACGTTTCTGCTTACCTTTAATATCCTGCAAACACTTGAGTATAGGCTCGTCATGTTCCTGCATCATTTCGCATAGCATAGACACATTCCTGAATATGGTGTACCAGAAGTCTGGAATGCCTTTGACATTAGGATCCATTGCGGGTCTGAAAAAGACAGATAGCGTTGAAAAATCATGATGACAAATAATTCTTGATAATATGATATAAGTTTTTATCAGTTGGTGATGCATGTTAGATCAAATCAATCATGATTCTCAGTGATTGGTGATAAATGTCATCATTGAAAAATAAAAAACTGTTGATAAAATATTTAAGGACCTTTCTAAAAGATATGGAGTTACTGATAGCATAAACGTAGTGCCCCTGAATGTATTATCTCTACCCATTTAATTTATATCAATATCATTATAAAGTGTTACAAGTACACGTTAAATTGAAGTGAAAAATGTGGTGAGGCATACAGGTACGGTTATAGGTATAGGGTAGTACCAAACCTAGTCAAACATTATTATAATTAATAATACAAGTAACTTAATTCAATCATCGACAACCATCTATACTCTCTATATTACTCACATAAGAATATATTTTTAGGGATAATTTCTATATAAAAAAAATAGTTTGCTACAGAAATATTTAGTATAAGAACAAATTAACTTACTCAATGGCCTTAACTTCTTCCTCAGCGGGCTTCTTCTCCGTACCGTCAGTAATAGCAGCGCCCTGAACGGCGCGGGCCAGTTCCTCCTCCTCATTTTCATCACGCCACGGGTTCAAACATTCTTCATCAGTGGGCTCATACGAGCCGCTTACAATTTGAGCGCGCTGATAAAAAAAGAAATCGTCTATTAGTTTTATCTCTAAATAGTCCATATGTATTGTTTCGATTAAAAAAAAAAAATTAAATCAATTTCATCTGGGACAAAACTATTACGAACCTATGACGAGACGGGTCGTAAATTTAATGAAGATATTGTGAATTTTTTTTTATCAAATCGGGATTTGCTTTTATTTAAGTCTATACATTGCTTTAATTATAAGTCAAATGTTCGAGATAAATCTATGAAAAAAGAACTATTATTACCTTTTCAAACAGAGGTTTGTAAAGCTTTTCGTATTTGCACTCAAGAGCGTGCACCTCACTGTAAAATTTCGCCTCGATGTCGACAAACTCCTTCTGTAATGTGCGCAGCGCGCGGATGCGCCGACGCACGTTCGGTGGCAGCGACGCTAGCGCCTCCACGTGGATGCGGTTCGTTATAGCGGCCAACATTTCGTTGCGAGTAATCCCGCTGGTGATAATATAAACAAATATTTTTAGAATTGCTGAGTGCTGTTTAACATAATGTTGCTTAACGTTTATTTAAAAAGATGGTTAACCGCCAATAAATTCTAACTAACATGGACAACATTTACAGATGTCACAAAAAAACATACTAAAATGATGAAACCGAAAAGAAAATTAATTGGTTTTCATATAAATTCTCAAAAAGTATTTTATAAATGTCAGTTAGGAGGCGTAAACTGTTATTAATGATCATAGTCATTCTTACAGAACAGGGAATGAGTACAATCGAAAAGTACAGAATATAATATGCTGTTTGCCCACTGCACCTCTCACACGTCTGTCCGTAAAAAGGCATAGACACGAATTTATAAAAAAGATAAGTGAATAAATAATTACTTCAAGTTATAAAACTACTTTACCGACAATAAACTCACACTACGCAATGACTCCTATCAAAAATAGGGGCTATCTATAAAAAAATATTTAAACTATTAATATTCTATAGGTCAGAGATTGCACTTGTTGTAAATTGCCTATTAGACAGCAATTCAATTTGCAGTAAAGTGTGAATCGTCAATATTTCATTAGTAAACATAATTTGTATGCGCATTTCAAATAAAGCAAATTATTTAGTAACATTCACGACTAATACGCAAACCATTTAACAAATACATATTCACAAAAACCTTACAAAAATAGAACAATTTTTAAGTTGATAAACTGTAATTAGAAAAAGTGATCCAGATAAAACAAATTTCGTTGTTTAAATATCCTTTAGGGAATTTATTATTACTAGTTATTATCTATGATAAAAACAATAATTGTTGTCATGGCTACGAAATAATATATATATTCTTTATTGCACTTGTAAGTCACATATAAAATAATCTATTTATACATGTTGTGAGCAAGGGTGGACTTATCTCTGACAGAGATCTCTTCCAATCAACCCAGTACAGTAATATGTAATGTAAATCAATGAGTAACGAAAAATTGTGTATGGATGTCTTGATATTATTAAATATTGAAACATAATATATTATATATATATATAATATATTATATATATATATGTATATATATATATATATATATATATATATATATATACCTAATTTCATAGTGATTGGTTAAGCTGTTAAGGCGCTATAAAGTGACAAACAAATTCATTTTTACATTTATAATATTAGTAAGGATATTTAACAGAATTATTTATATGTATAAAGACGCAAAGATAACGTACAATGTTATAAATAATATACCTATTTATTTTTTGTTCACTTATCATTTAGGGGCAATGTAAGTGTCCAAACAACGATTAAAATGGATATAAAATAATTAAAATCATTGTATACATAAATAACGGTCTACATTATTACATACATACATATCTGTCACGCCTGTCTCCCATTGGGGTAGGCAGAAACAATGGAACGCCAAATGCTTCGATTCAAACAAACCACTTTCGCTTCTTCCACATTCATCAATCTTTTCATACACGCTCGCCGGTTACATTATTACATTCAATAATTATATACCTAATTTACTGATATATAATACCTACTACACGAGCTACCGTATATGGTAACTCCTTATGCCAGGTGTGGTCAACTTGAATGTAACTAAAATCTACTATTTACGAACGAAACCCTGTGCAATCTACCAAATATGTTGTGATTTTTTTAAATGGGTAAAAGTGTAATGGTAATTCCGCCTGTGTGTACACTGGCGGGACACCTGTGAAAGAAGATAGACGAAAACGAAAGGTTAGTTAGCGTAACGAAACGCGTAGAGATTGACTTGATAGGCTAGCAATGGGGACGTAAAACAATTTATTTGTATTTAACGATTAAGCTGTGTAGTCTGTTTTACGTATTTTTGACATATAATCAATTATTATTAAATATATTAAAATTATGTTTATTGCTTTGCCACGAACTAGCTAGCTATATATATTATTATATTCTGGAATTATGTTATGCGTAACAACCATTACATTGACTGTCTTAGCGCCTTTTCTAATGAAATCATTAAAATGGGCAACTGACTAATTTTATCCTTACCTATAACCTCTCATTGGTACTTAGGGCCCAATGAAGAATGCTAGCCGGACAAATGCTACCAGTACAAAATTTAGTTTACAACGATTTAAAATGATCATTCGTTATAAAGGACAGAACATACTCTTTCTTGCTTAGAACAGCAAAATAGATCGAACTCTGCTAGTATCCAGTCAACAGGCAGGGTTAACATTCCATTTGTTTCTTATATGTTTCTAACAAGCTTGACGACTCATTAGGTAAAGGAATACCTTTTGCATACTTGATAACGTTTACGTGACTTAGGTACAGAAAAATAATAAATAACAAGTTATCAATTATAACGAGAAAAAAAAAAGCGACATTATAAGTTTATTTTAGATCGATAAGATAATTTCAGATCAATTTTATGAGTTCATTGATGCACGCACGCTACATTGTACCTGAAATAAACTTTATGTGCGGCATACCACTTTAATTACATGGCAACAAAGTAAAAAAACCTTGCTAAGTTTAGTATTGTACAAGCTCGTATCAGGGTGTATCAAAACACTTGTTCTTCGCACAAAGAGTTAATAAAGCTTTCATTGTATCTTTAAAATCAATATTTTTTTCGATTCAGAAATTATGATATTAATTTTATTGCTTGTAAACTAGTTTTATGAAATTAAAAATAGTTTATTCAATCTTATTCTTATTCGCATAAAGCACATTGATTTTTCGTTTCCATTAGAATAGGTAAGGAGTGAATTTTTCTCTAGGCGTATATTTTTGTATTCTTCTAAGTGTCTTACAAGGTTAAAGTGAATAGACATTATTTGAGTCTGCCTGCAATCTCTCCGTATTCTACTACTATTTGTACAATGGTCTGAGCTCAGCGAAATTGTTTAACATGATGTCTACGACCACTTTCCATCATTGAACTGCTCGCCACCGACAAGAGTTCACCCTCATACCTCAGAGCCTAAATGGTCGTTTACACTGCAAGTCCTCTTAATTGATCGACAACTGTCCAACGTAACACTATGAATACATCTTAATCATTCTTATCAAGAACAGCTGGGGAACTTTTAGTCTCATTAAATTTTGTAGAAATTTTATATTGTTTATAGTCGTGATTGTCAGCACTTGGTGGAATTTTCTGGAAAACACTTGTACTCTTACAAAAATCGTTATAATAAATCTTAGAACAAATTCGTCGATAATTTTCTAAGGCTTAAAAAAATCTTTCCATATAAATGAATCTTTCACAATGCGTAAAACGATAAAAATGGGTCAGTTATATTTGTTGTTGTAACAATTTTCGAAACCGTACAAATATTTTTTCCCAATAATATAAATATGGATCTTTATAAAATTGCGAAACAACGAGGCCGGATCTCCGGTTATCATCATACCGCTTGTTACTGCATAATCTATGGTTGCTGAAAGGAGCGTGAAGTGTGAAGCAAATTGCGACGACCCATTAATCAGCAGCCACATTCACGTCATTCGTCACAATTGAATTGCCTTTCATATACCGTTACCTCTTCATTTTCATATATATATATACATTCCAAATATTGTAAATTTATATAGTTTCAATATTAAAATCATAATTACAACAACAATTCGTTATTTACTGCCAATCCAGTAAACTTAAATTCGAACTACCCAAGGCAAGGGCAAACCAACACACACATGCCCAAATATATGGTCAACTTCGAGCCTCATCTGCGTATCCTGGATCAGCTGAAATACCTGTCAGGTTGGTCGTTCCTTTTTCTCCCATCTTTATTTTCATTTGTGCTATTATCGTACTGTGCTTTAATACGAGTTTATTAAATTTGTTCATTTTTCGTTCTACCTACATATCTACCTGCTCGTAAAAAACCGTAAGTAATTTTCTAACTTCTAATAATTCGCTAAAATGAGTAACGAGGACTATTTTACTGAAGCTGAATCAGACAATTCGTCTAGTTTAAGTGAGCTTAAAAAACAGCGAGGTACTTTAAAGGGACGATTAACTTTATTTGAGAAGTACCTTAATAAATTAAGTAATGTTACTTTGTCTGAAAAACAACAAGCAGAACTACTATTGCGTATAGAATCAGTGTCAAATTTATTCAATTCTTTTAATGAAATACAAGAGCAAATCGAACAATTATGTAGCAGTTCAGAATTACCTAAACAATTGGAATACAGAGAATACTTTGAAAATTTATATTTTGATATGATGTCTGCTGCTAAGTGTTTTATTAAAGTGGACACAGACAAAAGTGAGAGTTCTAAATGTTCACACGCGTCCATTAGTAATAATTCAGTCTCAGTTAAGCTGCCTGAGATCAGGCTAGCCGTATTTGACGGTTCTTACGACCATTGGCTCGAGTACAAACATTCTTATTTATCTATGATTCACAAACGTAGTGATTTAGATGCGATTCAAAAATTTCATTATTTGAAATCCTCGCTCAGGGGTTCTGCACTTGAAGTTATTAGTGCATTGGAATTCACCGCTGTTAATTATACCCACGCATGGGAATTATTAGAGAGTAGGTATCATAATAACCGTTTATTGATCCACAATCACGTTAAATCTTTATTTACTGCACAGTCTATTAATAAAGAGTCACCAATGCAAATTAGAAAGTTAATCGATGTTGTGTTACGTAACCTTCGGGCTCTTAAATCACTAGACGAACCGACAGACTCGTGGGATACATTAATCATTTATATAATGGTGTCTAAATTAGATACCTCCACAGAACGAGAATGGGAAAACCATAAAGGTACCTTATTTTCTAATTCGCAAAAGGGTAAAATAAAATTAGAGGATTTATTAATTTTTTTACGAAATCGTGCCGACATGTTGGACATGGTTCATAACAGCAATTCACGCAAACCACAAAGTCATTTGTCTAATTCTAATAAGTCATTCGATAATAATAATAATATTAGTAGACGGCAGACAAATGTCATACCACAAGTTCAGCAATCGCATAGTTTCGTGTCTACGCGTAAATACAGTACATCCGACAGGCCGATGCGTCAATGTGCGTTGTGCGGTAATATGCATTCGTTATACGCTTGTATTAAATTTCTTAACTTACCAGTTCAAGAGAGAATTAAATTTATTAATGAGAAAAAATTATGTTGTAATTGTTTACGTTCGGGACATTCGGTTTTAGAGTGTAATTTCGGTCCGTGCAAGCAATGTCAGAAAAAACATAATAGTTTATTACATAATGAAAGTGTCTACATTGCGTCTACGCCTGTTTCACCAGTGACCAGTGCGCATAATTCACAGTCAGCTGATAAAGGGCAGGTCTCAGTAGTATCACACGCAATGAACTTTATAAATCATGCTCAGTCATCAAATGACAAGGAACCTTCCATATCACTGTCACAAGTGTTATTGTCCACTGCTCTTGAGGTAATGGATAATAACAACAAATATCACACAGCCCGAGCGTTGTTAGACAGTGGTAGTCAAAATTGTTTTGTATCATCAAAGCTATGCGAATTTTTAAACGTATCGATTATACAGTCCACTATACACATATCTGGCGTGGGACATACAGTCTCACAATCAAATAAATTATGCGATATTAATATGCGATCGAAAACGAACGAATATAATACGAGTACACGAATAAAATGTTTCATATTGCCATGCATCACGTCTAGCTTGCCGTCCACTCATATTGACAGTGCCACACTAAGTATTCCAGACGATATCTGTCTCGCGGATCCTACTTTTAATTCACCATCAGCGATCGACCTGCTGATAGGTGCAGACGTATTTTGGGACTTGTTGGACGAAGGTCGACTTCGATTACCTAGCGGACCATATCTACAGAAGTCTAAGTTGGGATGGTTACTTTCAGGTCCTTTATTAATTCCTAATAATAACTTGCACAGTAATAAAGTAATTCAGTGTAATTTTGCTCAAATGTCCTCACTCGATATACAACTGCGTAAGTTCTGGGAACTGGAAGAAGTCAGTGGATCGAAGAATCTTCTCACTGAAGACGAACGTCAGTGTGAGGAGTCCTTTATTAACACGACAAAGCGAGACAGCAATGGCAGATTTGCAGTTCGAATCCCATTAAAGGAATCGGCGGACGCGCTTGGTGATTCATATGAAAAAGCCAAGTCACGTTTTCTTTCATTAGAGCGCAAGTTAAACAAGTCACCTAAATATAAAGAGATGTACGTTAATTTTATGCGCGAATACATTAACTTAAATCACATGACTCCAATTAAAGAGTACACTCAACCCTGTTATTTTCTTCCTCATCATGGGGTGTTTAGGGAACATAGCATCACTACAAAATTACGTGTAGTGTTTGATGCTAGTGCCACAACTACGACAAATAAGTCGTTAAACGACATACAGCGAATAGGGCCACCATTACAAAACGACATCTTCTCCATTTTACTTCGTTTTCGTAGTTATAAGTACGTAGCGTGCGCAGACGTGGAAAAAATGTATCGTCAAATTTTGATTCAAAACGATCAGCGTACACTGCAACTTATATTGTGGCGGGAAAATTCTACGGACGAATTAGTTGTATATCAATTAAATACGGTAACGTACGGGACGGCTTCGGCTCCCTACCTGAGCATGCGTTGCCTGCGTCAACTGGCATATGAAACTACTGATGATGTTATTGCTAGGGTCATCATCGAAGACTTTTTTGTCGATGATTTAATCACTGGTGATGATGATCCCGTAATTTTGTCTAATATATGCGAAAATGTTTCGACTGTATTAAAATCAGGTTGCTTTCCGTTACGAAAATGGACATTCAACCATGACGTAAACATAAAAACATCTAAAGAATTAGCAATTGGAGAATATTGTCAAAATAAAACACTAGGACTAGGTTGGCAAGTCGACAAAGATGAACTCCATTTTACTACGAGTTTGGAAAATAAGCCTATCATCACAAAACGCACTATTATGTCAATCATTTCGCAAATATATGATCCTTTAGGACTTTTATCTCCGACTATAATTATTGCAAAGATAATGTTACAAAAATTATGGTTGCTCAAAATCGATTGGGACGATGTGGTTCCCATCGACATAGAATGTCAATGGAATCAATTTTTAAATACGTTATCACATCTGCCCGAATTACGTATACCTCGCTATGTCATGAGTGAAGATAAACAAACTTGTGAACTGCACATTTTTACCGACGCCTCACAAGACGCATATGGCGCTTGTGCGTACATACGTACTTATAATAGTGACAGTGATTTGCCTATAACTATTAAATTGTTATGTGCGAAAAGCAAAATTGCACCGGTAAAAACTGTGTGCACTATCCCGCGACTTGAGTTGTGCGGAGCATTACTAGGTGCGCGGTTGTATCATAAAATAATCAATTCACTTAGATTAACATTCACAAGAATAATTTTCTGGACGGACTCCACTATTGTTATCGGTTGGCTTAGAATGTCACCTTATAATTTGAAGACATTTGTTCAAAACCGTGTATCACAGATTAATGAACTTACGGGTGATGCAGTGTGGTTGCATATAGACGGCAAGAGCAACCCTGCTGATATCGTGTCGAGAGGCCTTACATTAAATAAACTTAAACATAATGAATTATGGTGGCACGGGCCATTATTTTTGCGAGACCGTAATTTAACTTATTCAAATAATATTTTTATAGATCAAACTCAATTACCCGAAGTTAAGACTCAACATATTAGCATGGTATGTAATGAATTAAATTATAACAACGAACTGGTTGATTTTAACAGATTCTCGTCATTCAATCGATTACGACGCGCCGGTGCATATGTATTGCGTTTTGTAAATAATATTCGAGTGAGTAAGCTACATCGTACTGTTGGTCCTTTATCTACCAATGAATTAAATGCGTCAGTTATTATGCTGACACAGCTCGCGCAATCACAATCCTTTTCTGAGGAGTATAGTGATTTAGTTAAGCGATCAGTAGTAAAGGCAAAAAGATTGATTGGTTTAAATATTTTCGTGGACGAAAACAAATTAATCCGCGTTGGAGGAAGGTTACGGAACTCGCCCCACTTCGATAATGATAAAAAACACCCAGTCTTATTGTGTAGTAAACATCGATTAACAATATTATTGTTTAGATATGAACATATACAATTGCTACATGGAGGACCACAACTCTTATTAGCTTGTATACGTGAATCCTGGTGGCCTCTAGGAGGACGAAACCTGGCTAGGAAAACAGTACATGACTGTGTCACGTGCACGCGTATGAAGGGAAGAACTTTTCAGCCGTTAATGGGTGATTTACCTGCGGAACGCCTAGAGCCTGGATTTCCATTTATGCGCAGTGGTGTAGATTATGCTGGGCCGGTGATGATATTGAATCGCCGGACCAGAGGAGCTACTCTTAGTAAGGGATATATTTGTTTATTTACTTGTTTGTGTACACGTTCCATACATTTAGAACTAGTCACTAGTCTTTCCACTAATGATTATATCCTTGCATTAAAGCGATTTATATCTCGCCGGGGTAAACCTGCGGAAATCATGTCTGACAACGGTCGAAATTTTGTTGGGGCTGAAAAAGAATTGTATTCATCCATTTATGATAAGAGTAAGGAAATTAAAGATTTTTCATCAAATAATAATATTAAATTCAGCTTCATTCCTCCATACGCTCCTCACTTCGGCGGTTGTTGGGAATTAGGAGTGAAATTATGTAAACACCACCTTCGTCGAGTAGTCGGAAACTCTAATCTTACGTATGAAGAACTCAGTACGGTATTGGCACATTGAAGCCATCCTCAACTCCCGTCCTTTAACTCCTCTCTCGACAGACCCCAATGACCTTCAAGCCCTCACTCCCGCTCACTTCCTCATCGGCCGACCTTTGACAGCGCCGGCCACTAGAGACGTAACTGACAAGCCAACTCACCGCTTGCTGCGCTACGACGTGATTGAGCAGATGAGACAGCACTTTTGGAGACGATGGGCAAAAGAATACGTCTCGGAATTACAATCAAGATCTAAATGGAAGACTAACCAGAGCGAGGTTGAACTCAATAAACTCGTTCTCATTAAAGATGATAACCTGCCTCCACTGCAATGGAAGTTAGGCAGGATAATACGTATTTATCCCGGGACCGATGGTATATCGAGAGTAGCAGATCTTCTTACTTCATCTGGAACTACACGAAGAGCCTTTTCGAAGATCTGTCCATTACCCGTAGAAGCTGATACCGCAGCATCTATTTAATCTTTTGGAACCTGCTGCTTCCAAGGCGGGGCCCATGTTACTGCATAATCTATGGTTGCTGAAAGGAGCGTGAAGTGTGAAGCAAATTGCGACGACCCATTAATCAGCAGCCACATTCACGTCATTCGTCACAATTGAATTGCCTTTCATATACCGTTACCTCTTCATTTTCATATATATATATACATTCCAAATATTGTAAATTTATATAGTTTCAATATTAAAATCATAATTACAACAACAATTCGTTATTTACTGCCAATCCAGTAAACTTAAATTCGAACTACCCAAGGCAAGGGCAAACCAACACACACATGCCCAAATACCGCTATTTAGAGATAAAACTAAATGTTCACGCTCTACTGAACCCTGGCTACTAAGTACTGAGCGAGATTTTCATAAGCGATTATCGATCAAGTAGCGCGAATGACTCATTTGGTAGTTCGATGAACCGTGTTTAATGTAACTGTAAAGTTAAAAGATCTAAAGACGGTGTCTGAAGTTTATTTTAACCGACTCCAAAAAGGAGCAGGTTCTGAATATGCCTGTTTTAGTGTGCATTTCATGCTACACGTTTAACAAATCTTAACCGAATCTGATTATCGTTTATAAAAAAATAAAAGAATTCTTGCTGATGAGTTTTCTTATTTGTTAACAAAATAACATTGTGAGACAGACATGAGAATTCCTATTTATAAAAGTAATTGTTTAAGGACAGTTAGGAATTATTCAAATTTATAAAATAAAATCATCTATGTTTAATAACTATATGAAAATAATTATAATAAATGTACCTAAAAATTCATTGCAACTTAATTATCACATTAGCTTTTATCCGCGACTTTCGCTCGCGTGATACGGCTAAAATGTCCTTTTCTGTTAAAAAAAAAAAAAAAAAAAAACACGTGCATACCAAAATTTATGACTACTGATAAAGTTGTTAAAGCACGAAGAGGTAACAAATAAACTCACTTTTACATTTCGTCATTATATTAACTTTTAAGAGGGATACTGCTGTGCCATTCTTCGCACTCCTTTAGTCGTCTGTTACAACAACTACGGGAAAAAAAGTTTGCCTATTCTATGTCGGTACCATACGGACTATTTCTATAATATGCATTGTAATAAAATAAGTGGGAAATACTCTCCAGGTTTTAATTATCATCAAACAGAATATTTAAAACCTACTGTATCTCGTAAGTACATTAAAAAAAAGGAAGGGTCTATTCTGGTCTATTCTATGCCGCGACCACACGGAAACTTTCAAATTTATAACACGATTATATATTTTTTGTCTGGTACTTAAACTAAGATGCAGCGTTATGAAATAATAGACAAGGAATATGTACTTGGTACTGTATTAAATCCGAATTTTTGCTTTATGACTCCTTGTTAAATTAATGTATGACTGATGACTCATCATGAAACTATGGCCAGCCACATGTGATACAGCAATTGTTCTAATGAATAGAATGAATCTCTGATAACTTTGATATAAATAGATCTTTAGTCTCATAGGAATTTTATTATTTTTCTAATAGGTTATTAATAAGTGTTGATTGTTCCATAATGCTTATAGAGCTAACCCTTCTTTGCATGATTTTTTTTATTAGTGTAATAAATCAAGGTGACATAACTCATGTTCAAAATTAAAGGTAAAATGGTTAAAAAATTATATTTGACAGCTATGTTTTTTTCTGCAATGGACAATTAAAAGGTATCTAGACACAATCAACCTAAAGTGAACTTGTTCTTTTATATCATTTTTGGGCATTCAATGTTATGATGGAAATTCCAATCTTTTTGCAAAGAAGGGTTAATGTATTTATATTGGTTTGTAATAAATATAAAACGTCTATAGCAAGGGTTTCATCGAGCCTATAAATTGTCACATTGGTCATATGGTCATTGCCATCATCACTTTGCAAACAGTATAAATGTACTTCTTACTACACAAATAGAAAAATGATGATTTAAAAGAGCTTATAAATAAGTATATTTAATAAAGATGATTTAAATTTGATCAATCTGAGTATCTTATAAATTAATGAAAACTCTATATATTGGCAATTTATCACTATAGTACAGTATCTCAGTCTAGCAAACTCAGTAAAAAATAACCAGGGTTTCCCCAGGAATAATAACATTGAGTTTATAGTTCCAGCTACTAACAATCCCTTTTCTTTAGTTAACAGGGCTGTATTATGATAATAGTGGATGATTATTATATGTGCAATGTAAAAAACAATGTTATAGAAAAACACATATTTTAAGAACAAGGTTAATTTCAATAAAATAATAGAAATTAATTTGTATCAATTAGGATTATTTGTTAAGAAGCAACCTAAATTAATTTAAATTGCTCTTTTCCATGTATTACAGAGTGGAGAATTGTAATGATGTGATAAATGATGAAGACATGAATTTTAGCACAGAAAAATATATTCTACAGCGAACAAGCAAGAAGAGTCAGATATTGTCAAAAGATACAAATTCGAAATTACAAACTTAAAAGTAAATCTATATAGATTTATATATAAATATATATATATATATATATATATATATATATATATATATATATATATATATATATATATATATATATATATATATATATATATATATATATATATATATTTTTATATAAAAAAGGAATAAAATTTAAAAGTTTGCATAGTCCAGTCACCAATGCCATGTGTTTAGTACTTAACCTAATAGTGCACATGTGCATTTTTATACCTAGTAATTGAAGTAATATTCCTTTATATATATATTACTTTATTATATATTATATAACATAAGTCTGTTTTTTATTTTTATTTTTTGGATAACAATAATAATTCAATAGAACACAGAATTTGAAAAATGTAAACTACTTCATAAGAGTAGTTGCTCAAACAATTTAGTGGACAAATTCTACTCTTTTTAATTTTCTATCCTGTAAAAAGGGAAGATATGAATCTCATATTTTAATATCATAATTTTTTTCTTGTAATTAAATACTTTTATGTTTTTTGTATTGAAGTCAGTTACACAGTGTAACTCTTAAAAATAGGAGAGACTTTAAGAGTTAAATTGTATGAATGATTATCAGAAGGCCTTAATATTACATTTAATCAAACATTTTTAATGTTATTAATATATATATATATATATATATATATATATATATATATATATATATATATATATATATATATATATATATATATATATATATATATATATCAGATGCTCAAATTATAACTAAAATGTACATAATTAAGAAAAAATATATGTTCATGTATGTAGAAAAAATAGTATTAAGAATGTATTGCATAAATTATAACGATTTTAATAAAATTCAAAGTGTTTACATTATTTCACGTTTTATTACATTTTAATTATTGCGATCAACCATAAATGCGTAGAAGTTAACCTAGAAGGACATTAAACTGACCTCTTCATTAGATGCTGCGCAAGTTCTCCACCTCCGACAATTTCTTCTTCTTCTCCAGACTCCACTTCAGAGGTGTGATCATCACCAGAGCGTTCCACGGTGCCCATTGTATATCTAAAATAATTATCGAAATGTTAGATATTGGCGCCACGTTGGTTAGTTACCGGCTTAGGAAAAAAAAATATTATAATCATAATGTCTGTCATGGCAATACATATTTATTGCAAAGCTTTAGTTCTATTAAACTATAGAAAGAGAGCAAGTATAATATCTCAGTGGTGAAATCTAATGCGTAGTTCACCACAAATCCCTGTAAACGGACCACATGGTTGTCTCACCTTTCCAAGAAATTCTCAAAGTATTCTTGCTTGTAATTATTTTTTTAACAACGTAAGAAATTAAAGGTTAGAGTTTAGTATAAAATAATTATAAAAAATAACTAAGTTTTGATATATTTCGAATTTTTACATACCTTTATGCCGACAAAAATTTGTAAGAAAAGAAAGATGGCGACGAATGGAGCTAACCGGCAGCCAATGACCTACCTATGTGATTGAATGATTTAATGAATAATGAACGAATGAACGAACAGTTCATGGAGACCAAGTGAAGTTAGTGACGAATCGAACTGGCTGATTTTCTTTGATTTTCCGGAAGTAGGTGTACCATAATGACCTTCACTAACGGTCAACAAAAATTTCGTCGTGATAACATATTGAAATTTTAATTTTAGTAATAGCTTTATAAAGATGACACCTTAAAATCCACCCCAATTATATATATATTCAAATATTTCTCCACGAAATTGTAAAGAAAAATTTCTTAATAATGTAATTGTGGTGTATTACTGGCCCTCATAATTCGTCTTTTAGACGTAATAAAAAAAGGATTACAATATTATATATTATAAGCATTTTATTATCAACCAACCAATAATTGTAGACTTTTATTTTTTGTTACGATTCAAGAATTTATATAAAGGCAGAGAAATATAAAAACAAGAAAAAAAACTTTGGTGCTAAAAGGAATTTAAATTACCTTATTACATATCAGATTAGGCTGTACTGACTGGATCCTTTTGCATATCCATTTAAAAAAAAGTTAAAAAACAAGGATGATCTTGGCTAAGAACAGGAAATTACATAGAAGGAATGATAAAAAAAAATGGTAAATCATATGATAGACTCCTTTCTTCTTATGCAAATTGTAATATTCATATTAGGTAGTTAATAAGAATAAAAGTATAATTCGGCAGAATTGTAAGCTTTAATAAATTGAAAATCTTACATAGTTGTTTGACATAAAAAATATATGATAATAACTAAAACATACTTCTGATATTTAATGGCATTACGACACAAATATAAGAATAATAAAAAGAAGATGAAAGATATACCATCAGATGCTACTTTTGTCAATTCATAGCAAGCTAGTGTAAAAATGTAAAACCCTACCAAATTCAGATACAATCTGCGGGCATACTTTCTACATAAACTGTGTAGAATATATAATCTAGTAATCTAAAATTCGATATTTAAAAATAATTGACATATCAAACATTCTTTTATACACTAGCCTGCTTTGAATTGCGAAAAATAGCCATTGATGGTGTATCTTTCGTCCTCTTTTTATTAATTATATTTGCATAAGAAGAATGGGGGCAATCACATGATTTACAGTTTTTATTTATTCTATCATTCTTTCTCTGTAATTACTTGTTCTTAGGGTCTTGGATCCGAAGTCTTTGTCTTAGATAAATTGGATATAAAAATTGTCATACTGTCATTCATGTAAAAATTTAACTGTCTTAATTTTATCAATCATTCAATCAATCAAACATCACCGCTTCAAGTCTAGTAAAGGGAAATATTCAAATTTTATTTAATTAATAATGCATATTTAAAAATTAAAAGTCAAAAGAGGGCTTGTTAATTGCATTTTAGCAATATGCCGCCGACAGTACAGACGACGAATGAACCAGAAAGGGAAAAACGACCTCAGCGTACGGGGGAAAGAAGGTTAGTAACCACAACAAGCTGCTATCTTTAATTCAATTTTTCCATACAATTTAATAATTTTCTGTTATATAGGTCAGAGTTAGTGACACGAGTTAAATACTGCAATACGTTACCAGATATCCCTTTTGATCTGAAATTCATTACATACCCATTTCCTTCGACGCGTTTTATTCAGTATAATCCTACGTCTTTAGAGAAGAATTATAGATATGAAGTGTTGACAGAACATGATCTGGGAGTACATTTAGATTTGATAAATAGAGATATATACCAAGGGGATGGTAACGCGTTACTAGATGCAGCTGACGAAAAATTATTAGAAGATGATGTTCTTACACCCCAAGACTCTAAAAGATCACGACATCATGCTAAGAACGTTTCATGGTTGCGCCGTTCTGAGTATATCTCCACAGAACAAACGAGATTCCAGCCACAAAGTATGGAAAAGGTGAGCAGTATATGGTAAATATATGTGTAATTCTTTATAGAGTTATATTTCGATTTCATTATGTTTAATCTGGAAAATGAACATATAAACATATTTTTAACATTTTTAAATATAATATTAATATTTAAATATGTTCAGCAAGTACTGTACTTTGTAAACTCTTTAGATTGATGAAATTATTATTAATGTATAAGGGAACACCATTTTTGTTGCATATCAGCATTTGCCCCTGTACATGCGCCCGATGAAGCTGTTAAGGTCATCTATGCCCAACAGCATGTACAGGTTGAAAACAAAAAATAAAAATAAAATATTCTTACAAATATTATATATTTTCTGATTGCTATTTTTAGATCTAAAGTCAGATTTATTGTAGCATATTCTCCCTTGAGTTTAGTTGAATTGGTAATGAACCCAGCTTATTACCGTTATTCATAAGTACACATTTCAGATGTTTAGAAGAATCAATAAATAAACTCCATTTGGATCATATTTTTGTACTTCCATTGGTTTTAATAAACCTGAAATATCAGAACAATAAACAAAGTCATCATATTCATCTCTTTGGTATGATGGTATGAAATTCTTGTTTCTTGGGTTAAAATATTTCTTTTTATTTTCTTTAAATCCAGAAGATAGAATCCCTAATACCTTTTAAAAATGTTTAGGTCTCTGATTAATGTACTGAGTTTCTGCTGATTAAAGGGCCGGAGTTCATAAGAAATATCTGGATTAAAATAATTTGTCCATATGATCATAAGTAATCAAAATACCATTGTTTTATAAACTCTAATGCCTATATTTTAAAAGCCTATATTTTTTAATATATACTACCATAGATGGTATTGAAATAGTTAGGATTAGTTCTACAGATATTACATGACATGAGAGATGTACAAAAAAAGAATAAAAAAAAGCACCATTTTATGAAAGTTAATGACAAAAATATAAGCTGTATTTAAAAAACTAGAGCTGTTAGAGATATTAAAAACTTGAAGGTAGATTAGAAATAATTATCTTTGAATTAGTCATCAACTGTCATAAGCACCTATCTTCCACACAACAAACAAGTCTAATTTTGTTCTCTTGTGTTAATTATTGTGCAAAAAACTACAAAAATAATTCTTAGATTATGCTGTATTTCTTATGAGGTTTGTAATTGTATAATTTTGTACAACTTTCAGGTTGAAGCTAAAGTGGGTTATAATGTTAAAAAGATATTCAGTGAAGAAACATTATACATGGATCATGAAAGTCAAATCAAAGCTATTGAGAAGACCTTTGAGGACAATATGAAACCTATAGAGAAGCACTATAGTAAGCCAGGAGTTACCCCAGTGGAGGTCATGCCTGTGTTCCCCGATTTCGATATGTGGAAATACCCATGTGCTCAAGTTATATTTGATTCTGATCCAGCACCAACTGATAAAAACATTGCTGGGCAAATTGAAGCTATGTCTCAGGCTATGATTCGGTACGTTTTGTTTAAATTTAGAATAAAATTATAATGAATTCTGTACATAATAGATTTTTTTTTTATAGTTTGTTCTATTAGCATTAAATGTAAGACAGATTTGGACAAAATATTTTACAGTTATTAATTTCATTTTGTTTATTTGTAGTGGTGTGATGGACGAAAGTGGTGAACAGTTTGTAGCCTACTGTCTACCCACAGAGGAGACTATTCAGAAACGTCGCCGTGATATTGCTGAGAATATTCCGTACATGGATGGAGACACTTATGAATACAAAATGGCTAGAGAATATAACTGGAATGTCAAAAGTAAAGCATCCAAAGGTTATGAGGAGAGTTACTTCTTGGTAAGTACAATTATATGTTCTTATTTTGTTATACAAGTAACCTGAGCGTTTGAGGGAGGAACCATCTCTGAAACCGCATTGTACACAACCATCCAGGCTCTAAGACATGAGGATGAACTCCCTGTAGGTAGCAAGTTGTACAAAGCTAGAAAGTGGCTCTTGGCATATATGCTTGTAATATATATTTTCAGGTGGTCCGTAATCACTGTGTATATTATAACGAGTTGGAGACACGTGTGCGACTGTCCAAACGCCGCGCTCGCGCCGGTGCGGCAGCGCAAGCTCTCACCAGGCTGGTGGTGACGCACCGCCCGCTCAGTAGCATCGAACATCGCATGCTCAGGCTAAGAGAAAAACAGCTTGAGCCTCCACAAGTGAGTTGCTGCTGTACATAATACATTTTAACGACTTGGTATTGTGATTGTTTTTTTTTATGTTTATTCTAATATTGCGGTTATTCACAGATTAAGAGAATTTTTCATTTATTGAATTTTTTGCTATAATTACAAGTTGCTCTTTACTCTTTATCATATTTTACAGGAGGAGGATGAAGAAGAAGAGGAGGAAGATGATGAAGAAGAAGATAAACAAGAGGAGATAACGGAAAAAGAAAGGTAAATTTGATACGAAGTATAGAATATATTAATATAGTTACTTACTATATAGCTTTTTACTTCACAAGAATAGATATATTAGGATATAAACATACTTCTAATTTTATGTTCTATTTGCATGCTACTTTTTATTTAAATCTATACAGAGCCTAATTGTCTTTAGAAACAATAATATTAACAAAATTCTTTATTATGACAGTGCATCCTTAGAAAAATACTTATCCTTAATTAATACAAAGAGTCTTATGTGTTATCCTCTCTTTTAATACTGTCAATGAAAAAAAAAAACACCCTATTTGGTACTAAGTAGTACATGAATGAATAATTTATTGATTTGATTTATTAACTTTCAGATCTCATTCCCGTTCAAAATCGGGATCGAAGTCGCCTGCCGGGTCGGAGAAGTCGAAAGGCTCGAACAGGTCGAGGTCTGGCTCCCGAGAGAGGTCTCGTTCCAAATCCAAGTCAAAGTCCAGAAGTCGGTCGCGATCTGCATCCGGTTCGAGGAAGTCGAGATCTAGATCTGGATCCGCTCAGTCCGGCTCTGTTAGGTAACATTTATTTCTATACTAGCTGTGTTCGTGGTTTCTGATTGGGGCATATTGATTGATCAGGATATAAAGTATCCTAAGTCCTTCTTCATACGATATGTAAACAGGATGCTAAGGAATAAACAAATCCTCTTTCACGCACATACATGTTTCACTCTTTCATGTCACGCGCAGGGCATCCGAAGAATAAGATGGGGAGAGGGGTAGACCACGCGTGCTTCCTATCAAAATGGTTTTTCTCCATACGTTTTGTCCTGAAGGAGCATTTTAAATGTTCTGTTTTTTTACTTAGGTCTGGTTCGGCGAGGTCAAGGTCAGGCTCTCGTTCGCGGTCAGGGTCACGGTCGCGATCAGGGTCAAGGTCGCGGTCAGGATCAAGGTCGCGGTCAGGTTCACGGGCGTCCTCCCGCGCCAGTTCTAAGAGCGGGAAGGGGTCCCGTGCCAGTTCGACCAGCCGACGCGGCTCTAGGTCTAGCAGTAAAGCTAGTAATAAGGTAGATAAACATTTTAAGTCTATTATTTATAAAAACTTTATAAAATTTATATATAATACATAATTAATACTCTTTAATCAACTTTCAATAGGTGTAAGTCACATTCAATATAAATTCAGTTTTTTAATCTTTTCTCTCAGTCTCATATATCAGATAGAAAACCTGAGTTTGTATGTTTGTATATTTAACCGTGTTCCATTTATTTAACCTTACTACTTTAATGCGTAATAAATTACCAGTAAGAAATATAAAATCAAATACAATAAACTTGTCTATTAGAGTAGTGCCCTAGGGCTACCATACAAAATAAAAATATATATATATATATATATATATATATATATATATATATATATATATATATATATGTATGTTTTGAAATATCTATTTCAATTCCATTAGTAAAAAAGTTTGAGAACCATTACTCTATATCCTCTATTCTAGTTCTATATTATTCCAGTCTTTAAGTCATTAATCACCTACCTACCCTAATGAAGGGAGACAAGCGTGACAGATATGTATGTATGGTTCATTTTTTGTCTTGTGTGCAATAAAAAACACGTGTCTACCGTTTGATTAATTTATTATTCTCTTATGGCGAGAGACACATACTCAGCGAGACGGTAAAGCATGATATGACATTGCAGGGTTCACGAGCAAGTTCTAGAGCCAGCTCCCGCGCGTCATCACGAGCTAGTCGAGCTTCGAAGCGGTCGTCTCGAGCATCATCTCGAGCCTCTCGAGCTTCTTCTAAAGGCTCAGGCTCTAAAGCGTCATCTAAAGCGAGTTCTAGAAGGAACAGCGGCTCCGGAAGTGGATCTGATAGGTCTAGGAGTCGATCGGCAAGTGGTTCTCGACGGGTAAATATTTATAAATAGTATATTCATTTATTTTAACATTTATTATATAAGGAGGTAGGTATTATATTTATTTACAGTATATGTATCTATATAATATTTTATTATATATTGTAATATTTTATATAACTGTATATTTGTTTATGTATTCTAAATATTAATAGATGTAGCACTTCGGCTGCCCGCTAACGACATCTTTTTTAACTGTATTGGGTTGACTGGAAGAGATCTCTGTCAGAGAAGTCCACCCTTGCTCACAATATTTATAAATGCTATATTACATCTAATTGTTGTGTTGATGTATTAATTTTCGCCATGGATATTTCCTGACAGGGATAAAAAATAGCCTATGGTCTTCTCCGTCTTATACATTACATTTATACCAAATTTCATAGCGGTTGGTTAAGCCATTAAAGCGCTAAAAGGCAACAAACTCACTTTCACATTTATAATACTTGTAAGGATTATGTAAAGAAAAAAAAATTACGAAGCGAAGGCAAATTTAATGTAAAGATTATTTGTTATGATGAGATTTTATCTACAGTGAAACTCCCGATTTCCCACATTGCAGGGTATCTAAGTTAAGAATTGAGTAGATGGTGTGATTATATGACACTATTATATTGAAGATTTTTGAAAATGATCCGATGACATGAAAATTATGAAAGTAGGAAGAAAATCTAAGGATAAATTTGGATTTTTTTTTTAAGTATTATTTTAAGGGCTTTTACCTTTTTCAGTTATGTCAGTCCTATATTTCTGCTTATTTTGTAAGCGACTTGATGTCATGATTTCGAACATTCTTCATGATTATTTTTGATATAATGTCATCGATGATTGTAATATTCATCCGCTATAATGCATCTATACTGTAAGAATATATATTTTTGTTTTGCTTACATACATACTGTACTTCCTATTTGTATTATAAATGCGAAAACTTGTGAGAATAGATAGATGGATGGATATTTGTTACTTTTCCACATAAAAACTACTAAACGGATCTGAATGAAATCTGGTTCATGTGTAGGTTATATCTTAAGAACTGACGGCCCACCTGATGGAAAGTGGTAACCGTCGCCTATAGACATGAATAGTACCATGGGCAACAGTATCCTGTATGGCCTATGATACCCTTAATGCGTTGCCATTCCTGAGGACTAAGGTGTTATGCCTCTGTATCTTGTAATTTTATCGCCATATCCAATCCTTTAAACTGAAACATAGTTAATTTTATTAATAATTATGGAATTGAATAACAAGTTATGTCACACAATCATACCAGTTGGTCTTCAAGCTTAGACACCGTTTGTTATGAGGAACTAGGCAACCAATATCTGGCAGCACAACCCACAACATCCAGACCAAAGTCAATTCAGAAAAATCCGTTTCCTAAAGTAATTCGACTGGGAATCTAACCCGGGATCTTAGGTTTGTAAAGTGCCCAATACAGCGCTATGAAGGTCGTCAAAAAGCAATAATATTAAATAACATATTCAATTTATTATTTGTGCAGGGTTCCCGCAGTGGGTCAGCGTCCAGTGCGACGTCTAGACACAGCGGTTCTGACTAAGTTATGATATTTTTATTATAATTAAATTAATATAGTAATTAAATTGATTTTGACGTATAAAATGTGAATTTCATTTAATGTAGTGGTGTCAAAACTTCTGTACACTACTCCCTTAAGATAAAAAAATAAATGATAATACAGAATATAACGCCCCTCCTACCCCCTCTCATTTATTTCTGGATCCATTACATACCTATAAAAGGCTCCAGTACCATTGGAAGTTATATAATTTCCTTTGATAATCTGTTTTATGGGGAAGTGAAATGAATGTTTAAAGTTACATTAATAAGGAATGATGCACGTGATGAGGTCCTTAAACGATCAAGCTTTGAACTTATAAGAGTACGTTATACTAAGTCTATGCTTTGAAGAGAAATTAAGGTAACTCTGTCTCTATTCTGCAAACTACGATGCTTCTGTGGCGCCATTGATTAATGCATGGTACTTATATATCATAGATTTAGCATAACATACTTAAATTTTATAATATAAGTTACGTGCCTACATGCTTGACCGTTTACAGACTCTTTTGTAGTAGTACTAGATAATTATTACTTTTTGAGCCTCAATATATAAAAAGCCATATTTATAGCGAGACACATTAAGAGACGTCTAAAAAGTATAGTAAATCCTGTGATCTCCAAATTACTGTTTTTTTTATGCAACTAATAATGGCTAACAAGCTCACGGCCCACCTGATGGAAAGTTGTAACCGTCGCCTATAGACATGAGCAGTACCATGGACATAACAGAGTATACTGTTTCGCCCATGATACCCACCATCCTGTGGACTCGGGAATACTGTTCATATTTTAACACGTCACTTTATTTGCCGTTTACAGTAGAAAAAATAAATAAAACGCATATATATTTGTAGCAACATATTTTTATTAGTGCGTCATTCATTTCATTACATACAATTAAAACATTGGGAACTAAAACAATAATTTTATTTATAAAACGAGAATTAATTTCAGTTACATCGGTTTATTATTATAATTATATTTTATAGGTTTTCTATTTTTAATTTGTATAAATTATAAACTATATTAGAATATTATTGCAGACATTTGATTGGATATGTATAAATATCAATAGGTACTTGAAGGTACAAACAATGTGATGTGAGGTGGAGTATACAGTCAACTAACACAACCCATTTCTTAAAATTCATTAACTTCAAAAATAATTAAGGACTTTTTTTAAATATAAAAAAAATCTTGAAAAAAAAAAACGAACTACCTGTGTCTGTATTAACGGCACCACATAATTTTTTTAATAGGGTATGTATGTACTCCGTACTGTTTGTTTTTTTTTCGAATTACTTCTATTCAATATTTTTTGTATTTTTTTTTGTAGTAAATGTAAATATATTTTTGATCCTAATAATGAATAGTACCACCAGTTTTAAGGAATGGGTTGTGTAAGTTAATATACTGTATAATTATATACATATATATACTAATATAGACATAAAAGTAATTAATACGCTATAAAACATTCCTGCAGGGAATAAGTTCGCTTGTGTACATTTCCGTTGTAAGCTGATATCTAGATTAAAACTGGATGTACAAATAAAAACAATAAATAAAACAGCAGACAAAAAATTTGTATTGAACAGAAGGTCGTTTTTAATATTATAATTCTCCAATCAAAACGATTTTTTTTAGAATGTTCTAGTAGTGAAATTGAACATTCTTTCCAAAGAAACGCGTCACAAACGAATTTGTATGGAAAACTTGATGTAATATTTCGATTCATCTTATTAAAAAACATGTTTAGTTTTACTCTAAGAACATGCTCTTAAAAGGATGGTAATAATTTCGATTTGAAATTATTTTTCCCTTTGCATTGTTAGCTTATTTGTATTAAAATAAAAAAAATCTGTAAAAATCATTCAAATTGCATTTGCACAAGAGCGAAATGGTCGTCAGTTATGCAGCAACAAGGAATGTATTACCAGTCTCCTAAACAAGTGGCAAAAAAATTCATCGATAATTCGTTAGATACGTTTTCGTTACTTCACCGAATTGTTCAACATATCCGGTATTCTTATGAAGTATAATTTTTAACTGTTGATTGGACGTCCAATTAATGACCTCTGTAGACGATGGATATTAATTTCATGAACAAATTTTTATCTTTATAATTCTTTTAATGCACTTACGACGAGATATAATTCTTAAGGTAAATTTTAATTTTTTTTGTTTGGTGATAATAAAAACCTGGGGAGTACTTCTTATTTATAATAATACAATGCATATTATATAAATGCATATAAGTCCGTGTCGTCCCGACATACCTTTTTTCCCATGGGTGTCGTAAGAAACGACTAAGGGAATCTAATGATCAATCGAAACATCATCAAAGCCTAACTGCAGTTGCCAATTGGCCTGCCAAGCGTGGCAACTATTGGCAAAACCCCCCTAATAAGGGGAAGACTATGTTCAGCAGTGGACAGCTAACGCCGGATATGACGATGATGATGGTGGCACGGTATAAACGGTTTATAAAAAGGGAAATATTCGTCCAAAATTAAAATGGTAGATCATTTACGAATGTCTTAAAAAAAAAGTTAAAAAAAAAATTGTCCAATTCATTACATTATACAAAAATACAGTACAATAATGTTATAATTAGTCCTATTACTGTATACCACAGCCGATTCGATTCTATCAAATATTATTTTGATCATGGTTTGATTAATTTGATTTATTTTAATTAAATTTTCTATAATAAATACGATTACACATAAATTTATCGCACAATCAATTAATATGTTCATAATTATGTTATTAATAAAATGCTGGATTACCTATTTAATTCTAATTATTTTTATAATATTCTGTACCTTATTAAAATTTCCAAAATGTATGAAAGGTTATTTTATGGTTTATATTAAATCGGTTATTAATTCCAATGTTGGCGCTAGTAAATTGATAGGGAATCAAAATACTATACATAATGTTCAAAAACAAATTGTGAAGTGTGAATGTCATAAATATTTTTTAAATTAATTATAAACGATCCATTCTATTCTGTCTTATTTTTTATTTCTTTATAAATTCTTATGACATTCCGTATTTTCAATTCTGACCGTATCGCATACAATAAAACTGCAATAAGTAGAAAATATGAAAAAATAATTTATAACTGGATAACGGGAACAATATAATAACATAGGAATCGACAAATAGAGTTCATTAAATTTCCGTTTTTCAGTAATATATAAATATATATAAAAAAAAAACAGAAATTTTAAAAATGATTAAGGATCTTCATACAATTAATTATACCAACTTACTAACGCCATCTCTTGACATATACCACATTAAAGTTTGCCATAAGAAAATACATTTGTATTTCAATAAAAAACTGCATTCATTTTGTAGATTAATTAATTAGTTTACAAATTAAATTTGTAGTTTACAATGTAAATTTACAGACATCAAAATTCACAGAGATTGAGAAAAGCACCATTCTTTCGACTAGGCGGTAGTAATATTTTAATTTTTTTTAATAGTTAAAATACAATAACATCGAAAACACCGACACCGAATAAAAATGTCATATCGCATATCCACTTAGTTTTTTCAAAGATGAATATGGATTTTTTTATACAACTTAGAATGGCAAGCAAGCTGACGGCCCACCTGATGGAAAGTGGTAACCGTCGCCTATAGACATGAGCAGTACCATGAACATAACAGAGTATACTGTTTCGCCCATGATATCCCTAATGCGTTGCCATTCCTGAGGACTCAGGTGTTATACCTCTGTACCGTGTAAATTCACGCCATATCCCACCCTTCAAACCGAAACACAACCTTGCAAACAACTGCTTTACGGTTGTAACACGAATAGGACAGAGGTATCTAAGCAAACGACTTTTGTACAAAGTCTCTCTCTGGTACTGGCCAGGCCATTGGGCCTGGAATAATAATTCTGCCTGAGTTATTGGCATACGCTAATCGAGTACCAGTGAAGTGAGGATAAAATCACCATAACCGGTGTAGCATGAGACAAGTTATGAAAGTAGATTTTCATAACTTGGGACTCAATGACTTAAACAAATCGTTAACAAATTTGTCGATAGCAACGATATCGCTACTGCATGCATAAGATAGAACTAAATGCCGGCATACGACATCTTGTTCTTTCTCGTGTATACGTTAACAAAAATGTATTTTGTCTAGGCAGACTGGTATGAAGATAAAATTTTTAGTAAAAATTAATTGCTGTAATATGTTCTAAAACACATTTTTATTTCTTTAAATAATTACATACATGAGTCCTTAACACATATTGGTTTTTCAGAAAACCGAGATATGTATACACATACATACATACATTTGGTTAATTAAAATTTAAAATTCATCAAAACTAATGTACGTGAATATGCGACTTTGACATTTAAGATTTAATAAGGTTACGATAATATTTGCATATAAATGGGTTTTGATTAGTTAAGTAGTTAAAATTGTAGAAGGAATAATGCGTAGTACAATATATTACATTAGATATATTATTAACTTCATTTAAAACAATTAAGTATAATAAATTTGTGAATGAATCTCAATTGATTGTTATTTTATTCATCATTATTAAGTATAAAACATAATTCTAATTTTTAGATCTCTAACTTTATGACGTTACTGCCTTTGCCATCGAGGAAAAATATTTTTCAATTTTTACTATTCACCACTTACAATATTTCACATAATGGTCAAAATACGGTCTAGCACAGGAGTTGGCAGCCTTTTGAGTCGGAAGAGTTTTACAATTTACAAAATTTCAAAGTTTTTAAAGAGGCACAACTTTTTTTTCTGGCCAACAATAAATAGTACTTGCATAAATGCAAAGTTTGGTGCCTTATTCTTGTTAATCGATTCAGAATATTTTTTTTATATAATAAATAATATTTACTTATATATATGTGGCTCGCGAGCCGCAGGTTGCCGACCCCTGACCTAGCAGTAGTAGTAAAATTGTCATCACTATTTCTTAAAACTTATCACTCGTCAAAATTAGGAGTCTATTCTACGAAGCATTAACTGTTTATCTAGTTATTACTAATTTTAATCAAAAGAAAAAAAGTAATGTTATTACTGGAATCAATAATATTAATAATAAAATCATTTATTTCGATCATCAAGGACCAATAAGTTTACACAATGCCTAGAATAATCAATATTTAACTTCAATGAAAGATGAATAACTTTTTTTTTATTTTACAACCATACCCCGGACCCTATACAAAAACATCGTTTGTTTCAAATGATGACAGTACATGCAAATATGCGTAATCTAGTCAATTCATAATTACCAGATTATAGAGGAAGGGGGGGGGGGGGTTGGGATGAGGTCCAGAGGATAGGAGGATAGTCCAGAGGAATGATACTTTAACATTTTTAATAATTTTAAACGGCATGTATTATGTAATTTTAACATCAAATTTCTGTTTCGTTCGTGCCCGAAATTTTGGAAAATATTTCATTGTGTTCCCTCAGATCGAGATAGCGGCAGAGTGTCTATATTGTAGTCAGAAATAGTAGTATTACTTACAACACAAATATATATAAGAATAGACACAGTAACTAAGATTTCAACAATACAATTAATTAGTTAATCATAAATAATGCAATTAGTACAATCATATACTTCGTAGAATAGATGCCAGTTTCCACACGGTAAAGAAGAAAAAATTTAGCAGGAAACAAAGCTTAATTCTTACTCAGCTCCTCGGCGATGATGTCCAAGTAGTGGCTGGTGAACACTGCCTTATTGTGCATGACATACCGCAGCAAGGTGCCAGAGACGGTAGTTAGTTCGCGAGAAAAAGCAGACAGTCCGACGGGTATTTGGCGGGAACCGCCCGCGCAAACTAGGATCATTTTGAGGAACTCGAGTACGCGTTGACCTGCAAAAAGTAATGTTACTAATAAGATGTTTGTCTATTTTTTGTGTATAACATAATTACGTTTTCAGGCTTATTTATTTTGTATTTTTTTTTACAGAATTAACCAATTGACGAGCATATTGCGGTCAATCGTTGAGAATATACTAGGTACAGAGGAATAACACCTGAGTCCTCAGGAATGGCAACGCATGGGGGGTATCATGGGCGAAACAGTACACTCTGTTATGTCCATGGTACTGTTCATGTCTATAGGCGACGGTTACTACTTTCCATCAGGTGGGCCGTCAGTTTGTTTGCCATTCTAAGTTGTATAAAAAAAAAAAATTACGTTCTCTTTTCGATTGATCGCATTCGTGAACCACTGTATTCCATTATAGAAATCATTGAAACTATTACAATATTTGCCAAAAAAAATATTTTCCTAAAAACTACATAGAGTAATACAAGCTTTATTAATTTTTTCTTTGATAAACTCCATTCTCTTTTAATTTGCCAGTAGAGACCTGGCCTTCTACATGTGTTCGCATACATGTCTTTGTCTTCAATTCAATTAAATTTTCATTTCTTATATTGGGGTGAGCACAGCACACCCGGTCTCCCTCTAAAGACACTCATGATAAACTCCAAGAGATTGATAGGGGATAAGCCCCCATGGCGGGGAATCCAATGATTTCCTGCGGTGGGGGCTCATTAGCTATTTTATTGAGTAGTAATTATGGTAATACTGTAAATAATAAAATACTAACGGACTATTTGTCGGACTCTATGCTCAGGATCCTTCAGGGAGATTATTTGTGTCCTGATGAGTTCCTTAGTGTCAGATGTCAGTGGTTCTTGACTGAGATTCTCTAAGAGTTGGTCCGTCACAAGGATCACTTCTTCGGCAATGGATGGCAAGACTGCTTGAAGTTCTCTGTAGGTAAATATTCATAATATTATAATACAGTATTCAAAGCTCAGGTTATGGAATGTTTAACCCAAGTTTAAGGCAGGGCAAAAGAACATTTTGGTAGGGCAGAAGTTATAATTAAATAATTTCGAAAAAGCGAATCTATCTAATTTTCTTGGGGCCTTTCATCTTAAGGTAGGTCATTGCCCCTCAATGTCCCCTCCCCCTAGCCACGGCCATGGCACGTTACAGTCTCTTGGAAAAACCTCGACAGGGAGGTTTTTCCAAGAGACTAAAGCGCGTGATTTTTGCAGGCGTTCGTAGGCATATCATAACCGTTTACCATCAGGTGGGTATTCATGAAGATGTATGGAAACGCATGAGGGTTGTCATGGGTATCATAATGTCTGTGATTTAATTGTATTGTTTATCGTGACGTAAATCACAGACTTCTGAAAATTAGTAATTACTAACTTATGTTTGTGCATAATCTTTCATGCATTTATGTTCTATCATGTCTAAACACAACTGAGATACACAACGAACTATATATCAAATCATATTTTTTATTTTGCATACTTATATTTTGATGATTGATTATACCGGCAACTTACACATCATTAGAAGCGTTGTCCATGATGATGAATATTTTCTCCTTCAGTGTGTGTTTGTGTTGTGCCGTTGTTGTTTGGTCTGCGGCGCAAGACGGGCTCACCAGCATCAGGGATGCTGCGCACACCAACCTGTACACCTGTGTGCCCAATTCGGCGAATCTTGGAGCGTCTAGAGACACTGTCTGGGGGGTACATAATTTTATTTTAAAAAGTAGAAGTAAAAAAGAAGTAGAAGTGACAAAGTAAGAAGTGGAAGTGACAAAGTAAGAAGTGCTAGTGACAAAGTGACAAAAAAATGTGATATCTGATGTACTATGAAAATAAACTCATGACTAAAAAATGAGTTATACAAGACGGTTTCGAATTGGTGAAGACACAAAAGTGAAGTAAAATTGGGAACTTTGTATTTTTAAATCAATTGAGTAATGGAAACTACAAAGTTACAGAACGTTAAATGTCAAAAAGGCATATAAAAGTTACGTCATGATCGATTTATTAAGTTATTTATTTATTAAACTTTAATACAAAGTACTGTGTGAAAGTGTGGACAGTGCAAATAAATAATGTTAAACTTCTTGATGGAAAAAAAAATGAATTCAATATATATATATATATTATAAAATCGATCGCGTAAATAAATAATAAAATAAAAATATTGAAATTAGATCTGTATTTTATAGAATCAAAAATGAATAATTAATTTACCTCTGGATAACCCTTTGAACCATCCCATTCTAGCAACTCTAAATAGGCTTTTGCCAGTGTCTGTGCTGTTACGTTTCTGATAATATTCTGATCAGTGACAGGAATGGCCAGACCAGACTTGTCTATGTGTCGCTTCAACCATTCTTGAGTGTGCTGAAGACCATCTGAAATACAATTATTTACCAATTAGGTAAATTGGTAACTACAATTTAAAAAAATATATCAAATTTGAATAAATTTCATATTATATAAAAAAATTGCCGTATATTTATATTAGTGTGTAATTTATGAAAATATTCGTGTTACATTTTAAAATAGGTATTACAGTATAGGCACTCCATATTAAAATTATTTGGAGTTACGTTCGTCATATTAATGTCTGTTATGATTTGTTTCGTATTCATTTACTCCTATTTCACATTTGGTTACATTTTTTTCAACCGACTTAAAAAAGGGAGGTTCTCAAATCAGACTTTTATGTTTGTTACCTCATAACTCCATCATTTATAAATCGATTTGGAAAATTCTGTTTCCTATCTGAGAGAATATACTTTTAGATGGGTTTTTTAGACATTTAATCAAAAACAGTTCATTAGTTTTTAACTCAAAATAACTGGTTTTGCCACGATTGACGCTGGTGTTTTTTTGTTTGGTGGAATGAAATCTATTATTGGTAATGCAAGCAAAATAAGACAGTTTTCTCATTTGAATCGCTAGAGACAATGTCAAGAGTGACTGCTGTAGTAACACTCCTGACAGTGTTTCTACCAAACTAAGCCGCTAAGCTTACAATGTTATGCTGAAGTCTTAAATGATATTATAATTATATTAAATATAATTGAATACCTTCAGAAACTTTAAGCATTTCGTCGAATTTCGCTCTCTCGTATTGTACACTCTCTTTTTGCACATGCGGCCGGATCATGGCTATTAGCGTGTTAGCCAGATCTAACTTTAGCACCTCCAGTGTTTCAAGAATGGATCGGAATATGTCCACCTGTAATAATGATTATATTTATAAACAAGAAAAAAAGGAATTATACATACTTTGATGACTTTTGGGCTCTAAGATAAGAAGATTCGTCTAACGTTGGAGACTTTAGACTTCCTTAAAGTGAGCGCTAACACCCAATTGTACGAATACAACAAGCTTTCATGAAGGTAGTAAAATATTCAAAGAAAGTAACGTAAAGGTGCCCGTAAACTTTCACGTGGCTTAATCTAATCATTTAAAAATGTAATGTTATTTGTAAGACAAGGATGGAATAACTTCATCACTAATCAATACATACTTGATCAAATCATTCAAGGTCTACAAAAGCATATTAAATTAGTTTTTTGGTGAAATGAAAGTTCTACTCATGTAGTTTACAATTTAGAAACACTATGATTTGAAGACGGTGTCAAATAAAAAGGATTAAAATAAGATATTTACCTGTCTTTAGATATTACGAATATACTTTAAGATTAAGTTTTTTTTTTGTAGGCATAATACAAAAAGAAAAATATTTGATCTTTTGTATGCTTGTTTGTAATGAATAACATTAAAAATTACTAAATAATACTTAAACATTCTTTCACCTATAGAAGGCTACATCATCTACAAGCTACGGCAAGATGTTCCATCAGGCAAACAGTTTGTTATTTGATAATAAAAAAATATTACTTTTAAAAATAATATACATTACATATAACAAAAATTAAATATAGATATATTTAATTAATTTTATTTATACAATCAGATTTTACAAACGAGCGGCATTTTGTTAACGACAGATTGCTTGTCATTCAAATTGCCCCTTGTCTGCCAGAATTCTTACAGTATCAGTCATTGTAGTGATGTTCTGTATCATCTCGTCCCTCGCCGGTGCAGCCAATTTAGCCATAAGGTCAATAACGAACTTCGCATACTTGTGGAAGTCTAGACTGTTGTTCTCTGCTTGCTGCTGTATAAATTCGGTGTCTAACACCTCTTCGATCATCTCTCTAATTCTGGTGTGGCGCGGGAGAAGAATGGAGAAGAGACCCTATAAAAGAAGAGCAAGGACTATATTAGTATAAACATTTATTTAATTACCAATTACCAGAGAGTTACGTAATTTGTTAGGATATTCTTATTTCATTATTTATTTGATATACATTGCACATTTGTTCTCTTTTATTTATTTTGAAAATTATCTCCGTAGTAGTGACTAAAATAAGTGTATATTAAAGGTGGCCTATTTGTATGACAAACTTAATCAAAGTTTAATTAATTTTTTCTGTTTTAAAGCACTTGTAATTTGTTCTATTGACTCCACTAAAAATTAATCTAAAGTATAATGATATATGAATTATTGATAATCACTCAAACTTAACCCTCAGCAACTTTTAATATTAATAATATTAGTTTAAAATATAAAATTACCTGCTTAACATCTTCCAGTAGCACAAGTGCCTGTTTGTATTCAGGTGGGTCAGAATTGAGTTGCTCTCTCAATATGTCGAAATATGCCTTGTGCATTGTCTCCTTCACTAGTTTTTGATAGCTGCAGTAAAGTATATTGATATAGATTTATATACATTAAATAATGTTCAAGTATCTACATTTCTTAAAGGTTGATTGACAAAGAAGACAAGCCCTTAACTAATTATTTTTATGAGTGGACAGTAAGTTCACTATGTAATGTAGTAATAATATAATACAATAGTAATAATATAAACAGTATTTTTATTTCTTGATATATTTTGATAAATGGGAACACATTATGCTGATTTTAATTGTGAGAATTTTATAGAGTATGTAACAATTGCATAAATTAAATATGGTTGTTAAATGAAAAAAAAAAAAAAACTTTTGAGAGATATTTGTGTTATTGTCACTTCCACATGGATGTGAAGAGTTGGCTTCCATTTACTTAGATCTGATACATAATATATATATTTTATATAGTTTAGAATGGCAGACAAGCTGATAGATCACCAGATAAAAAGTGATAACCATTGTCTATAGATAAGAATACTGCCGTAAACATAGTCCACAATGTACAGAATAATAATCTGTTAACTAAGATACAATCACTACAAAGTTTATCTTAATAAATAATATAAATAAATAATATAAATAAATAATATAAATAAATAAATATAAATAAATCAATTAATTAATGTAATTAGACCAATATGGTTTACCTAGATACTGCAATATAAATATATGATGTCTATAATAAAGTGTAAGTAATAAATACCAAATAAATATATAAACCTGTTATCTGGTGGTTCAAATGGTTCCAACTTGAAGTCCTGATCAACTGCTATTTCATGTGCTAGTGCCATGTTTTGCATGCCATGAGCTGCTTTCATAATGTCTTCTAATGTGACAAATTTTGGTGGTGATGCACCAGTTATGGTAGATCCACGAACCCTGAATTGAATTGGTTCACTAGCATAGTAGCTGTTTCTGTAAAATTAAAAGAGTCTTTTACATTTACATTCTATTACATTTTTAACCAATTTAAAAAAAGGGTGTTTTAAATTCTTTTGGTCTTTTTGTATGTTCAATGATATCAACAATTTGTTGATTATATTTTTAATCTAGAGTTTACTTCTATATTAGTTCTATGATAATTGGAATTAAATGAGATTGATAAGATTGAAAGCATTTCCATTTCTTATTTTTTCACTTCTACTTCTTACTTTGTCACTTTCACTTCTTAAAATTACTGACAACTATTGTCATAGATGGTATGCTTACAAATTCCAAAATTATTTTAAATTGGATGATTCTATAGTATTATTTTATTAATATATTGAGTCTACTTTATACACACTGATGTCCCTCAAAAGCAGCAATGTTTGCATTGTTGTTTAGGTCTGAATAATAAGACGGTCATTATAGCCTCTGATACCATCAAGAATAAGTAAACATTATGTAAAGTGAGAGGTAAAATTATTTAACATTTGACCTGGATAGTAATTCATAATGTGAAAGATCAAAATTCCTTTGTTCTTGTTAGATTATAGAACAAAAGAAACTTAGATACTGGGTGTTTTATATAAGATACAGGATAATAAACTAAAATTATACCATTTGGAAAATATTATACAGTAATAACCATAATAATGTTGTTTTTTACTTTTCACATTTATTATATACAAGTTTAGGTGTAGCTATGTAGTAAGTACACAATTTATTTTAGAACTTTAATATAAAAGGATAAATAAACAAAAAAAAAAATATAAGAGTACATATAATATTATTTATACAGATAAAAATACTGAACCTGGATCCAGTAGGCATGGGTTGTGATGGAGTTCGGGCATTTTTTTCTCCCTTATCCGCGCCTTGTGATTCCGAACCACTGGGACCTTCGTGGTTACTCATGACGAAAGTACAGTTTTAACTGACCTAGGTATAACTGCAAGACCTCCTCAACCCATATAAGGAAGAACGCATAAAGGCACGACGTCGAAATCTTCAAATCATCTCACAACAATCACCTTGAGTCATAACTATACATAACCTCACTTTTTTGACAAAGAATGGTCGAAATATCTAATTCCTCAGTTGGAAATATTGTTTCAAACATTAATCTTATATTGATTATCAAAATATTAATGTTTTTATGAAATAATATTATTTTACAAATAGAATACAGCTGTTTTTATTTACTTGTCAATTTTGTGTCAAATCAAATTGTCAAGAAAAGTTAAAACAACACTTTGTCACTGTCAGTGTCATGGACCGGTTGCCAACTTGCCATTTAAGAAAATAGGAAATTGATTTTTCTTACAATAATAAATGGTCTGTATAACTCTGGCGGGGTACCATTGAATTATATTGATAGATGAAAATGAAACAAATCAGATTGTTTTTTTTGGATGATCATGGAATGGCAACCTTGCATTTCTTCCTTACTTCTTTCTTTTTTTTTCCCTCCCACCCCTAAACAGATCAGTTGGCCTTGGTTTCCAGAGGAACCTCACGGAGGTGAACCTGATATAATTGCTAGTAATGGGGCAGTTAGAGACCATTACTAGTAAGCCATTTTTTCCTTGATTATGGTGGTAGGGGTCAAAGATTTAGATAAGAGTGGTGTCCCGAGTTGCCCGTGGGGCACTTGTGTTATTTTTAGGCAATAATAATTGAATGATAGCCCTTCCAGTGCTATCATCATATAGTGGTATATCACCAAGGGACAATTTTATTTTAATGGATGATAACGGAATGGTAACCCCGTTTGCGCTATCGGTATATACCGGTGGGGCACCAGTGAGGGACGATAAGTGAAAATGAAAGAGTAGGTTAGTTAGCTCATCGTGATGAATATATCTGGAATTCAGATCTACGAGAAAATGGGGGGAAAGGGATTGTTAGTAATGGAGACTGAGAATCCTATTACTAGCAATATACCCAACCAGGTCGACCTCCTCACGGTTCTTCCTGGAAACTATCATGGTTAATTCCTGATGAATTCATCATGATGCTATGCTATTTATCATGATCAGGCTAACTGGCATGTTTTCATTCTCATCTATCACCCTTCACTGGTGCTCCGCCAGCGTATCCCATTAGCGCAGGCGGATATACCATATCATTTTCATCCATCAAAAAAAAACTACAAGATTGACTTGACAATAATAACAATTCTCTCACTCGGTATTCAGTGTTATCTACATATATTTATATATGAACAATAACGAACGTTACTCCTTGTGTTATAGATGTAGTGCAACGATACTTATAACCTAAGGTTAATATTTTTTACTGTACAAATGATTTAATCCATATCAAAACAGTATAAAAATAAATATATTTGTGAAATTAATACTTATTTATATGTTGTTAATTATTTAAATATACTTATATTTTAAATTCGGAGATGCTCAATTAGTTTCCAACTAGATAGGAGCTTCTATTGCCGTACTGCTCGCGACACAGCTGTGAAACGCGCTCATGAATAAGGGTTCCCATTGAGTTCGAAACTAGTTAAGCATCTCTGAATTTTAAACGTGAGTAAAATCAACATAAATAACTCATGATATTTGTAGTTATTACCTATATATTATTAAAAAGGTGTTCATAATTACAACAACAGGTATATAAAATATTTTTTTTATTTAGTATTTAAATTTATTAATGAAACATAAACTGAATGTAATTCAAACATTTTTTAACGCCTGTGTAAATTATTGATGTCCATTAATTCCTCTGTTTCCGTGAGTAGGCAAATGTAGTGATAAAAAACAAAAAAAAAAAAACATTTCAGAGCTATTAATACATTGCTCGACAGTTTCGCGAATAATTTTTCACGTTATTTTTATAACAATTCTATTTTTTCCAGTTATTGTTTTATGCTCTTTGCTCTTTCAGTTTAGTTTAGAAAAGTCTGGTTAATAAATTACTTTGACCATAATAGTGTATATGGTAGGTACTGATTTTAGGCATGATGATGTAGATTCAGAACAATTCTTATGTGAATCGTGCTGTAATAATGTAAAAAGGCCTTCCCGAAGACGCGTTTCCTTTATCTTACAATTTCGGAGCCTTCAAATGTAGCAAAATGTAAAATGATTTTTATTATTTATAATTATAATAAGATTTAATCATAATAATAATTCGTTTCTATCTGAAAAAAGACAGTCACTTAATTCGTTACAAAATTAATATTACAAAAGTAAGTGATTTTAAATAATTTACAAGAACAAAAAAAAATAGAGAAAAAAGATACATATAGAAACATAAGCGAATTGCGAACTCCCTTCTTTTTGAAGTTACTTAATTATTAGATTTCCTCTTCAAAAGGAATAATCAAACGAAATAATATAAGTATACCAAGTAACTACATTCCACAGGCAGAAATTAAAGAAGCGTAGTAAGAGGCAATCTAACTTGTTCACAGAGAGAACGGCCAACTAATTTACCTACGCAAACGCAATGTTAGCAGCAGCGGCGGATTGCTTTTTCTCAACTAGGTACCACCTATTTCATTTTAAACTCCGAGAATTCATCGTATCTTGCTTTCTTGGCTTTGACTTAGGGAAAAAGTGGATTTAAAGAGAAAAAAATATGTATTTCTAGATTGTTTCTTTATAAATTAATACTCAACAAACGTGGACACTTTTCCAAAAAAATGCGCTTTTGAAATAGTTTTAAAATTGGATAAATCTTGTAATTTATTACTAATTGTTAGTTATTTTCTTTCTTTACTAGTTTTTATTGGCAGCTTCGTACGCATGGTATTTGGAAGTAGGTAACCAGTAGTGATTGGCGGGAAAGGGATTGTTAGCAATGTAGTTCGACATTGCTAGCAATATGCCCTATCAGGTCGACCTCCACGTGGTTCCCCCTGGAAACCATCGTGAACAATTCTTGTTGAATTCGTCACGATGGGCTAACTGACCTGCTTCATTTTCACCTATCATACTTTACTGGTGCCACGCTGGTGTATACCAATAGTGCGGCTGGGGTTACCATTCCATTATCAGCCATTAAAAAAAACCAGTAGTGATTACCTATATGATGACATATCAAGATAATACATCTATATCAGTTTTTAAGTTAGTTCAAGAACACAAATGTGAAGGCTGCATTCAATGTGGTATTGCAGTCTTTAATGTTTGATCTAGTAACATAACCCCAATGATTAATATATGTAGATATGTAATTATATTTACAAAATTATACGCAACCATCATTGTTTTTTAACGGTAATTCGCAACTAGCAAAAGATAATGCGTTACATTATCTTTTGCTAGTTGCGAATTCTATGCCTGTACAATGTAAACAATATGGGGGGGGGGGGGAGTATTGTTAATAATGGAGACTAAGGGCCCCGATGCTAGCAATATACCCAACCAGGTTAATCAATATGCCCTATTAGGTCAACCTTCACGTGGTTTCCCCTGGAAACGATCAACACCCATTAAAAAAATATATAAACAATATATTTTGTATTCATCTAGATGTATTGAGTTAAACTACAAAGAATTTAAGTATGTTTGTCAGGGGGAAAAGGAATTGTTAGTAATGGAGTCTAACAGACCCACTACTAGCAATGTATCTATAATGTCGATCTTCACGCGGCTATCTATCTTATTATCTATATTCTTCTTATCTATATTCTATCGTGGCTTATTCTTGCTGAATTCGCCACTAATTGACCTGCTTTCATTCTAATCTATCATTTCTCCTGCCCCGCCAGCGCACATCGTGTTACCAGCGTTAAGTACCCATAGAACAAAATCTGTTTACTTTGGGACTAGATGTTGCTGTCTAATATATAGATAAAATTTCTATGAAATCAATCTCTAAGTACATTATTTATCTTTTCAGATAAAAAAAGAATAATTTTCCAAGTTGGTTTATAATTGACGGAGTTATGGGGCAATAAATACAAAAAAAAAAAAAAATATACAATTGTATTGATAGCTTTCTTCTTTTTGAAGTCGGTTGAAAAGGGTATAAGAGGTAATTTTGCCAATATGTTGATTCCCAACTAATGTTTCTTTATTGAGATTTACATAAAGCAAATAAGGTATAATAAAATTAAAATTATCATCATCATGATCATCATATCAGCCGTTAACTGTTTACTGCTGAGCATAAACCTTTCCCTTGGCGGATTTTGCTAGTAGTTACTACGCTTGGCAGGCGGGTTGGCAATTGTAATTAGAATTTGGTGATATTTTAAGAGACGCGGCACATCCCTCTATATTTATTTCTCTTAGCATCCCTTACGACAGCTACGGGAAAAGAAGGGGTAACCCATGCTAAGCCGAGACTACACTGCATTTTATACTTATTTACAAATTTAAGTAGAGACTATATAATTTATGTTGTCTCTAGTTAGATGTACCCAGATTTATATAGTAAGAGATGTAGAGTAATTTTTTCCTACTAGTATAACTATATTCTTAAGCAAACAGGCGGCCCCATTAAACATTTTCATAAGTTTTTCGTACCGGTACGTCATAGTTTAAATTAAAGTCCCGCTTTCACAGAAAAATCTTTGAACTTATTTCTTGCAGGTGAGTGCAAGGATGCTAAAGTTTTTATGCATAAGTATATTTAACTATATCTGGACATCTTAACTATTAAAATATAGTGATTGTGAAGATGTTTGGATCCACTTCGAGTTCAAAACGAAAGACCATCTCAATTCAGTTGTTTTTTTTTTAATGTTTCTTACCTCATAACTCCGTCAGTTATTAATTAATTTGGATTTTTTTATCTCAACATTTAAATTCACATATTAGTCCCGTAAAATTTTTATTAAAATCTGTTCAGTATACTGTAACTTGTAAAACATTTAAACACTTGTAAAAAGTATACTTTGAGTGTTAGTAGCATGAACATTATTTAAAATGTAGATTTGATTAGGGGCAAATTCTGGGACGCCATTTCTCTAAATCTAATCTTTTAATTTAATATTTTAATTTAATATATTCACGAAGTTACTGTTTTATGGCCCATCATAAACTAAATTTAAAATAATTTTAACCTAAATCTATTGGAAATTTAGTTTACATTGATTCTAAGATTAGATATTTTGTCATATGAAAATTAAATTCTTTTATATCAAAATAAATAGACGTGTTACTGTCAAATTAAAAATTTTACATATAGGTTTGGAGAAATAGCGCCTCTAAATTGACTCCACTGTCTGTAAAGCGCTCACTCTCATCGTATATAGATAGGGATATTTAAACCCAAATCTAGACTTAGTTATTTATACTTATTTTAATACTACCCCCTTATTCAATAAAAAATCTAACCTCTCATAAATCTATTTTAAATATTGAAGTGTTTTGTCTCTTTCTTTTGCGCTAATTTCACAATTTGAAAGACACTCTAAAAGTTAAAATAGATTTGTAAGACATTTTAGTTTTTATGAATAAGGGGTTTACTTATATCAATTTATAATCGCTTGGTTGTGCGTTTAAAGATTAGAAATGTAGATTCTGTATATATTAGAGATAGTGTCACTTTTTAAATATCTGTATTGAGTGTGAGTAGCTCACTACTACATTTTAGAATTGTGATTGTCTAGAAATTCTTATTGCTATACAAATAAGGTACTTAATTGCTAATCTACAATTTCTTATTCGAATACATAGAATATGTATATCAATTTATAGCCGTTTGGTGGCGCATTAAGAGATTAGAAATGTAGATTGGTTCCACAGTGAGGCAAAAACTATACTTATGCCAAATGCGACGCGGGAGAAGACGTTTAGCATAATAATTGAGCACATAATTTTGGATTAAGAACACCTACGTGGCTGTCGAGTATCACTAAATTATGATTGTAAGGAATAATCAACCATAGGATTAACTATATAAGTATTAAGTTTAGCTAACTAAGAAGGAGATTCTCTATTCGGTTTTATTTTTTTGATGTTTGTTACCTCATATCTCCGTCAATTACAAACCGATTTGTACAATACTTTTTTTGATCTGAAAGGATATACTTACAGATTGGTTCCATGGAAACTTTATCATAATTAGTTTAGTAATTTAGTTTTTATATAGAAATAAATGGTTATACCATAATAGAATAGGACAGGGATGACATATTCTATGCCGGGACCACATGGCGATGTATATATGTGTATAAACTTAATACATAAAAATATATTCTAAGAGGAAAGCGATTGGTAAAGTCCGTGCAGGCGTTAGAATCTTCCCTAAGTAAAGCAAAAGTGGAGCCACAAGTTAAGCCCACCAACACTAAGCTGTTTCTAAGTAAAAGCTGCTTCATTTTTAATGAAAGTTGCTTCTAGAATTTCAGATGAAGTGCAACTGGGATAGTTTAAGTTGGAGTTTTATTGCGGTTAGATCTAACTCTAGTTTACTAACTATGTTTACCAAATACTTTTGGTAAACGTAGCCTAACTTCATATGTTATTATTAGAGCATGGTAGGGCTTCGTCAAGCATGCTGATCGATTTTTTAAACACAGTTATAGTTAACATAAAGTGATTTATCTTTGAGTAAGTGATTTTTTTATAACTAAGCACTGTCATAATACGATTTTATGATGGATATCATGGTTCATAAATGTATAAGGTAAAAGGAGTATAGATTCTTTACGTTAAGATGGCACGCCCAACCAACTTTTGTACTTCAAGGGTTTTGACCATTTAGGTACAAACGCAGTGCTCTCTTTATGTTTGTGAGGAAACGTCTTCAATATCGGTACGGTCAGAGGAGTATTGTTTGGTCGAAACCTTGTGAATATTTTTACTCATACTTTAAAACTTTGTATTTTGGATGGGCGTGTCATGTTATAACAGAAAAACTATACTTTTAATAACATGAAAATTAATCGTGTTTGATTTAATGTTACAAAAGTTAAAATTATTAGTATATTTTTCTGTTGAAAATATAGTTTTCTAAATTAAGTTTTATCTCAACTTTGAATTGCAATTTAGTTGTAATTAATTTAATCATTGTCATCTACTTTTTATTATAACTTGGAATAACAAACAAACTGACGGAACACTAATTGAAAATGGCGATTGTCACTTATAGACTACGAGTATTACCAGAGGGAGACTTTGTACAAAAGTCGATTGCTTGGGTACCTCTGTTCCATTCGTGTTTCAACCGTGAAGCAGTTGTGTTTGCATGGCTGTGTTTCGGTTTGAAGGGTGGGATATGGCGTGAATTTACTGGGTACAGACGAATAACACCTGAGTCCTCAGGAATGGCAACGCATGGGGGGTATCATGAGCGAAACAGTATACTCTGTTATGTCCATGGTACTGCTCATGTCTATAGGCGACGGCTACCACTTTCCATCAGGTGGGCCGTCAGCTTGTTTGCCATTCTAAGTTGCATAAAAAAAAAGTATTATTTAAATTATTTAAATCCAGACTTGAAGTTTATTTATACTTTCATATTTATAAAAATTAATAATATAGAATAACGTATTATTAGTATGTTAATGTATTATTTAAAACACAGGGTATTTTATCGCTAACCCTGCCACAATCTGATGATAATATCTCTTTATTAGAAGCATGATATACTGGAAAACATATACCAATCAACAAACAGGATTAAAAGTTAAATTAACACCGGACCCAGAGATAGCCGACTATCCTAGATAGGTGCTTATTATAAGTAGGTACGCGTTTTAATCTGTTAAAACAATTTAAACTTTCAATCCTTGTTGGTATTGATCTTCGCATGCGGGTTTCATTTGATCTTGTTTTGGTCAGTTTACGGACAATGGACGGGTTGCTTTGTTTTTATTGTTATCTAACTTTTTTGTTTATCTTTTTTTTTTGTTATATTTTACAAGACGTTGCCAGCGATTTTGTTAATGTGATTTTATGTTAACATATACTTATCTGCTTTATATGGTATGTAAAGTTTTGGAAAAAAATAACTAAAAACTAAAAAGGCCACCCCTTTTTAGGCTTTGAATGTATTAATCAAGGAGGAGGGTAGACAATCGATAATGGAGAATAGTGGTACCATTTAAGGCAGGAGGAAGCACAAAAGATTCGTATGGGTCGACGTGCAACGGCTTAGCTGACCCCATATGCGAAAATAAGATAAAATAACTGGTACCATTGCACTATAGTAGAATTCCTGACTGTTTTTACTTCTGTGTTCTTTTATACTAAGAGGTATAGAGAAAAAGAGAGAGAGAGAGATTTTTTTCAAAATACATTTAATTTTCTCCAGCGAATACTACATCGATCGCTATAGAAAGGGTTCCACCACTGTCGAAAATTCTTGAAGCTGATCTTGTGTGTCAACCAATGTTGATTATTTAAACTGGCACAAAGGCTGCATGGATTAAGGACTGGTGACTCCGTTATGGTATAATGGTTCTTCCATTTGAAGAAGTGGTAGTACCGCTCTCGGTCTTGAATGATATCGTTCATGGTTTTAGCTAGTTTCTCTTCCCCAATTGCCAAGGCGTTGATGTAAGAGTTTGGTGGGAGAAATCTGTCATTATACATTTAAAGTCAGTTTTATATTGCATTTTATGTATTATATACTATCAGATACTCCCTCCCAGTAATTAAAGAGCTACTAAAGAAGTCGTGTACATGAATACCAACTATCTAATAGGTATATCTGTTGACTATCATGTGTACTAATATATTCTTTATTGTACACAAAAGGTTATTGAAGTGTAAAAACAAACATAATAGTGCACAAGGGCGAGCTTATCTCCAATAGATTTCTTCCAGCAAAGCCAATATGAGAAAAGTGACAGTTCATTAGTAGTTACAGTCATACATGTATATAAAAATATAGCTGTGTTTTGATGTGAATAGCTGTAAAATTATTTGTTACAGAGACATAGATAGATAGATAAATAGATACTCTTTATTGATTCCTCCAAAAGATTACAATAGTAAACTTATTATAAATATAAATAATTACAAGAAATAATCACAATGAGAAAACAATAGGCGACCTTATCGCTAAAAGCGATCTCTTTCAGGCAACCTTTGGATGGAGAGAGAGAGATGAAAAATAAGAACTTATTTCTCAGGAACTAGGTCTGAATCATTATCTTTCCGTTTATCGACAATATTCAAAACGAATACTCAAGAGACTATTGAATGTGGTTTTTCAAAAGGGGGGTAAAGAGGTTTCTTCAGGGTCGGCGACGCGCGCGTAATACTCCTGGTATTGCAGGCGTTCATAGGCTACGGTAATCGCTTACTATCAGGTGGGCCGTATGTTTGTGGCAAACCTTAGTGGTATAAAAAATGAATCATTTAAAGAATAGTACGGTGCATTCTATGATGGCCACGAGCTTATACAGAACGGGTCATATACTTGTTTGTCACTAAAGTAGTATAAAAAAAATACCAAAATTATCATACAGTTCATATTGGGCTCCTCCTAAGACAATAGGCACTGCATTATTCTTGTACGCATACAGAATATCTCTAGTAATGTAATCAGCATCTAAAGAGTCTTCGAACGCGAGATAGAAAAAATAATTTCTCCTCAATCTGTAATAACATGGAGTCATAGTATTTCTCTTACATCTTTTAGAGCCACATTCTCCAAAAATATCTATCGTGAGATTATATTTAGACAAGTGATATTGCAAATTCTTCAGAAACAATTCCCTTCTACTCCTGCTCTCACATTTGTTTAAAAATATTGCGGCTGCCTTTGATTTCATGTACAGTTGCATTTTTATCTGGTTATTAATTGGAGTCATATTTCGTTTCCATGGTATATGAGAGCCTAAATCTTGATCGTCTATGTTGTTAACAGTGATAAACTTGTAAGGGATTGTAGATTCTAGCCTGTGTGAGAATATACATAATTTTATTTATATTTCCAATTAATCGACCAGTATCACAAGACTATAGAACTATTTGCTTTTCCTTTAAAATGTTGTAATGGTGTCTTCTTTAGAAATAATAAAGCGTAAAGAATATAACCTGTCACATGACATGGTATTGTTCATGTCTAATAATAGTTACACTTTCTGTTAGATTACTCCTAGTAGTATTTCAACTATAATTACTACGCTGCTCTGATGGAAAAATAAGGGGATTCAACCGACTTTAAAAAGAAGAAGTTCTCAATTTGGTTATAATTTCTTGACGTTTATTACCTCATAAGTCCGTGAGTTATAAACCGATTTAGTTTTTTTTTTTATTTGAAAGGATGTACTTACAGATAATCCAATGAAAATTTTAATCAAATGTTGTTAGGTAATTTAGTTTTTAAATCAAAATAACTGGTTTTTGCTGTGTGTGCGACCCCTCACTAGATGGAGTGACGACCTCGAATAGATTGCAGAGAGTTAGTAGACGCAGGTGGCTCAGGACTGTTCAGCAGTGGATGGATAATGACCGTGATGATGACGATTATGACTGTTTGTGTATTTGTTATTGTTACGCTTTGTTATTCTAGTCTCTTTCTTCATAGATATAATTATGAAAAGTTAAAATGTTAAATACTTTCTTTAGTCTACTGTCATTATCATCATCATCATTTTAGCCATTATGGACTTTACATACTATATACTATATGTCCATGGTACTGCTCATGTCTGTAGGCGATGGTTACCACTTTTCATTAGGTGGGCCGTCAGCTTGTTTGCCATTCTAAGTCGTATAAAAAAAAATGCGATAATAGTATTATAAAGAGGAAAGATTTGATTACTTGTTTGTTTTGTAATGGTGGATCTATAAATAAACTGGATAAACTCAAAAATTATTCAATTATTCGATTATTTTTTTCCACTTATAGAAAGAGACATTAAGAACGATAAATTTAGGCTATATATTATTTAAACAAATATATCAATTGGTGCGAAGTCAGGACGGATTATTAGTAACAAATACATTTACCTGTAAGTCCAAGTCCAGTTAAAAAAATCATCATACGATGGACTACAGATTGGGTAATTATCCGCCGAGTCGTTTGTTGCGAAGATATACTTCTGTAACACACTCCTAGTAGACGGCAGATCGTTCCCGCTCAAACTCACATCTTGCGCGTTAAACAGAATGACATCAAAATATCTTAGATCACCGAATAAACTCCTGTTCTGTGTAAAATAACAATTTTTAAAATTACACTCTCGCCTCACAAAGGCCGTTTGGCCTTCCTCTTCAATTCCATAGAAACTTGTCCACACCAATATGTATTTTAGATCCGGCAAGAATCTAATGAGCTTTTTGAAAGTGAATATTTTTACAGATCGCTGGGTAACTATGTAACTTATTATAATTAAGCATATTAAATGTATTAGTAAATCGGAAAGCTTTCGTATGCGAGCCATTATAGAAGCAAGTTTAATTCTAAAGAACTTCAGATATCTACATTGATTTTATGAATTTATTTGACAATAACAGAATCACGTCTGTTGTCGTTTCGAAGTCAGATTCGTTTCACATTGTATTTGAGTGCATACGTGTGTATACACTATAAGATGACAGCTTTGTTTATGAATACTTGTTTCAATGTTTTTTTAACAGATTAATTGGATTTTTTTTCTTCAGAAATTGTTCTTTTTTCTTTACACAACATTTTTGGATAGTCCATTTATTAATCGGAAGTCCTGTGCAAAATTCTCATTTTTAGATCCATCGGTTCAGGTTATGCATTGTTAGTAAATTATTGGTATATTTTCATAAAGTAAATTTACAAATATTATTAATATTTATGTAAAAGTTTGTAATAGTAGGTAGTAGTGTGTTTGAATATTTGTCACTGTGAAGGTCTGGACGTATTAGAATGAAATTTTGGTACATGGAAGTGCCGTATCCTAGGTTAACAATGAATACAATTTTAATTTAAACGAGTAAAGCCGCGCATTATATCTATATATAGGTATTATTGATCCGCACCAGCTTTACATGGGTAGGTAGAACGATAGTATGGTCTATGTAATTAGCTTGCTTGATAATGTAGCTTCATATAGGTGATAGAAACTTTAAATCGGCGGAGTAATTTTTTAGTTTTTCTATTACTAACAAACATACAAAAAATTTTATCTTCCTATTTTATAATATTAGTATAGATATAGTTTATTATTTTAACAATATAAAATATAGATACTTTTTTTCTGGACATTACGTAATAAAAGAAATATAATTTCACAAATCGTCCATATTTCACAGATTGAATAAAATGCCTTGTAGGTTTGTGAATACAGTAGAGTATAATTTGATTTGTCACAATGTGATTTTCGTCTCATTTTTTTTCGAAAATGTCGACAACGGTGTACCGTATTGTGCATATGATGTGGGTCCGAGAGCGGACAGCTCAGAACGGAATTGTCCGGGCTTTTGAATGGCTCCCGATTACTGTTGTTGCAAGGAAATCATTTTGATGGACGCTTTAGAAAGTTTTTTTTTGTACAAATCTCGACTACATAATCGAATATTATTTTATATTCATTTTGTAAAAGAATCATACTTAAATATTACTTCAAACAGATATCACTAGTGTACATAAAATCCGTGGTTTAATTAATATAAATAGGCTAGTCCTTTGTGTGCTAATTTTTTATTTTAAATTTGTCAAGAGTCCACAGTTTTTAGACTATGATTACATTTTACCTCAGAGAAAGTTCATATCTAAAAGAAAATGTCGAAAAAAAGTTTCAATGTTTCAAAAAGTTGATCCATAATTACTGATGGTATTTTCGGAACGGAAAGGGAACATTTATTTATTCTTTATTCATCACATCTCAAAAAAATGGTGCAAAAGGCTGTCTTAATATTTTATAGCATCCTCTCCTAGTAAATCTTTGGAAAACAGAAATGTAATTATTCAGTGAAAAATAATGAAATTCGATATGGGTGAATAGTTACAGACTAGATACGTCTGATATTGATTCACAAATAATAAAATATATACAATGGAGAACTACTCCATATTATCAAATAATATACTTACAATACACATTGACTCAACTATTAAGTAATAGAATTTGTTTTTTTTTTATGAGTGAAAATGGTATGGCGACCCCGCCTGCGCTAACGGGATACGCTGGCGGGGCACCAGTGAAGGGTGATAGATGAGAATGAAAACAGACCAGTTAGCCCATTATGATGAATTCATCAGGAATTAACCATGATAGTTTCTAGGGGCAACCGCGAGGAGGTCGACCTGGTTGGGTATATTGCTAGCAATGGGATTCTCAGTCTCCATTACTAACAATTCCTTTCCCCCCAATAGAATTTGGTTTCAATTATAATAAATATATTGAATTAGGAATTGTAGCATCTTTATGATAGGTATTACCTCTAATGTTGATTTTGATTCGGCATAATATTACTAGTATTTGAGTGATATATTATAAGTCTATATAGGAAAATGTGCTGATAGGAAAAATGCACAATAATACTCGTACTAGGTATCATGTGCGCTAGTTTTGTCTAAAACGCTTTGAACTTCTATGCAATATCATTTTAGAATATTCAATCGCTTATAAAATAATATGAAAATGTTAGGGTTGCTCTTAGTTTATTCAATTTTTTTCTTTAAAATTATATTAACCTTTCTTAATACTTTACTTTTACATAATTATTTCGTTCAAGTAAAAAATGAGTTAGTTCGCGATAAAGAAAAATGTATTACAATCATTTATAGTATTTAATAATTTTCGATTAATTAGCATACAGATATTTACTGTACGTATATCAATTGATGCTTGTCTCGAATGCGGACATTTTATTAAATTATACTGGGTAATATAAATGAAATTAGTGAAGAGGTTTGGAGTTTATTTATTAGCTACTATTTTTGTATGTGACGTAGATACCTTCGTAAATTCAGAAGTAATTTTTATAATCCTTTTGCTTTTATCACAATACAATTACCAGTGTTTTGCGGAGAAAAATCTTGAAGTCACACATACTTTTGTCATTCTTTTTTCCTCGATATTACTCTTATATTGTAATGAATACCCTTTGCCTTTTTTCAACGTCCTCTATCCAAAAGTTGTCTGTAAGAGATTGCTTAGCGATAAGGCCTCCTTTTGTTTCGCTTCTCATTAATATATACCGTATTTATTATTGTTTTACTTGTTGCAATAAAGTGTAACATGAATAAATAAAAATAAACAGATGTAAATATCGACAAAAGTAAAACGTAATTTCATATTATCGTGTCTATTCACTATTATTGAGTGGGTACATCCCTACCGAACCTATTTATCTTTACGACAGTTGTGTCGGCTTAGATTTAATACGCAGATACGCTCAGATTGTGCGGTGTTCAGTATTCAGTCGGCGGCAGTGATTTTCCAATGAGCGGGCTGGTACGAATGCAAAGACGCAATGTCTTCGCTTCGCCGAGCTTCGGCCGCCGTCCTATTCTGTAGTGTCAATTGTCACAAGTACGGACATTCATGTTACATCATCATCATCACCATATCAACTGTTAATTATCCACTATTAAACATAGGCCTTCCCCATAATGATAGTTTTGCTAATAGATGCTACGCTTGGCAGGTGGGTTGTCAACTGCAGATAGACTTTGGTAATGTTTGAAGAGGGACGCTGCTGCTCATACTTCGACCTATAAGGGCCTTCAGTCATCTCTTACGACACCCAAGAGAAAGAAAGGTGTGGCCCTTTCTATGCCGGGACCACACGGCATGTTCATGTTACATATGTGTGTGTAATTGTGGAAATATATGAGACTACACACATTTTAAATTTACGATCAGTACGATCGACATTTACCATTGTTATAAGTAAATAACAACTGATCGGTTTATTTTTTATGTTTTAATATTGTATATTCGATATACATAATGTATTTCCGATAATTTTAAACCAATTTTGATGATTTATTTGCTGTCATTATTGATTATTTTCATGTTGGCCATATTTAAATTTGGTTAGGATTATAAGAGTTACAGAGAAAAACGATATCTAAATAATTTTCAAGTCGGTTTCAAGTTGTTCCTATGATTATTTACCCACGTATTTATCTATGCAACTGGGATAAAATGTAGTCTATGTGCTTATGTTGGCATCAAGGCGCCAAAAGGCACTATTAAGATGCCAAGAGACAACAAATAGACAAACTTTTATATCTATAATTGCATTTATTGAAAGTGATCAATTGTATACCAGATATAATATCAGAGGGAGACTTTGTACAAAAGTCGATTGCTTGGGTACCACTGTCCCATTCGTGTTTCTACCGTGAAGCAGTTGTGTTTGCATGGCTGTGTTTGCATTTGGTTTGAAGGGTGGGATATGGCGTGAATTTACAGGGTATAGAGTAATAACACCTGAGTCCTCAGGAATGGCAACGCATGGGGGATCATGAGCGAAACAGTATACTCTGTTATGTCCATGGTACTGCTCATGTCTATAGGCGACGGTTACCACTTTCCATCAGGTTAACTTGTTTGCCATTCTAAGTTGTATATAAAAAAAGAAAATGTTCTATCAACATAACGTAACATTAATATTTTCTTTTTAAACTTTCGTGTTGTCGTATATTTTAAATATACTATTATTTACCTGCAATCGCGTCAAGTACGGATAGTGTATTTAAAATATCAGTATTTTGTTTTGTGTCATTTTCACATTCAGAATAGTCCCGCGCGTAAAGGTAAGCGAGGTCTCGTCTTGCTAATGAGATTCTTTGGCTCGCGGTTTGCATTTCAGATCAGTTGCTCTGTCTCATCGCCTCGTGTCGTGCTACTGAAACTTTTCCCTAATAATGACATCTAGTACATTAGGCCAACTGAGTTTTTTTCGCTAATTTTTGTACAGTATTCACAATACAAAACATCACACAACAAAATTGATATCGTTATTAATGATTGAATTGGTACTATGTGCTATTATAATATCCAAATTAATGAACAATCTTTGGCAATTTCTTACAATGTAACTTACATTTTGAGTTAACATTTATATGTAGTCCAAGGATGCAAGAAGCATGTCAAAGACTTGACATGCTTCTTGCATCAGACAATTTATAACGAACAAAAACTGCACCGGTCATAAGATGCCATAAATGCAAAAGCTGCTGTAAATTTTATTTAATAATAATAATAACGTTTATTTAACAAAACAGCACAGGTAATTGTTAATATTTGCAGAAACGCAACCTATTGTTTGTAAAAAAAGGTCTCAGCATTTTACGGCAGTCGAAAGATTACAGCGCTGTTTTTCAGCGCTGTTCTAAAATATTCACGTTAATAAATCTGCAATTGCAATTTACAATTGATTTTATTTTTGTATTACATTATTATGTAAATAGCAGTTTACAATAGATTACATTAGAGTTAGTACCAATTTCGACCTTTGAGCAAAAATCAATAATTTAACGAGTATCTATAGAGGGCATCATGTCCCCTTACATCAGTTATGAATGGCATTTAAGATATGATTTGTGTATAAATGGAATAAATTGCGAGAAGTGAATGTTACAATATTGCAGGGTGTACGGAAGGAATATGAAAAAATCCTTTTATTGAAACTAGCTAGGCCGTTATCCATTATGTATTAGGCACTTGAGGCGTTGTGGCCATTATAACACGATATTTTAATAAAACTATTTCCATATATTATTTTGTGGAAGTATCTTTTGTTAACATTAGCATGTGTATGACCACAGACATTTGTTTCAAAGGACTTAACACGAATATTAGAAGTGTTATGACTTTCCTTAACATCAATTAATCTTCGACAGTTAGTACATTTAATATTACGTTACATATTTCACATCTAAACGATACATAAACAGCCATTTAATCGATTTATATAAATCACACTTCGTTTTTTTTATTTTTTAATAAATTTATTGGTATATGATTGTTATATATTAACACTATTTCTAAATTATTTTAATTTGGCAGATCAGTGTTGGCTGATTTCTGTCCATCCTAACGAGATCAAGCAGCGTGAATATCCTGTTTACAGTCTTCTTATTTTACTAGTAGATTATCATCCTAAAATATAATGTTGGTTTCCTATGTCCTCTCACTGCTAATTATATCAGCTGTAACTGCGGCTGGCAGGAGCAGGTTTCTGAGAAATGGTACTGTCCATTCTATCCATAGCTATTTCGAATTATGGACTAAAAAAAATAAAGTTAAATCATAGCTAAATTAAATATGTTATAACTGCTATGTGAATTAAACATCATCGTTTGGTATTTTCTTTGGAACGTTACTACGACTTGCTGTGTGGTCCCGGTATAGAATAGGCCACCCCTTCCCTTCTCGAGGGTGTCGTAAGAGGCGACTAAAGGAGCTTAATGGTCGAGGGATGGGCAGCAGAGGTCCTCTTAAAACATCACCAAATCCTAACTGTGATTGTCAATCCACCTGGAAAGCATGACAACTACTGGTAAAATCCCCCAAAGGAGAGGCCTGTGTTCAGCAGTGGACAGCTGCCAGCTAATATGATCATCTAACATTTAATGGTCGCATGATAATGCGTTTGTCAGACAAATAGCTAACAATTACAAATATCAACTATACTTAGTTGTATAGTTTTTTTTTAATGGATGAAAATGACATGGAATCCCTGGCTGTGCTATCGGTATACACAGATGGGGTACCAGTAAAATGTGATAGGTGAGAATGAAAAGGCTGGTCCGTTAGCCCATCGAGACGAATTCAACGACAAATTAGTTACGATAGTTTTCAGGGGGAACCGCGTGGAGGTCGACTTGATAGGGTATATTGATAGCAATGGAAACTAATCTCCCTATTACTAACAATCTCTTCCACCCCACTTAGTTGTATAGTTATTAGGGACGTAATACGAGGACGAGGTACGTCAAAAGAAAAAATGGAGTCCTTACAGGATCACTTAGTTTGTCCGTCTGTTTGTTAAATTGAAACTAGTATCAAATATTAAAAGCTGCAATCCTTTGTAGCTGTGAAAAATGCAATCAAAAGGTATATCCGTTTATAGTGTATATTTTAACATTTGCAAAGAAATCAAAACCATAGGGTATTTCCAGTGGACCTACAATTATGAAATTTGGCAAGAAGCTATATCGTATAGCACAAGTAGTTAAAAGCAAAAAATCCCAAAATCGTAAATTTGTAGTTTCATCACAAAAAACAAAAGAATATTGCCAAGTATTTTTTTATAGTTTATGTAGAACATTCGGTGTTCCAGTCGGATTTGCACTTGGTCAGTTTTCTTCATCAATTGCCATAAACTGAGACAAATAAATATAAAGACGTATCGTGTACGACACTGTTAACGTGCGGCAATAATGTGAACATATCTGCAATATTCAGTTTTTGCCGGTCCCGTCTAGTCCCCGGGGGGCTACTGTCTATGACACATGCGTGGGACAGAATCTAAAATGGGCCCCTTGAATACATTTGCTCATCCTATACGTACGAGATGTTCCCTTTTTGTCACCATATTGTGAGATGTGATAGTGTTCTCGAATATTTATTGTAAGTAGGCTGCATTGCATTATTCTTTTAGTAAGATCCTGTGTTTCGAAAATATCGTAAAGGTGTTTTGTAAATGAGCAAAGGAATCTCTTTGCTTTTACTAATAAAAACTTAAATATTACAAGCATTGCTTACTCTCAGCCTTTTTTATTTTTCTCTTATATTACGGGATTTAAAAGGTAACTTACTTACTTTTTAGTTGAAGAAAGTTATGATTTACGAAGAAAGAAAGAAAAATATTGTAATTTTCTTACATATTGTATTAATATGTAAGAAAATTACAAATAAGAAATAAGCAAATAGATAAAAATACTACGTATATTCTAATATTTAAATTTAAATAAAAGTTAAACGACTACGCTTGTCTTATTCAGTACTTGAATGATATTTTATTATTTATCTAATTTTAATTGTACGTTGATGAGTTAATTAGGCTACTATATATATGTAGAAGAATTGAAAGAACTAATTAGAATATACATACATACATTCGAATACATTTTTTTTTTCATTTATGTGGAAATAAAAAAATCTTTTTTATTTTAATGTATAATAATCTGTTAAGTCATATGTATTAAAGAAGTAAAGACGTTTATGGCACTGATATGATCACAATAAAATTGTAATTGAAAATGAAAATTGTTAGTTAAATAAAGAGAGAGAGAGAGAGAGAGAGAGAGAGAGAGAGAGAGAGAGAGACATCTATAAATAAAAAGAGAAAGAGAGAGAGACCTAATTTATTTGCTTGCATTTTTATGTTTTATATGTTATGTTTTTGATATACATATATCTATTTGAAATACTAGGCGCCCATAACAAAGAAGACATCGATCAAGCGAGTCGAACTACTACGCGGACAGGGTGACCACGCGTCTGGCTCAGCTCGATCTATCTTCATCTCGCATGCTCTGGTGGCCCGTTCCCAT